AAGAAACGGGCTTCATCCGACACGCCGCCCTCCTCTCCTCTCCTCCTTCTCCTGCTCGCCCGGCGTGCCGGCGAGAAGGGCCCGACGCCCGGCGAGAACATGCCGTGCGGGAGGAGCGGCGGCGTCATCTGGGCCGCGAACGGGCCCGCGCCGCCAAACGTGAACGCGGGCATGCTCGGCGTCATCGGGGGCAGGCCGGCCGTGCGCATCGGCGAGAAGGGGCTCCCGGCGCTGTGCGGCGCGCCGTTGGCGGCCGACGACGGGTGGCCGAGGCTCGCGAGCGAGAAGGGGAGCGGCGGCGGCATGGCGATGCGCGACGGCGCGGCCGGGTTCGAGTGCCCGCGCACGAACGAGGGCACTGGAGGCGACGTGGTCGAAGGAAGAGGGGCCGTGACGCCCTGCGACGCGTCGGGCAGGGACGCGAGGACGGGAGAGGCGGGCGCCTGCTGCGACGACGACGACGGCGCCGGCGGCGAGCGCGCGCTGCGGTCGCCCGACGAGCCGGGGCGCGTCGTCGCCGTGCCCGGTCGAGACGGGTAGTCCTGCTCGCCGTTGACCGAGTGCGCGAGGCCCGAGAGCGGGCTCGGCCCGTTCGGCGCCTGCTGGTGCTGCGAGACGAGGTGCTCGAGCGTGTGCGGGCGGTACGGGATCGGGCCCGGCGGCGCGAACGACTGGTGCTGCTGGCGGTTGTAGTGCGGAGGAGGCGGCGGAGGAGGAGGGCCGCCGTGGTGGCCGCCGTAGTGAGGCTGGTGCTGGTGCTGAGGAGGAGGAGGGTGCGGGTGCTGAGGGTTGTTGACGGCCGCGCCCGAGAACTTGTCGAAGTGGACCTGCGCGATGTCGAGAGCTTGGGTCAGGACCTTGCGAGCTCGAGAGAGAGAGAGAGAGAGGGAGAGGAGAGAGCGAGGGGCGCACCTTGAGCGTCCTCCCGTTGAACTCGAACCCGTTGAACATGCCGACAGCGCGCTCTGCGTCCTGGCTCGTGCCGAACAGGACGCTGCCGAACCCTCGACTCCTGCCGTCCGGGCCCTGGGCAATGTCGGCCCGCAGGACCGAGCCGGCGCCGCGCATCAAGTCCTTGAGCTCCTGCCACTGGCAGTTGAACGGCAGGTTGCCGACAAACAGGTGCCGGTTCTGGTAGCCCGGACCGCCCGGACCTGCGCCCGGCCCGGGACCGTGCGGGTGCATGAGGTGCGGCGGCGCCGAGCCCGGGCGCGCCGGGCCCTGGTGCTGCCCCGGCGGCGGCGGCGGCGCAGCGGCGGCGTAGTAGCCGACGAGGCCGCCGGGCACGGCGTAGCCCATCGGATGCATGCTCACCATGGGCACGAGCATGGCCTGGTGGTGGTGGCCGAGCTGGACCTGGACCTGCATCGGCATCGGCGGCGGCGGCGGCGGCGGCGGGACGAGCGCGAGCGCGTGCTGCAGCTGCGGCGGGATGTCCTGACCTCGACCGTGGCCCTGCTGCTGCTGCTGCTGCTGCTGCTGCGGCTGCGGGTACTCGTGGTGCCGAGTCGGCGGCGGCGGCGGCGGGTTGAGGGTGGGCGACCGCGGCGCGGCGAGCGGCGGCGTGACGCGCTTGCCGAGGGCGAGGCGCGGGTCGGCCGTGACGGCGGCGCCGGGCGACAGGTCGGTTGGGGTCGCGAGGGTCGAGGCGGGCGAGGCCGACGAGGGCGGGCCCGAGGGGGACCGTGCGGGCGACGGCGAGCGGCGCGACGAGTTGTCCTGCGACGACGTGCGCACGACGGCGGGCGACAGGTAGGGCGACGGCGTCGACTCGGAGCCGGGGGCCGAGGGTGGTGGACGAGGAGCGGCGGCGAGGTAGGCCTGGCCGGCGACGCCCGGGACGGGAACGAGCATGGTGCCGAACGGGAGGCCGCCGCCAGGAGGCGGCGGCGGCGGCGGTACGGGCGAGTTGCGCGCGCGCTGCTCGAGGAGCTTGTGCTGGTTCTGGATGGCCTGCTGGCGGTTGGCCTCGGCGAGGGCGAGGGCGCCGGTCGGGTCCTGGGCGTCGATGCGCACGTCGAGGACGCGCGTCTGCCACGTGTAGCCGTGGTAGGTCGCGATGGCCTTGTGGGCGTCGTCGGCCTTTGCGAAGAGGACGACGCCAAAGCCACGGCTGCGGCCGTCGGTCGGGTTGAGGGCGACGTCGGCGCGCAGGACGGTGCCGCACTTGCGCATGAGGTCCTTCTGCGAGTCGGCGGCGGCGGCGGCGAGGGTCAGTTTGCGTCGAACGGGGTCGAGAGGGCGAGGAGGGTGAGGACGCACGAGGTCTTGCCAACGGGCGCGGAACGGCAGGTTGCTGACGAAGAGCTGTGTGCGCGAGTCTTGCTGCTGCTGCTGCTGGGGCGCGTGCTGGAGCTGAGGCGGCTGCGAGTAGAGCTGGGGCTGCTGCTGGTAGTGGTGACGCTGCTGGGCGAGGGCGTGGGTGGTCGAGTAGCTCGAGGGCATGGCCGGGCGGGCGAGAGGAGGCGGAGGCGGTGGGGGAGTCGCGTGAGCCTGGAGGTGGTGGAGCGGGTGGGGGGTGCGGGCCGGGCTCGGGCGCAAGTGGGCTAGGTCGAGGTGGTAATGGTCTGGCGGCGGAGGGTGGTGCTGGCCCGTGTCGGGCTGCTGCATCGCGAGAGGACCGAGGCGATCGAGATGGGGAGCGAGGTGAGTGTGGGACGCGGGGGGGGCGAGGGAGAGGGAGAGAAGGGGGGGGCGCACCTGGTCGAGAGCGAGCTGCATGGCCGCGTGGATCGAGGTGGCAGTCGCAGCGAGCACAGCCGGTTGAGCGAGATGAGCGACGAGGAGGCGAGGCGCGCGTCGTCGTCGCCGAATCGCTCTCGCGCCCAAGTCGAATCCTCCTCCTCATCAGCGACCACACCCACAGCCGCGGCCCCCGATGAGCTTCCGGACACGCACCTCGGCACTCGTCCAACGAGCCTGGCTCGCCGTCCAACCCTCCCCTCTCCCCTCTCCCACCCCTCTCCGACCCTTTTCCTCGTCGTCCTGCACCTGCTCCTCCTCGTCCTCGACCACCACGACCACCACCACGAGCCAGCCCGCACCAGGCGCCGTTCACCGGGCAGACCTCCGTCACCCTTCCCTCGCCTACCTCCAGTCGCTCGCCGGCAAGGACCTGTCGGCCTTCGACCCCGTGCTCGACCTCGACCCCTCCAAGCAGCGACAGCTCCCCGCAGCCTCGCCCCGCACCCACCACCAGCCCGCCCGCGTCACCTTGATCAACGACACGCCCAACAACCCCGGCTACCAGCAGCCCCGCCCCTCGCCCGACCAGCTCGATGGCCTCCCCGGCGAGGACGACTCGGTCGCCCACTTGGCCCAGCTGTCGCACATGACGCCCGGCGAGATCCGCAGCCTGTACCGCTTCCCGCTCGTCGTCAAGCGCGTCGTCACCATGAAGTCCAAGGGCAAGATGCCCTCGATGTACGCCCTCGTCGTCGTCGGCAACGGCCGCGGCCTCGTCGGCACGGGCGAGGGCAAGGACGACACGGCACAAAAAGCCGTCCAGAAGGCCTTCAACCAGGCCGTGCGCAGCATGGACTACGTCGAGCGCTACGAGGACCGCACCGTGTCGGGCACCATGCGCTCAAACTTTGGCTCGTGCAAGGTCGAGATGCGCTCGCGCCCTCCCGGTCCGTCCCCCTCCTACTCCTCTTGCTCAGCCCGACCCGCAGACTGACTCTCGTGGCCCCCGCAGGCTTTGGGCTCCGCGTCAACCCTTACATCCACCAGGTCGCAAAGGCGGCCGGCATCTCGGACCTGTCGGCAAAGGTCTACGGCTCGCGCAACCCGACCCGAGTCATCAAGCTCGCCGTCTCGATGCTCCACGGCGGCTCGAACCCTCTCGGTGCGTCTCTCTTTCTCCCTCTCTCTCTCTCTGCGCCTCGAGGCGGGCCCGAGCGAGCGAGCGAGCGAAACCTGACCTGAGCGCCTGTTCCTCGCGCGCAGACATGGGCGGCTTTGGGCGGGAAAAGGGCCAGCGGCGCAACAAGAAGACCAAGGGGATGGAGACGGCCGAGGCGATTGGGCGGGCGCGTGGGCGCAAGGCGGTCGACGTGTCGGCATAGTCGGGCGCGAGCGAGGAGACGAGGCGAACGAAGCGCATTTCCCCCGTGCACCTTGGTCTCGGTCGCAGAGAGATCGGCTACGTGCAAGCCCGTCTCAGTGAGCTCGCTGCGCGCAGCGAACGAGTCGTCTCGAGAGCTCGTCGAGGCCGTCGTCAGAATCGTCGGCGTCGAGTCGGCCAACCTCTCGCAGCCCCTCTCCCTCCGCTCCACACTCGCTCCCAGCTCGAGTTCGCTACAGCTATGGCCTCGAAGGGATCTCTTGTGCAGACTGCCGTCGTAGTCCCTGCACCCACGACCGTGTGAGCCCCTCTGTCCTCTCCCTTCCCCCACCTCGTCACTCTCTCCCCCTCGCGCACCCCTCCTCCGCTCCCTCACTGACACCCTGCCTGTGCCCCGCCCGCAGCCGCGGTCAGTCGACCAAGCTCTACGCGACCCCGGACGGCAAGCACATCGCGTACGGCGCCGGGCGCACGGCCGTCATCCGGCCCATCGCCGACGGCGACGGCGAGACGAGGTTGTTCGGCCACGCGCACAACGTGACGGTCGTCAAGCCGCTCAGCGCCTACTATGCCGCGTCGGGCGACGCTGCCGGCAACGTCAAGGTGCGCCCTGGCGCCCTCCTCCTCCTCCTCCTCCCCGCCCTCGCTCGACCCTCGAGCTGACCGCCCTCTACGTCTCCCCGCCTCGCAGGTGTGGGACACGACGGGCAACTACTCGCTCAAGCTCGAGGCCAAGCCGCTCGCCAAGATCAACGACATTGCGGTCGACGCCGAGGGCAAGCGGCTCGTCGTCGTCGGCGAGGGCCGCAGCGGGTTCGGCGCCAGCTTCAACCTCGACACGGGCAGCTCGATCGGCGAGATCAGCGGCCACTCCAAGGTCGTCAACGGCGTCGCCATGAGGGGCTCGAGGCCGTTCAGGGCTGTGTGCGTCGACCGGTTCCTCTCATTCTCTCCGGCGCTTTGCCTCGTGCACGAGCGGCAGGACTGATCGATGAACGCCTCGACTTACAGCACGGGCTCGGACGACTTCTCGACGTGCTTCCTGCACGGCGTCCCGTTCAAGTACGCCTCGACCTCGCGCCGCCACTCGCGCTTCGTCCAGTCGGTCGCCTACTCGCCCTCGGGCGCCCTGTTCGCCTCGGCCGGCTCGGACGGCCAGGTCCTCCTGTACGACGGCACGACGGGCGAGGACAAGGGCGCGCTCGTCGACGCCGACGGCCCCGAGGAGCAGGCGCACGCCAAAACGGTGTTTGCCGTCGCGTTTGCCGCCGACGGCAAGACGGTCGCGACGAGCGGCGCCGACGGCGTCACCAAGCTGTGGGACGTTGAGAGCGCCAAGGTGCTGCAGAAGTGGGCGTTTGACGAGGGCGACGAGGTGTCGTCGCAGCAGGTCGTGCGTCCCCCTCTCGCCGCTCGATCCCCCTCGGCAGAACCCCTCGACTGACTCTTCTCTCGCGCACGCCTCTTCCCCCTCGCCGCAGGGCAACGTCTTTGTCGGCACCTCGCTCGTGTCGCTGTCGTTCTCGGGCACGCTTCACGTCCTCGACCCGTCGTCGTCGACCCCGGTGCGCGCCCTCGTCGGGCACCAGAACCCGGTCACGGCGCTCGCCGTCGCGGCGCCCAACGCCGACACAATCGTCAGCGGCGACTCGGCGGGGCGGGTCCTCGCCACGGGCTTGAAGGGCGGCGCTGCGGGCGCGGTCAAGGCGGTCGAGGGGCAGGGGCACAAGGGCCTTGTGGTCGACGTCGTGCAGACGCAGGAGGGCGGGTTCGTGTCGGCCGGTTACGACGACGTCGTCAAGGGCCTGTCGAAGGAGGCGTTCTCGTCGGCGTCGCTCCCGACCTCGTCGCAGCCCAAGGCGCTCGCCTCGGCCGCACCTACCTCCTCGGCCCTCCTCCTCGCCACAGTGTCCTCCGCCTCGCTCCTCTCCTCGTCGGGCTCCTCCCTCTCGTCCACCACCGACCTCGCCCTCCCCTCGTCCTCGTCGTCCGCGTCGCTCCTCGCCGCCGCGCTCTCGCCCTCGGGTGACTTTGCCGCCCTCTCGACCGACGACGCCAAGGTGCACCTGTTTGACGGCGCGGGCGCGTTTCAGCGCAGCATCGAGCTGCGCGCCAACGCGACCGCGCTCGCGTTCGGCGTCGCCAAGGGCGGCTCGCCCGTCGTCGCCGTCGGGCTCCAGACGGGCAAGATCCCGCTGTACGACCCGGCGTCGGGCGAGCTCGTGCAGAACCGGTGGGCCGACATCTCGGCGCGCGTCACGTGCCTCGCGTTCGATGCGCAGCAGGGCAAGAAGCTCGCGGCGGCGTCGCTCGACGAGAGCGTGCGCGTGTACGACGTCGACGCGCCGTCGGCCATCCTGAGCCTCAAGAACCTGTGCGTCCCTCGCTTTCTCTCTCTCTCGCGCGCAACTTGATGAGGAGGACGAACTGACTCGTCGACGCCCCGCAGTCACCGCGGCGGCGTCAACAAGGTGGCGTGGGCGGGCGAGGGCAAGCTCGTGAGCGGCGGCGCAGACGGCGCGATCCGGGTGCTCGAGGTCAAGAGTGCATAGACGGCGAGGCGGCACTAGAAGGACTGTATAGCCTTGCGAGCGCAGGTGGCCCGCACGAGGACGAGGACGACCAGAGCGCTTTGTCCCCTCGCTTCTTGCTCAGCTCGACTTGCTCTCGTCTCGGCTGCCGTCCCGCAGCTCCGATCGGCCTCTGCGTCACGCTCTTTCGTCCGTCGCTCACTCCTGACGGCAAGTCCGCGCCCGGTGCGCACGCCGGACGCCGGGCGACCCTCGCTCCTCCTCCCAGCCTTTCCCTTTCCCTCTCCCCTCGTCTCGAGTGCTCTTGCTCGCTGTTCATCGACTATGAGCACACCTCAGCCTCAGCCCTGCGTCGTCCGTGGCGCGCAGACCAAGAACCGCTGCTCAGCGTGCGCTCGCGCCGGCGTCGACCTCTTCTTCTGCTCCACCGCGCACCAACAACTCGTGCGTCCCCCTCTCTCTTCTGAATCTGGACCGTGAGCTCATCTTACTCGTCTCCTGCAGGTCTGGAAGGTCCACCGCATGGTCTGCGGGCCCGACAAGGCCAAGCCGCTCATGCCGCCGCCGCTCGAGGAAGACGAGCTTCCCGCCATCTTCGACGCGCTCCACCTCGAGATCCCGTACGAGGATTTTCAGCGGGACATCACGAGCTTGACGCTGACGCAGGCGTCGCAAGCTGTCAGACGGGGCAAGATCACGCTCGCACGCGGCATGGCCGTCTTGTGGGGCGAGCCCGCCGACGACTTTCCCCTCGTGCGCACCACGTTTCCTCTCTTCTCTTTACATCGACGTCCCCCTGGATAGCGATACAGAACTGAAGCGCCTACCTTGCAGTATATGGTCACGGGCCTCGTCGGGTCGCGAGGCATCACCTGGCTGGCCGCACACCCGACCGTCGACGGGTGGCTCCTCGGCCTCCGGCCCTACACCTACAAGTACGCCCGCATCCCGACCGACGTCAAGGCCGTCTACCACTTCCCTGCCCGCTACGTCGCCGCGGCCCTCGAGATTGCGCTCGACCTAGCCGACGACGCCGATTCGACGACCCTGCTGCGGCACCGCAGTCTGCTCCTCGCCGGCATTCTGCAGAAAGTCCCTCCACCGCCGTCGGGCGTCATCATCTCGGCCGTGCAACAGTTCGTCGACTCGTGCCTCGTGTACGACTCGTTCGAGCAGGCCGTCGCCAAGTTTGGTGGCGTCCTCAACGTCGTCAAGCCAGTCCTCGCCATCGAGCTCTCGCTCCAGCTCCACGGCGACGGGCGCATCAGCCACTGCGTCGTCATCCCGCCGACGTCGGCGACCTGAGCGAGCCGAGGAGCGGCGGTGGGGAGGAGCGGGCGAGGCTTGCAGTACTTCTGGAGGGTCGACGTGCAGTGCACAGCTTTTTGGGCTTCTCGGGCGTCGACGCGAGCGTTATCGAGAGAGCGGCGCGAGAAGCGAGAGCGCAAGCGAGGAGCAGCACTTTCTCGACGACGGTCGACCTTCTGAAAACGAGATGCGGCGGTCGAGACGACGAGCACGGACAAGAGCAACGACTGGTACTACAACAGAGCACAGAGAGAACGAGAGTGCTACAGAGAGGATAGGTAGGCGAGCTAGGAGAGGACCTGTGGCGGGAGTAAAGAGGTCGTCAGCGCTCAGGCCTCTTGCTCCTCGTCCTCCTCGGCGACGGCGCCAGAGACGCGAGGCGAGAGAGAGAGAGAGGGCGTGAGACGCACGGCGAGGAGGACGACGGTCAAGACGAGGAGGAAGACGAGGAGGAGGCAGAACATGCGGCGGCCGGCCTTGCGCTGGTAGGCGTGCGCCTCGGTGAGCTGCGTCGACGCGCCGTGCGTGTCGCGCGCGACCGAGATGACGTTCGTCTCGATGTTGTCTGTGTGCGCGACGAGGAGAGGGTGCGTGAGCGCCTTGGCCCGCAACAGGCCGACGAGCCGCAGCACGAGGTGCGGCACAGGAGGACGAGAGAGGGAGGGGCGGCTCGGACGCACCGATCATGCTCTGCTGCTCGCCGACGATCTGGCCGAGGTCCTTGAAGATCTGGTTGAGCTCGGTGATGCCCTGCTCGATCTGCTCAATCTCGCCCTCGCGCTCCTGGATGAGCTGCTCTTGAAAGTCGAGGTCGGCGTCGGCGAGCTGGTCTTGCGGCTGACTGTCGAGCCGCGGCGGGCATGGGAGGTTCAGTCAGAGTGTGAGGATGTGAGAGAGAGGCGGGAGAAAGGTTCAGACGCACAGCTCGAGGAGCTGGCCCGACTCGCCGGCGTCGTTGCTGCGCGAGGGGAAGGTCGTCAGGGTTCACTCGACAGGCTCGAGCCCGGCGCGCGCAAGAGGCAGCTCACGGTAGCGCAACTGCGTCGGCCGCCTCGACGGTGGCGCGCTGCCGCTCGACAAAGAGGCGCTGGCGCTCTGCGCTGCGGCGCGACACGACCTGGAACTGCTCGAGCGCGCGCTGAAAGTCGGCCGACACTTTTTGCTGCTCCTGGCGGTGGTGGCGCTGCGGGACGTGGGAGGGGTGCGTCAGTCGGGCCCGTTTGTTGTGGGGGAGAGACGAGAAAGGAGAGAGCTCACGTCGTCGGGCTGGAGCTTCCAGTCGTTGAGGCGCTTGACGTCGGTCGTCGAGCCCTTGAGGACCTCGCGGGTCGACTCGGTCAGGTCGTGACTGTGCGGCGGGATGGTTCAGCTTGGGGGCCGTGAAACAGGGGCCGAGAACGGGGACGCACAGGCGGTTGCGGAGGGTCGGGTTGTCCTTTGACAAGCCGAGGAGGTCGACGAACTTGGCGACGGCGGCCGTGTTGGCGGCGACCTTCTGGACCTGGACGGCGATGGTGCGGGCGAGCTTCTTGAACTCGAGGTCGGCGTCTGCGCGGCGGGGGTGGAGGGTGAGCGAGGCGAGGTGCGATGAGGCGGGTCGGAGACGAAGGGGGGTGCGGACCTGGGTCGATGCCGGTGTCTCGCACGAGGGGAGCTCGTTGGCCGAGGCCGCGTTCGAGGTCCTGGAAGCTCTGCAGAGGCGAGGCGGGTGTGTGGGGGTGGGTGTGAGTGTCCGGGGACGAGGGCGAGGGAGGCGATGAGGGACGAGAGGAGCGCACCATTCGAATCGGCGCGAGTCTCTGGTGGCTGGACGGGGGGTGTAGAGTACACTGAGCAAGTCAAGGGCTCGACCTAGCGAGTCTGGTGGGAGCAGCGGGTGCGAGCTGATGAGGACGAGGCGATTCGACCCTCCGCCTCGCGTGGCCACGAACACGAGCTGCCCTCCTCGCCGCCCTCGTCCTCGCGCGCGCTTTGCTGGTCCAAGGTCGCGTCAGCCTCACGTGCACCCGCCCATCACCCGCTCGCACGCGCCACCACCCTCCCCCGACCACCGGCCGATCGACCTCCTCCACCACATGGACCCGCGCTTCCACGGGGGGTCGCCCTCGCCCCAGCCGCCCTATGCCCACCAGCAGCCAGGCTACGGCAACCAGTACCCGCAGCAGCAGCACCCGCAACAGCAGCACCCGCAGCAGCCTTACCCCGGCCAGCCTCAACCCGCTCTCGCCTCGGCACCGTCCCACCTCGCGCCGCCCTCGCACCAGGGCCAGGTCGACAACCTCGCTCGAGGCGTACACAACATGGGCTTTGCCCAGCCCTCGCCCCACGACCGCTCGCCTGTCAGTCCCGCTCCTTCTTCCCCCGTCCTCCCCGCGCCACGTCGTCGTGCAACCCCTCACTCACGCGCATTCCTGCCTCGCGCCAACAGGGACAAGAACCCGCAGCAAGCCCCGCACTCGTACCCGCACGCGGAAAGCGCGCAGCACGCGCCTACCACAACGATGGCCCGAGCCCCGCCCTCCAGCCCGTGTACGACGACCAGCAGCAGCACCCGTCCTACTTTCCCCAGCAGCAGCAGGGCGGCGAGCAGCAGTACCACGACCCGCATCAGCAGCACCCGCAGCAGCAGTACCACGACCAGCAGCAGCAGCAGCAGCAGGGCCACCCGGACCAGATCCACCAGCCGCCGCCGCCGCAGCAGCAGCAGCAGTTCCAGCAGCGCGGGCCGCGCCTGCCGCCCCAGGTGCGCTCCGAGATGGGTCACCACCAGCGCACGCCGACCTACGCCCAGATGCCGCCGGGCATGATGGGCGGCGGCCACCCGTCGCGAGCGCCGCCGGCGTCGTACCAGCAGCAGCACCAGCACCAGCAGCAGCAGTTCCACCAGCAGCAGCAGCACCCCGAGCCGCAAGGCGGCATCCCGCAGCCGCCGCACACGGCCGGGCAGCGCATCGCGCCCAAGCAGCGCATCCGCATCGACCCGGACCACATCCCGTCGCCCGTCGCCGTCCAGGACGCCGACCAGGAGCTGTACCGCGTCGAGCCGTACCTCACGTGCTCGCGCACGCCCGCACCGCTCGCCACGACCGACTACATCGCCGTCGACCAGGGCAACTGCAACCCGCGCTTCATGCGCATGACGACCTACAACCTCCCCGCGACCGACGACCTCGCGACGGCGGCCCAGATCCCGCTCGGCCTCGTCGTGCAGCCGTTTGCGGCCCTGCGGCCCGAGGAGGGCTCGATCCCGGTCGTCGACTTTGGCGAGATGGGCCCGCCGAGGTGCGACCGCTGCCGGGGCTACATCAACCCGTGGTGCGTCTTTGTCGAGGGCGGGCAAAAGTTTGTCTGCAACTTGTGCGGCGGGTCGTCCGAGGGTGCGTCCCACTCTCTCTTCTTGGTCACGAGCACGGGAGCGACGGACCGTGTCCTGACCCTCGCACCCCGCCTGCAGTCGCACCCGAGTACTTTTCACACCTCGACATGTCGCAGCGGCGCATGGACCTCGACGACCGCCCCGAGCTGCGGTCGGGCTCGGTCGACTTTGTCGTCAACCGCGACTACTGGGTGCAGGACAACCCGAACGTGCCCGGGTCGCAGCCGCGCGAGCCGAGCGCGCTCCACTACGTGTTCGCGATCGACGTCAGCTGGACGAGCGTGCGGTGCGGCCTCGTCGCCGAGGTGTGCCGCCACCTGCGCGAGCTCCTGTTCCCGCCCCCGGCCGACAAGGAGCCCGACGAGAACGGCCTCATCGAGAAGACGGGCTTGCCCGAGGGTGCAAAGGTCGCCATCATGACGTTTGACCGCACCGTCAACTTCTTCAACCTCAAGGTCCGTCCCCCTCTCTCTTCTCCCCCTCTCTCTCGAGCCATCGTGCTCCCGCACGTCCGACTCGCTCACACGCTCTGTCCCACAGCCCGGCCTCGAGCAGGCGCAGATGCTCGTCGTGCCCGACATCACCGACATGTTCCTCCCGCTCCTCGACGGCTTCCTCGTCGACCCGATCGAGTCGCAGTCGGTCATCGAGGGCCTCCTCGACAGCCTTCCGGCGCTCACGGCCGACACGGCCATCGTCGAGGCGGCCATGACGGGCCCGCTCAAGGCGTCCATGATGGCTCTCGTGCGTCCCCGTCTCTCTCTCTCCTTCTCCCTGTGTCGTCTCTCGGCGAGGCCTCCTCACTGACCCACACTTCCCTCTCGTGCGTGCGTGCGCGTCCGCAGAAGAACCTCGGCGGCCTGCTCACCATCTTCCAGACGTCGCTGCCGACGATCGGCCTCGGCGCGCTCAAGCACCGCGAGGACAGCAAGCTGTACGGCACCGACAAGGAGAAGACGCTCTTTGTGCCCCAGGACCCGTTCTACCGCATGGCGGCCGAGGAGTGCGTCGAGAGCGGCATCGGCATCAACCTGTTCCTGTTCCCGAGCCAGTACATCGACGCGGCGACCCTCGGTGCGTCCTCGCCCCCCCTCTCTCTCTTCCCCCTCGTCGCTCATGGGCGACTCGTGCCTCCCGGCTCGAGCCCCTCTCGATCGACGACCTGACTCGTCGGCTCCTTACCCGCAGGTGCGCTCCCGGGCTTGACCGGCGGCGACCTCTTCTTCCACCCTCGGTTCGACCCCGTGCGAGACGGCAAGGTGCTCCGAGCCGAGCTCAGCAAGGTCCTGCAGCGCGAGACGGCCTACAGCGTCACGATGCGCGTCCGGTGCTCGAACGGTGCGTCCTCCTCTTCCACCCTCTCCCTTGCCCTCCCTCGCCCTTTCTCGTCCTTGCCCGAGCATTTACGACGATGAGCCTCGTCCTGATTCACGCCTGTTCCCGTTCGCGCAGGTCTCCGCATCGCCGACCACTTTGGCAACTTCTTCCAGCGCAACGTGACCGACCTCGAGTTCGGCACGCTCGACGCCGACAAGGCCATCGCGGCCAAGCTCAAGCACGAGGGCAAGCTCGACGACAAGGTCGACGCCTACTTCCAGTGCGCGTCGCTGTACACGAGCGCGACTGGCGAGCGCCGGGTCCGGGTCCACAACCTCGCCGTGCCCGTCTCGAGCTTGATCAGCAGCGTGTTCAGGGCCGCCGACATGGACACGACGATCGCCTTCTTCACCAAGGAGTGTACGTCCCGCTCGATCCCTCTTTCCCGCCGTCGTCCTGAAGAGCCGATCTGACTCTCTCTCGCTCTCGGTCGTCGAGCGTAGCGATCACGGTGGCGGCGGGCAAGACGCTGCGCCAAGTGCGCGAGTCGTTGAGCGACTCGTGCGCAAAGGCGCTCCTCGCGTACCGCAAGCACTGCGCGTCGTCGACGTCGCCGGCGCAGCTCATCCTGCCCGAGTCGTTCAAGCTCTTCCCCCTGTACGCGCTCGCCCTCATGAAGACCAAGGCGCTCAAGGGCGGCGTCGTCGCGTCCGACGTGCGCACGTGGGCCATGCGGCAGCTCAAGAGCGCCGGCGTGCCCGCGACGGTGCGCATGCTGTACCCGCGCATGCTCGCCGTGCACCAGTTTGCCGACGAGGTCGGGTTCCCGGACGAGCGCGGGCAGCTCATCCTCCCGCCCTTGATGCGCACGAGCTACTCGCGCATGGAGCCGCACGGCGCGTACCTCGTCGAGAACGGCGAGAAGGCGTTCCTGTGGCTCGGCGCGAGCGTGTCACCCCAGGTCCTGCAGGACCTGTACGGCGTCGAGAACCTCGACGAGCTCGACACGCGCATGGTGCGTCCCCTGCTCTCTCCACCCTCTCGTGAACCTCTCGTCGAGCCGAGCCCGACACTGACATCGCCCCGGCCATTCGCAGTCGGTCCTGCCCAACCTCCCGACCCGGCTCTCGGCCCAGCTGCGCAACATCATCACTTACTTTGAGTCGCGGTACGGCATCGGGTGCCTGCCCGTCCTCATTGCGCGGCAAAACATCGACGGCACCGAGTTCGAGTTCTCCAACATGCTCGTCGAGGACTCGAACAACGAGCAGCTGTCGTACATCGACTTCTTGTGCCTCACCCACCAGGTCCGTTCCCTCTCTCCTCCCATCTCGTCCCCCTCTCGATGCAGTTCACTGACTCTTTGACGCACGAGCAGCAAATTCAGGCGACGCTCATGGGCGAGAGCAAGAAGCAGGATGCGACCGACTCGAGCTCGTGGACGACGTGGTGAGCGCAGTCGGCTCGAGCGTGTGTGGGCTCGGCAGCAGGGAGTGTAGACAGTTTCGGTGAGAGGGAGGAGCTGGACGCTGTGCAACGGGCATGGACACTCTCCTCGTCGGCGACCCCAAGTCGAGGCGGTCCGGGTCGCGAGAGCAGCTCGCGCTTCCTCTTCCTGCTTGTTCGCGAGAGCCCCGAAAGCAGCTCGCTAGTGACGCTGAGTCGGCCGGTAGCGCAAGCGACAGCGAGAGAGGAACTCGAGCGTCGCCGCCGTCTTGCGCACTGCGCTCCACCACTCGAGCCGGCTCCCACCTCTCGCCTCGAGACAGCTCGAGACTGCGCCACAGCACGCACACGCACACTCTGTGAGTCGCAGTGCCCCTCCCTCGTCCTTCCAGTGTGCGCTCGCGGCGGGACAGAGGCCCGTCGTCGTCGTCTTCATCAGGGCGGCGGCGACGCGGCGAGTGAAGCGTACGAGGCGTGCAGGGACAGCGCCGCACACCGTGTGCGCACTGTATGTGCACGGCTATGCGATCTGCCCAGCGCAGCACGCTGACCCTCTCTTCCCTCCCTCTCTCGTCCCCCTCACCTCCTCGTCGCCCCTGCAGCCGCCTCACGACCCGCTCCAGCACGCCCTTGCAAGCTCGTCCATCATGGCTCGTTCGCCCTCGCCTGCGAGTGACCTCTCGCGCTCTCGGTGCGTCCCTCCTCCCCGTTCCCCAGGTCTCAGCGCACCCGTCCTGACAGCTCTCCTCGCGCAGCTCGCGCTCGCGCACGCCTCTCGACTCGGACACGATCCGCATCACGCGCCTGAGCAAGAACGTCCTCGCTGTCCACCTCGAGGAGATCTTTGACGTGTACGGCAAGATTCTCGACATCGACCTGCCCATCGTCAAGCGCCGTGCGTCCTCTCTCTCCCCTCGGTCTCCCTGGCCCTGTTCTGAGTTCAGGACTGACTTGTCGAGATTCCGCAGTCGGTACGCACAAGGGCACGGCCTGGGTCACGTTCGCCTCGCCCTCGGCGGCCGCGAAAGCGGCCGACTACATGGACGGCGGCCAGATCGACGGCGTCGTCGTCGCGGTCGTCCTCGAGCCGCCGTCCCCGCCGCGCAGGAGCCGTAGCCCGCCGCCGCCAAAGGGCTCGGCGCCAGCGTCGCGCAGGGGCAGTGGGCCGGCACCCGCGAGGGGCCGCAGCAGGACGAGGAGCCCGGCGCGTGGGACGCCGAGCGGCGGCAAGGGTCGTGGGAGGAGCCCGTCGAGGAGCTTGAGCCGCGAGAGGAGGGCGCCGTCGAAGGGGAGGAGGGTCGGCAGGAGCCCGACGAGGAGCAGGAGCAGGAGTGCGAGCCCGATGCGCTCGAGGTCCAGGTGCGTCGCCGCTGTGGCCTGTCTCTCTCTCTCGTTCGGGGCATCTCGCCGGACAGGACTGATGCAGGTGTCAACGGTTCCACACAGGAGCCCTGTCCGTCGTCGGTCCCTGTCGCCTCGCCGCCGTTCGCCCGCTGGCCGTTCGCCGGTCTCGCGCCGTGGCCCGCCGCCGCGTGGTCGCAGCCCGAGTCGCTCGCCTGTCGCGATGGACCGGGACGTGTCGCGGTCGCCGGTGCGCTCGAAGCGGTAGAGTGCCACCCAGGACAGGTGTCGCGGCGAGGGCGAGGGAGCCGAGTGTGCAAAGGCGCTCGAAGCAGTGATCGTCGTGCGACTCTGCGCTTCTGAGAGGCTTACGAGAGTGATGCACGCGAGCAGCAAGCAGCCGAGAGAGGAGAGCGGGCCAGTCGCTTCGTCTCGCTGGCGCTCCGCCCGCCGAGGTTCCGCTCGCTCATCTCCCTCCTCCACCTCTCGCTCGATCGGCTCCACCATGGCCGCCACCGACGCCACAGACAAGAAGTGCGTCGCTCGGTCCACCTCGAGCCCGCCCTGTCGGGTTCCCGTTCTCGCCTCGCAAGCTGACCCGTCTCCACCTCCCCCCGTCGTCGAGCAGCTCGTCGCCCAAGAGCAACGGCGCCGAGGCCGACAGTGCTCGCATCGGCTGGGCTTTCCTCTCTCAAGTGCGTCCCTCTGCCTCTCGTGTCTCCCGTGCGCTGCCAGAAACGGCCGACTGACCTCGTCCTCCACCCTCCCTCTCTCTCTCCGCGGCGAGCAGTACTACTCGTACCTCAACAAGGACCCGGCTCGCCTCCACTGCTTCTACACCAAGCGCAGCACCCTCATCCACAGCACCGAGGGCGAGGACTCGACCCCGTGCTATGGCCAGCAGGTCCGCCCGTTTCTCCTCTCTCTCCCTCCTCCTCTCGCAACATGCCAGACTGACCCAGGGGTTCCGCCGTCCGCAGGAGATCCACGCCAAGATCATGTCGCTGCAGCTCGACGACTGCAAGGTCTACATCAGCAACGTCGACAGCCAGGGTTCGGCCGAGCACGGCATCATCGTCCAGGTCATCGGCGAGATGAGCAACGCCAACGGCCCGTGGCGCAAGTTTGCCCAGACCTTCTTCCTCGCCGAGCAGCCCAACGGCTACTTCGTCCTCAACGACATCTGCCGCTACATCAAGGAGGAGGGAGATGGCGACGAGCCGGCCCACCTGACCGGCGCCGACGCGCCCGCCGTCCAGTCGGACGACCAGCCGACCAACGCCGCCCACGCCAACGACAACGCGGCCGACGGCGAGCCCGCGAGCGTCCAGAGCGTCCTCTTCAACGAGGCGTCGACCCCGCCTCCTGCCGCCGCCGCCGCCGCCGCTGCGCAGCCGGACCAGGCGTCGTCGTCGACCGAGCAGGAGCAGCCCACGCCTCAGTCGGGCAGCACCGACTCGTTCACGTTCCACGCCAACGGCATTGCCGCCGACGCCGCCGACGAGTCGCCGGCCGCTGCCGCCGCCGCCGCCGCGTCCAAGGAGGAGCCGACGCCCGCCGAGGCCGAGCCCGAGGTCCCGGCGCCGCCTTCGTCGGTCGAGGAGCCGTCCAAGCCCGAGTCGGCGCAGCAGGAGGAGGCGACGACCGCCGCCGCCGTCGAGGAGCCGCAGCCGATCACGGCCGTCGAGGAGAAGGAGGCCTCGGCGCCCGAGCCCGCTGCCGCTCCGGCGCCGGCTCCCGCCAAGGCGCCCGAGCCCAAGAAGGACGAAGTCAAGAAGGACGAGCCGGCGCCGGCGCCCGCACCGGTGAGCGCGCCGACGCCCAAGAGCTGGGCGAGCCTCGCCGCGAGCAACACGACCAAGAAGTGGGCCGGCGTCGCGACGAGTGAGAGGAAGGGGACCTCGGCTGCGCCTGTGCGTCTCTCTTCTCTTCCAGTCTCTCTCTTTTGGCGTGCTCGAGTCCTGTTCGCAAGGCCGTTCACTGACTCGTTCGTCCCCACCTCGCAGACCACGCCCGCCGCCGACTCTCGCCCTGCGGCCTCGTCCTCGTCTTCGTCCGCTCCTTCTGCACCTTCCGCCACCGCCGCGTCGACGGGCGCCGGCGCACCAGAGCAGTCGGCGTCCGGGTCCGCCCCGGCGTCGTCGCCGTTCGTCGACGCCGTCCTCGCCGTCAAGCAGCCCCAGTGCTTCGTCAAGGGCGTCCTCGAGACGGTGTCGGACCGCCTCCTGCGCGACACGCTCACGACCCGGTTCGGCCCGCTCAAGGAGGTCGACATCGTCCGGAGCGTGCGTCCCTCGTCTTCCTCATCCCCTTCTTTCCCTTGCGCCCCGAGTTCACCTTACTGACCTTTCCTGCCCCGTCTTCCTCCACCTGCACCTTCCCCTCTCCACCCACAGAAAGCGTGCGCCTTCATCGAGTTCGAGAAGCTCGAGTCTGCGCGCCGCGCGATCCAGACGTCGCTGCGCCCGACCGACGGCGGCGAGGGCGGCATCATGCTCCCGCTCGACGACGGCTCGCACCAGCGCATCAACGTCGTCGAGCGCAAGCCGCACGGCGACCGGCCCATCAGCTCGCGCGGCGGGCGCGGCGGGTCGGCGGCCGGTGGGCCGGGTGGCGCGGGCGGTGGCGAGGGTCGCGGTGGGTACAAGGGCGGCGAGGGTGGGAGGGGCGGGAGGGGTGCGAGCTCGGGCACGAGGGGTATGCGGGGCGGCAGGGGCCGTGGCGGTGCGGCGGCCTCGGCCAAATGAGGCGCTCTCTTCCTCTCCCTGATTCCCTCCCTCTCTCGACCTCGACCTCGACCTCGACCTCGGCGACGCCCTCGCCGCCTGTTACCTCTCCCTTTTCGACTCTCTATTCGCCCCTAGGCCTTTCACCTTCCGTCGATCGCACCCTGCATGCCCCCTCAGCTTTCCCCACCCCTCTTGCCGCGCTCCTCGCCGTTTTGCCCTCTCTCTCCCCCTCCTTTCCCCTCCCTCCCTTCCTGTTCGTAACCCCCTTTCGTCCTTTCCGTCACTCCCACTCGTGTTCTCTCCTCTCTGGTCGACCAAAAGGCTCGCCGACGTGCGCGAGCCCGATGCAACTCTCTGCGGCACCTTGTCTCTCGAGCGAGCGAGCGCGCGAGAACGAGAGCACGTTGAGAGAGGGCAAAAGGCGAATACAGCGAGCACAACGATGCGTACGGAAAGATCGAGAGAGGCAGAGAGACGACGAGAGGCTGCGGGGCGAGGGGCGAGTCAGTCGAGGAACGAGGACGAGAGGGAGAGAAGAGAGGCAGAGTGAAAGGACGGACCGACAGGATGCTCGAGGCTCTAGGCCTTGTGCATCTGGAGGTTGCGGTGCAGCTTGGGGTCGACCTGGACGACGCGCTCGAGCAAGTCGTCGACGACGGCCTGGCGGCTGCTCGCGAACGTGGCCTCGATGCGCTCGAGCGTCTCGTCCGTCTGCTTCTGGACCTCGGTCGCCGACGTCGAGCTGTCGCCCGAGTGCTGTGCAGGGGGGAACGGGGTCAGGGGGGGGGGGGCGCGCAGACAAGAGGGGCTGAGAGGGAGGGAGGGACGCACCTCGTGCTCAAAGTCGGTGAACTCCTGGTCCTTCTTTGCGCGCAGGGCGTCGATCTCCTTGCTCGCCTCACCGCGTGCGTCCTTGAGGCGCTGGTTGCGGTCTGCAAGGGCGGGAGCGGGGTCAAGGGGGAGCGTGTGGGCAGGCGGGGGACAGGGGGACGCACACTCGCGGGCCTTTGCGACGATCTGGGCGGCCTCCTTCTCTGCGTCAAGGAGGGTTGCGATACCTTGAGCTGTTGCACGAGGGGAGGAGGGGGTGAGCGGGGAGGCGGGAGCTGATGACGGGCCAAGAGGGGGAGGGGGGAGGACGAGAGCGGGGAGACGGACAGTTTGCAGCCTGTCGAGCGCGACAGGAGTCAGTGCGAGTACTGTGACAGGGAGCAGGGTTGTACTCACCATGGCTCGAGGTGCGTGGGGAAGGGCGAGAGCCGAACGAGCAGAGAGGAGGACCCGCTCATCTCCTCCGCCTCACCCGGCTCGACAGCTCGACCGTGCTGAGCTGCACAGCCGACCATGAGCTATTACCCACCGCAGCCGCCATCCCAGGCCCCCGCGGCCCCCTCGTCCTCGTCCGACCTCGACCTCGTCTCGGCTCTCTCGCAACCTTCAACCCAGCCAGCACTCAAGGCAAACGGTGAGCCCGCCCGTGCGATGTACCTTACAGTGCGTCGCCAACTCACACCCTCTCGTCTCGCGAAACAGCCGCAGTCCAGGCCGTCGAGCCTCTCTCGCGACTGCTCCTCTCGTCCTCGACCGACCTCGCCGCGACCAAACTCGCCCTCGCAGGGTTCGCCACCGCCTACCCGTTCCTCTTCCGCTATGCGTGCGTCCCCTCCTGTCTTCTGCCCCCCCCCCCCCCCCAACTTGCCCCCTTCGATCGACTGCTCACCTTCCTCCTCCTCCTCGTCGCAGGTCCCAGTCGGGCGACCACGCGTGGTGGACCCGCGTCGTCAACCTCAAGACGGCCGTCCTCCAGCAGTGGCGTAGCGGCAGCCCCGGCGCCAAGGTCGCCGCCGTCAAGGTCCTCCAGCGCATCATCCAGACCCAGAGCAACGCTGGCACCGCCGACCCTCGAGTCCGTCCCGCTCTCTCTCTCTCTCTCTCTCTCTCTCGCGTGACCAGGACCGAAACCCTGACCTTCTGCCCCACCTGCAGCTCGCCCGCAACCCCGAGCCCAACCTGTCGCTCGTGCGCGCCAACCACCCGTTCCTCAAGATCGCCGCGCTCGAGGACGAGGCCAACAAGCTCCTCGGCGAGTGCATCACGACCCTGTTCACGTCGGCGTCGCCCGACCTCGTCGGCGCCGTCGTCGCGTCGCTCGCGACCCTCGTCAAGAGCCGCCCGCAGTACGTCAAGCTCGTCGTCACGAGCCTCACCAACTGGACCCCGGCCGCGCTCGCAGGCCAAGGAGCGGCCCAGGTCAAGAGCGTCGAGAAGGTCGTCCGCATCTCGTTGAGCCACCTCGTCAAGTGCGTTCCTCGCTCCCGCCTTTCTCATCTCCCTCCTGTCGCAAGCGCTCACGAGGACCGCCTCTCCCCCCTCGCAGGACCTCGCACGCGACGTCCTTCTCGACCCAGATCGCCGACTTTCTCGCGCTCCAGTCGCAGCGCATGGACGCCGCCGCGCTCGAGGCCCGTCGCGCCCGCGACGACGAGGCGTCCCGCAAGCGAGCCCTCCTCGCGAGCCAGATCGACGACGTCGGCGGCGGCGACAGCAAGCGGCGGCGGCTCAACCCGGCGGCGTCGACCGCGAGCGAGGGCACGACGGCCGCGTTCAGGGCGGCCAACCTCAACCCGGGCACGGCGACGCCGAGCATCGCCGAGCTGCCGCTCGACATGGTCGTCGACCTGCTCGTCGCGACGCTGCAGAACGTGAGCGCGCCGGTGCTCGGGACCGCCATCGACGTGCGTCCTCCTCTCCCTCGAGCCTCTCTCGTTCCGTCAAGATTGAGCCTGACGCACCCTCGAGCGCGCACAGACCGTCCGGCGCAACCTTCCCGCGTCCTCCTCCGCCGACACCCACGACCGCCCGGCCTCGCTCCCTCCTTCAGCTCCAGCACCCGACGTCACCCCTGCGCCCGTCATCGACCCGCTCAAGCTCGACCTTGGCGCCGACGAGCTCGACCTGCGCGCCGAGGTGCCGCCCGAACCCGCTCGCGCCGCGTCCGAGGAGGCCGACGACGCCGCCGCCGCCGCCGACCAAGCCGCGGCCTTTGCCGCGACGGGGCTCGCGACGCGGCCGGGCGCAGGCGCAGCCGACATGGACCTCGCGGCGCCGCTCGAGATGACGCTCGACGCGCGGCACGCGGTCGTCCTGAGCGCGCTCAAGCGCGTGTGCGCCGCGGGCCCGGACGGCGCGAGCGACAAGGTGTGGGTCCCGCTCGTGTCGCGGTTGATCACGCGCGGGCTCGAGGTCGAGGCGGACGAGGGCGAGAGGAGGAGGGCGGGCGAGGGGGGCGAGGTCGAGAGGGAGAGGGCGAGGAGGAAGGGCGACGAGATGCGCGAGGTCGTGTTCCGGTTCGTTGCGGGGGACCTGCAGGGGCGGACAGAGCTCGCGAGGCTATGGCTCAACGAGGAGTGGTACGCGTGCAAGCGGCGCGGCATCGTCGAGGTGCGTCCCTGTCTCCCTCGTTCATCCTCCTCCCTCCCGCTCGAGGACGCGCACTGACCTTCCTGCGCCTCGTCGACAGAATCGCCCGTACGATCACTGGCTGCGCAAGTTCCTCGAGCACGTCGGCGTCGCGTCGAGCAACAAGGACCGCGAGCTGCTCCAGTTCCTCATGGACCTGCCCGAGATCCCGGTCGACGAGATCTATCGCCTCGAGGGCATGGCCGTCAACGCCGACCAGTGCGTCTTTGCGTTTCTCTGTCGTCTCTCGAGCCCGCTGTTACCGCGTACTCACGCTCGTCCTCGTCCACAGGATGCAGCTCGGTTTCTCGACCCTGCGCGAGCTCGTCGTCCTGCGGCCCTCGGTCCGCCCTGCCGCGCTCGACGTCCTCCTCGGCCTGACGACCCACGCCGACAAGCGCGTGCGCAACGCGGCCATCATGACGGTCAAGAAGTGGGTCCCCGACATGCGCGAGTTGACGCCCGTCGTGCACGCGTTCGCGCTCGAGCTCGTCGAGCGGCTCAAGGTGGCGCCGCCGGCGCCCAAGGAGGACGAGGGGGCGGTCAAGGAGGGAGAGGAGGGCGAGGGCGTCAAGGACAAGGACGGCGAGGAGGACATGAAGGTGGACGATGAGGCGTCGCCGGCGCCGGACGAGCCCAAGGAGCCGTTCGCGCTCGTCCGCGGCGGCAAGGTCGTCGATCGGCTCGAGCCGCCGACGACGCTCGGCGGCGTCACGCAGCACGTCGAGCTGCTGCTCGCGCTCTGCGTCAAGGAGCCTGCGCTTCTGTTCCCGTACGTCCCCTCCCACCTCTTTCTTGCGCACGAGCCCGTTCCTGACTTCTCGTCCCTCTCGCAGGCTCTTTGAGCGGTACGGCGCCATGCAGCCCTTTGCGCAAGACGCCCTCGAGGAGCTCATCGCGCCCCTGATCCGGTCGCTCGGCCTCAAGCACGAGGGCCTGCTCGACCTCGTCGGGCGGTTCCCGGCCGGCAGCGACAAGCTCATGTTCCGCGTCCTCGAGATCGCCGCCGACAAGACCAAGCTGCCGAGCAACGTGACGGGCCTCATCCGCCAGGTCGCCGCCGAGCGCGAGCTCGACCAGCGCTTCTACCCGATCATCCTCCCCGAGTGCAGCAAGGTGCGCCCGCTCTCTCGCTCTCTCGCTCCCTCCCCTTCCTCGTTCTCGACCTGACTCGTTCCTCGCCGTCTTGCAGGCCGAGGTCGTCCGCTGGTTGCCGCACGTCATCAAGCTCCTCGACGGCACGCCGCTCAAGAAGGCGCAGACGCGGTCCATCTTCCTGTCGATCATTGCGCCGCCAGCCCACTTCTCGAGCATCAACTCGCTGCGCACGAGGAGCGACTCGATCACGCCCGTCGAGCTCATGATGTACCTGCACAAGCACGACAAGGAGATGGGCCTCAAGAACACGATCGAGGGTGCGTCCTCTTTTCTCTCCCCCTCGCTCGCCTCGACGGTCACTGACGCCTCCCACACTCGCACACAGCCATTTCGATCTGCTTCTCCATGGCCGACGGCTTCCGCCCCGAGATCCTGGCCGCCTTCATGCAGCAGGCCGTCGACGAGCCCGTCATTCCCAACCTCTTCCTGCGCACGGTCCGTCCCTCTCTCTCTCTTCTCTCTCGCCTCTCGCACCAGTCGCTCATTCTCTCGCGTGTGCAGGTCATCCAAGCCGTCACGACCTACAAGTCGCTCCAGCCGTTCGTCAGCACGACGCTCCTGTCGCGCCTCATCGCCAAAAAGGTCTGGACGGTCGGGCCCCTGTGGGAGGGCTTTGTCCGCCTCGCCAAGGCGATCGCGCCCAACTCGTTCGCGGCGCTCCTCCAGCTGCCCAAGGAGCAGCTCGCAGAGGTCGTCGTCAAGCAGCCGAGCCTGCGTGCACCGCTGAGGGAGTACGTCGTCAAGAGTGCGTCCTCCTCTCTCTTTTTCTCTCCTCTCCTTTTCCGCACTCTCGTACCGACACGTCTCGGTGCTCGCAGAGGGCGGCGCCAACCACGCTCGCAGCCAGGCGGTCCTCGAGGCGATCGGCGAGGACGACCCAGCGGGAGCTTCGGGCGGCGCGACGCCCAAGTCGGGCAGCGCGACGCCCATGCCGCCGCCGCTGCAGGCGTAGCTGTACGAGCAGAGACCCGAGTGTTGTATAGAGCATGTCGTTCTCGCACCGCGCGTCGTCGTCGTCGTCGTCGAGTCGAGCGAGAGGAAAGCTGCTGGGTCCGTGCGCTCGGCTCCGCTCTCTCGCTCACGCTCGCAGTGCCGCTCTCGCTCTCGCGGCGCCGGATGTCATTCAACAAGCTGCTCAATCTCGGGCTGATGTGCTACGAAGGAGGGGACACGCCCAGGATCCGAAGCACGTTCTCGTGCTTGGCGAGCGACTCGTACAGCTGGGCGCCGACGAGAGGGTAGACGGGCGCGATGTGGGTGTCGACAAAGGTGTGAAGGCGCGCGACGATGCGAGCCATCTCGACGTTCTCGTTGGGCGCGCAGAAGACGGGCTGAAAGCGCGCCTTGTCGATCCTTTCCTCGAAGAAGAGCATGTAGTGGAGGTACCGCGCCCGCCAGGGCTCGGCGCCGTGACGACGCTGGAACGGCCACTCGCAGGCCGAGTACAGGTCCCAGTACGGCAACGACATGAAGGGGTCGGCTGGCGGGGCGTTCCACCGGATGTGCGGCGACTCGGTGCGAGCCCACTCGTGGGCGCGCACGATGAGGTTGATCTGCTGCAGCTTGTGGCGAGTTCTCTTGTCGTCGGGAGGCTCGGGAGCACCCTTCGTGATGCTCTCGACAGCGGCCTGCGCGAGAGGGTGAGTCAGCCGAGGGTCCGAGAGAGGGCGCGAGAAGTAGGAGGAGGGCGGGACGCACCTGCGCTTTGTCGCGCGAGATGCCCAGAAGTGCAATAGCGCCTTGGCGACGGTAGACCGGTCTGAAGAGTGATCGATGAGGTGGCCTGTCGACTCGTCCATGTGCTCGATGATCTCGCGCGACTCGTCCTTAGTGAGGAGCGGCCACGTGAACGGGTTGGCCTTGCCGGGACCGCACACGCGTTTGTGGACGTTCCAGGCCTGCACGCACGGGTTCAAGGGTCAGCTCGACGGGCTTGAGGAGGCGACAGATTGAGAGAGAGGGGAAAGGAAAGAGACTCACGAGCTGCTGGTGGGCGGGCGAGCAGAAGCCGAGCGAGATGCCGGCCTCGGCGCACTTGCTGCAGCGCTGCTTGGTCTCGGTACCACACACGAGGCACGTCTCGTCCCAGTTGATGGCCATGGCGAGTCGCGCGAGATGATGGGTGATGACGACGAGGGGAGTGTGCTCGTGGAGCTGATGAAGATGAACCGAGGGCGCGGAACGGCGTGCGGTGGAGCACGGGTGGCTCTGGTCGCGATGTATAGACTGAAGCTAGGGCGGGAGCTGTCCTGCGAGGCCCTTGAGCGAGAGCGAGTGGTGGGAGCAGGAGCGAGAGCGGCGAGCTCAGCGTCAGCTCCTCCTCCCACCCTCGACCCTCTCACGCTCTGCCGCCGCCTCCCTGTTGTGCTCGCACTGGCTCTCGTGGACTCTCTCGAGGACGTCCGGACGTCCCCTCGGCCGGACCACCTCGCTCGAGCTATCTCTCGTCGCCGCAGCTCGCAGCTCGCACCGGGCGGCGCTGGCCCGGCCGCCGCTGCTGGCGGTGCCTCGGCTGGCGCTGCCGCCGAGGAGAAGAAGGAGGAGAAGGTCGAGGAGAAGGAGGAGTCGGACGACGACATGGTGCGTCCCCTCTCTCTCTCTCTGAGCCGCGCCGGGTCCTTCGACGTCGTCGTGGTCCGGCGGCTCTCGCTCTCCCTCCCTCTCACCAGTCGCTCACCTTTCCCTCTCTATCTCTCTACAGGGCTTCGGGCTCTTCGACTAAACGTCGGGCTCCTGGGTCTCTCTCTCCCCCTCCCCCCTCGTACCCTTCTTGCAACCCGTGCACCACCTCTACCCTTTGTCCGTGTCGCTTGTGTGCGCACGCGAGCCTCGCGTCACAAGTACACGTGTGCGAGGGCGAGCGCGTCGAGCGAAAGCGTGTGAGAGCGAGAGCAAGGTACAGAGCGAGACGGCGAAAGAGCGACAGCAACTCCGTCAAGCGTTGGTCGCGTCGGCCAGCGCATCTTCTCTCTCGCGCCCGTCGCGTCCTGGTTCGTCACGGGGTCTTCCTCGAGATCTCAGTAGACTGGACGCGAGTATTTGTCCACTTGCGCGACGACGACGCTCGCGTGAGGCCGCCGACGAGCTCTCGAGGGTGCGCTCGAGCCTGCCCTCGCTTTCGATCTTGAGCACTTTCCCGGCTGCCCTCCTCCTCGCTCGCTCAAACCAATCCCGTCGGTCGATCGACTGCTCGAGGTACACCTTCTGCTCACTCCTGCTGCAAGGTCTGCTTTGCCGAGAACCTCTCTCGCGCTCTCGAGGAAACTCGACCGAGACTCGGTCGCGAGTCAGGATTCCAAGCGGACACGACGACATCTACGAGTTCGTCTTCATCCTCAACCAGTCCTGGGCCCTCTTCAAGTCGCGGTCCGCCGCGGCGCGGTACTCGGCCGCGAAGCGCGGGTTCGAGCGTGCGGCGCCCGCCACGACGTGATCGGTAAGCCGCTGAAGGGACTGGTCGAGCGTCATGAACGCCTCGTCATAGCCGTTCACGGCCATGGTGGTCATGGCGAAGTTTATGAGCGCGTAGTGCCGCGCTTTGGTGCGCCAAGGCTCGCGCCCGTACTCGTCAAACGAGATCGAGCCGCGGGCGGCGAAGAAGTCCCAGCCTGAGGCGGCGCACAGCGCGCTCGACCGTCGCGGGCCCATGACGTTGTCGAACGACTGCGCCTCGACCGGGATCGTGACGCGAGCCTCGTCAAAAGCACGAATGCTCACGAGGAGCAGCTGCTGACGCGCGTCGTTGGCGGCGGCGACTCGGCGGTCTGCGCCCGCCGTGAGCTCCTCGATGAGCATCTGCGGAGGAGTCGAGATCGGTCAAACTCGGATATAGTGATACTCGGACTGAGCCGACACGCGGAACGCAGTCGAGGAGACCTAGGGACGCACAGGCACCATCTCGCGCGAGCGGACCATCTTGGCGACCATCTTGGCGACAGTGTTGAGATCTGGCGGATTGTTGACGAGGTTACCGGTCGTCTCGTCCATGTGCTCGATGACCTCGCGCGACTCGTCGACCGACAGGAGCGGCCACACGAACGGGTTGGCCTTGCCCGGCCCGCACACGCGCTTGTGGTCGTTCCAGACCTGCACACACGGGCTCGAGAGGTCGGCTGGGGAGGCTCGACGAGGCGCAAAGAGACCGAGAGGAGGAGGAGAGGGGACGTAGGAGACGCTGATGCTCGGGCGAGCAGAAGTACAGGCTGATGCCGGCCTCGGCGCACCTGCTGCAGCGGTTCTTGGTCTTGGTGCAGCACACGAGGCACGTCTCGTCCCACTCGGAGCTCATGCTGAGGCTTGAGGAGGTTTTTGTGATGACGACGAGGGGAGCCTCGTGGAGCTGATGAAGACGAAGTGACGGCGAGGGAAGGCGTGGGCTGGGCTGGAATTGGGGAAGTCGACTCGAGCGGTCGAGCGCGACTGCAGCACGCTCGTTGTGGGAGCGAGTGGTGGGAGGAAGGCGAGCGACGACGACGAGGCGAGCTCGCACTTGCTCTCCTCCCTCGCACGCTCGCTCACTCGCTGAGCCCGCGACCACCTGCACGTCTTGTTCTAGGCTTTGAGCACAGCTTCCTGTCTCTCGCGCAACAGCCGTGCGAGGTGTGCGGCGTCCTGACGAGCCAACGCTGCGCCGCCTGCGAGTCGGCGGGGCTCAGCCTCTTCTTCTGCTCAAGGGAGCATCTCAAGCTCGTGCGTCCCCTCTCTCTTCTTTGCAGAGTAGGACGGCCCTGACTCTCGAGTCTGTGCAGGTCTGGAAGGCGCACAAGCCCGTCTGCGGCCCGGGCAAGGCGCTCCCGATTGCCACCCTGCCGCTCACCGACCTCGAGCTCAAGGCTGCGCACGCACGCCTCGACAAGATCGCCATACCCGAGCAGCCCTTTCCGATTTCCCTGCGGCACGAGCTTCAGATGAGAGCGAAGCAGCCGGCCGAGGTGCGCCTTGTTCACTGTTTCCCTCGCCCGTCCCCTCTCGGTCGCATTGACGCCCCGCTCGCCCTGCAGACCGTCCTCAAGCACCTCGGTGGCGACGTCTGGGACACGAGCAAGCTCTCGGCCAAGCCCTGGATTGTCCTCATGGTCCGCATGGCCATGTGCGAGTACGGCACCCACGGCGAGATCGACTGCGACCCTGCGCCTCTCGCTCTCGAGCTCTTCCAGCACTACCACAGGGGCGAGGGCCGCGACGAGCCGGGCGGCATCTACGAGGCGGCGCGCGTCAGCTACCAGGTCACCTGCGTCTACGACTGGCTCGCGCACGTCGGCGGCATCGGCGCTCACGACCCGCGCGAGCCGTGGTTCAGCCTCCTCGCGCACAAGGTCCTCCTCTTTGGTCACCTCGGTCGCCTGAGCGCTGCGTCGCTTGACGCGCTCGAGGTCCGGACGTTCTACGAGGGCGCGAGGAAGCGTTTCGACGACTGGGTGCGCGGCGGCATGGGCACGGACAACGCGCTGTACATCGCCGCACTGAGGGGATGGTCAAGGTCTGAGCGAGCGCGGCGAGGGCGAGCACGCAGTCCAGCAGTCGAGGAGCGCAGCCGCTCGCGAACGAGGTCGTGCGCTCGATTCTTCTGAGCGGTCGGGCAGAATAACGTTCACGAGCAGCCCTGAGAGCGCGAGGAGCTGAGAGAGTGCGAAAGCCGTCGCAGGCGACGATTTACAGAGCGCGCGAGAAGAGAGAGAGCGCGCGCGAGGCCGCCAGAAGGGCCGCTCGGCCCTCCTGCTCGAGAGCCAGAGACGGCCGCCGCCCAGGCTTGCTCGCTCGCCGTCTCGCACCGTACCTTGCTCTCGCTCTCACACGCTTTCTCTCGACACACTCGCACACGTGCACGTGTGACGCGAGGCTCGCGTGCGCACACAAGCGACACGGACAAAGGGTAGAGGTGGTGCACGGGTTGCAAGAAGGGTACGAGGGGGGAGGGGGAGAGAGAGACCCAGGAGCCCGACGTTTAGTCGAAGAGCCCGAAGCCCTGTAGAGAGATAGAGAGGGAAAGGTGAGCGACTGGTGAGAGGGAGGGAGAGCGAGAGCCGCCGGACCACGACGACGTCGAAGGACCCGGCGCGGCTCAGAGAGAGAGAGGGGGGACGCACCATGTCGTCGTCCGACTCCTCCTTCTCCTCGACCTTCTCCTCCTTCTTCTCCTCGGCGGCAGCGCCAGCCGAGGCACCGCCAGCAGCGGCGGCCGGGCCAGCGCCGCCCGACGGGACCGACGCGAGCTTCTTCGAGCCCTCGGCGATGACCTCGTTGATGTCCTTGCCCGAAAGCTCCGAGATGAGCTTCTCGAGGCGGGCCTCGTCAGCCGAGGCGCTGCAGGGAGGGGAGGGGGACGAGGGCAGGTCAGTCAGGGTGCTCCTTGCAGAGGCCGCCGCCGAGGCGAGACGAGGGCCGAACGAGCGCGCACAGACAGGCGAGCTGGCCGTACGCGTCGCCCTGGCCCAAGCCCCGACGACTCGAGCATGAAAGAGGGCGGACGCACCCAGCGGCCTCGAGGACCGACTTGACGTCGGCAGCCGAGGGCGAGGCGTTGCCGCCGGAGACGAGGAGGAGGTAGGCAGCGACGTGCTTCATCTGTGCGGTTGCGGAGTGGACGAAGGAGGTGGAGGGGGGAGGGAGAAGGGGGAGGTGAGGCGAGGTGAGCAGGCGCGCGGGCGGAGGGCGAGGGTTTTTGCTGGCGCGACGAGCTCGAGCGCGGTCCTGGCCGACTGCCGTTCCCGAACTGCTGCTCTGTGGACCCTGCCCCTTTGAGGGACGCAACCCGCAGGTGCGCCGTGGTCCAGCTCGAGGCCGAGGGCGAGAAATCGGCGGGTCGAGGTGTGCGGAGGGGAGGGTCCGAGCCGGTGCGGGCGAGGGCGAACGATGGGTGAAGAGGCAAGTTGGAGGGCGGGAGAAAAGGGACGGACCGTGAGCTGGATAGATCCCTTAGCTGAGTGGGCCGCACGACTGGAGAGGAGAGGAGAGCTGGAGCAGGTGCGCGACGAGGCGGCGAGCGTCGGGCGGGCGGGCGAGCTCGAGAGAGGCTGCTGGCCTCGCCCTCGCCTCGCTTCTCTCCTCACTTCGGTCACTCTCTAGGTCAGTCTCGCACCCACTACACCGCCAGAGCAAGTGCCACCCCCGACCCGCTCGCCCTACTCGCGCCCTCCCGCCGGCCCGCGTCCACCCCCCTCCCCCTCCCCCCTCGGTGCAACCTCGTCCTCGACCCGCACTCGCACCCACCCACCCTGCGCCAGGCTCCAGCACCCGGAAAACTTCTCGCCCGCCGCACCCACCGACGTGCGCCACCTGCCTCTCGCCGACCCGCGGCGAGGCCGACCTATGCCCCGACGCCGACGCCGTCGTGTCGGGCAAAGCGCGCCAGGCGGGCGAGCGGGTCCACCTCGGGTCGCACTCGCTCCGACCGGCGAGGGGCAGGGCATTGGGCAGTCGTGGTGGACACAGCGGCGAGGGCGGCGGGGCAGCGAGCGCACGCCGCGAACGGCCCCCGACGACCTTGTCCCGCACCAGCACCTCCGCACCCCCTCTCGTCGAGCCGTCGTCCTGACCCCCTCTTGCCCCACTCGCCACAGGTCAATATGAACGCTGACGAGGCTGCTGCCGAGCGCCGCCGCGCCCGCACCTTCAAGAAGTTCTCCTACCGTGGCGTCGAGGTGCGCCGCCGTCCCTCCTCCACCTCGTCCCCCTCCTCCCCACTCCTCCCGGCCGTCGAGCGCCGCACCCCGCTCGTCTGGCGACCTCGAGACTGACCACGGCAGTGTGCCCCACCCACAGCTCTCGCAGCTCCTCGACCTCGACTCGGCCGCCTTTACCGAGCTCGTCCACGCGCGTGCCCGTCGTCGCTTCCAGCGCGGCCTCAAGCGCAAGCCCCTCGCGCTCATGAAGAAGCTCCGCAAGGCCAAGACCGAGGCCGAGTCGGGCGAGAAGCCCGCCGTCGTCAAGACGCACCTCCGCGACATGATCATCGTCCCCGAGATGATCGGCTCGGTCGTCGGCATCTACAACGGCAAGGTCTTCAGTGCGTCCCACCTTTACTTCCCTCGACGCCTCTTGTTGTCCCGGCGGTCGACTGACTCGAGCCGCACCCCCCCCCCCTTGCAGACGCCGTTGAGATCAAGCCCGAGATGACTGGGTTCTACCTCGGCGAGTTCTCCATCACCTACAAGCCCGTCCGCCACGGTCGCCCGGGTATCGGTGCCACGCACTCGTCGCGCTTCGTGCGTCCCACCTTCCCCCCCTCTCTCGCTCGTCCTCGTCGAGAACCCGCCCTGACCTCGCCCCCCTTCCCTCGCAGATCCCCCTCAAGTAAAGCGTGTCCCAGCTTCCCCGGCTGCGTCTCTCTTTGTCTTGTGTGTGCGGGTGGGTGCAACGAGGGTGCCTCTGTACGATCCGCAGCAGTGGCTCGGCGTCTACGAGAGCGAGGGAGGAAGAGCGGCCGGCGGGCTGCCATGATCAAGCTTCTCAGACCTTGGGACGCCCTCGCTGCGAGCGAGAGAGAGAGCCAGTGCTGCTTTCGCTGCTTCTGCTGAGCTGCGACTGTCGCTCGAGGCGAGCGAACTGCGAGATCGCCTCGTTGAGCTCCTCCTCGCCTCGTTCGCTCCCGCTCCACCCGCGCGCTCGCCTCGCCCTGCTCCCCGGCTCGAGCCTCCCACCACCCTCAGCACCCGCCGCTCGCGCCCGCCACACCGCCGCAGCTCGCCCGCACGCCCGCGCTCACCGCCCCGCCGCCTCATCCAAGAAGCACGCGCCCCTTCCCCCTCCGCGCCTCTCACCCTCGCCTCACGACACCCCAAGATGAGCTCCGAGTGGGACGAGACGTGCCTCGTGTGCTGCACCAAGACCAAGAACCGGTGCAGCAAGTGCGCCGAGGCCGGCATCGACCTCTTCTTCTGCTCGCCCGACCACCAGAAGCTCGTGAGCTCCTCTCTCCTCTCCTCCTCTTCCTCGCCTCTCCCTGCCAACGGTCGAGGTCGTCGAGCTGACCTCTCAAGCCCGTGTGAGCAGGTCTGGAACGTCCACAAGCGCGTGTGCGGGCCGGGCAAGTCCAACCCGTTCCTGTGGCCGCTCCTGTCGGACGACGAGCTGCCCGAGATGCTCGCGCACATGAACGAGACGACCGGCTACTTGGTCGGGTGCGAGCCAGAGTGCAACACGGTCGCCAAGGCGCTGCAGCACGATTTCGCCCTCCCGCCTGACAGCGTGACCGTGCGTCCGCTTTCCCTCCTCGGCCCCATCAGCTCCTCGGATGTCCCTGACAGTTGCTTCCTGTCATGTAGCTGCTCATCACGAGCTGCGCGCAGAGCGCGCACCCGAACGCCAGCGACCCCGGCTCCCTCGCGGTCCAGCTCGTCGTCGCCACGATCCGCGCCCTCGAGTTCGCCCGCACGGGACAGACCGTCGTCGATCTCGATCTCGCCCAGTTCATCCCACTCTCGTCCTCGTACCCGTGGAACGCGGCCTCGGTGTGGGACGTCAACGAGGCTCACGACCCGTCGACGGCGGGGCTCGAGCAGGGCACCGAGCCCTGGCGCACCAAGCTGCGCCACTACTCCCTCGCGTACAACACGGTCCTCGCCATCGTGTACGCCGACGAGCGCACTGAGCTGGCGCGCTCGTTCGGCAAGCACCTCCAGCGCATCGTCGACTCGATTCGCACGTCCGTCGCCCCGTCGAACCCGACGCTGGCCACCAAGCTCCTCGAGAGGATGGAGCTCAGCGATGGGGTGGCCGACGTCATACGCAGTTGCCTGAGAAGCTCGTAGCTTGCGAGGACGCTGGAATGCATGCCTTTCGGTTTCACGGCACTCCCGAGAGCGAGCCTCGTCGAGTCTTGGTTTCTCGGCGCAGCCGGCCTCGCATCGAGAGTGGATAGAGCCAGCGTTTCTCAGCAGTCGACCGGTGAGAGAATGTGGAGCGAGCGAGCGAGAAGGAGATGCGAGAGCGCCAACGAGAACGAGAGCGAGAGTAAGACGGGGCTCGCGCGCCTGTCGAAAGCTCGTCGCCGACCTTCTCTCGTCCTTTCCCGCCGCTCACCCGTACCAACTCTAGCTCTCGATCGATCATGAGCTCTCGGAGAGTACGAGAGCGCGACGCGGTGACAATGCAAGGGCGAGACGAGCGATCTACGACGCAAAGTGCGCCGTCGCGTTCCCCTTCTTGGGCGCGTTGTTGACCCTCGGCGCCCTCCCAAACTCGCTCGTGTCGATCCCCTTGGTCCCTTTGCCCTTGTCGATCCCCTCGCGCAGCTTCTCGGCGCGCGCCTCCTTCTTGCGCGCCGACTTTTCCTGCGCGCGACGCTCGGCGCCCGTCTTGCCGACCGGCTCGGCGTCGAGGACCGAGCGCTGCGCCGTGTAGTCGTGCGGCGTAATGCTGCCTGCTGCTGCGCGCGACGACGACGCCGACGACGACGAGGTGCCGGCGGCCTTCTTGGCCTTCTTGGCCGCCGGCGGGCGGGCCCTCGGGCTCAACGGCTCGTCGCCCTCGCCGGCCGTCTCGGGCACGACCTCGGACGCCGGGCGCGCCCTGCGCTTCTTGGGCTTGTCGGCGAGCGCAGAGACGACGATGACGTCGCTGTCCTTGGGCTTGGGCGCGGCGTGCTTGGGCGCGGGCGCGTCGGCAAGCGTCGACGAGGCGGCCGAGGGCTGCTTCGGGATGCGGCCCGACAGCGGGACGTAGGCGTGGTCGGCCGAGAGGGCGGTCGGGACGGCCGCCGAGTCATCGGTCGTGGGAGGGAGGGTGCTCGAGTCGAGGGGGACCTCGTTCGAGGGGAGCGCTGCTGACGTGTCGACCTTGGCGACAGGGAGCTTCGGCTGGAGCGTCTGTGGAGCGTGCGAGGGAGAGAGCGAGTCAGTCGCTGGACGAGCACAATCGAGAGACAGGAGGAGAGCCCACGCACCTGTCCGAGCCCGCCGCCGAGCGTGAGCGCCTCGTGCACCCTCCTGACCGCCGCCTGCGCCTCCTCGTGCGCGCTCGCCCTGCCCTTGCCCTTCTTGGCGTCCGCCCCGGCGCCCTTGTCCGCTCCTCCACCGCCAAAGAACGTGCTCGACGCGGCAAGGATCCCGCCGCTCGCGCTCGTCGACGCCGTCGCTGCCGCCGCCGGGCTCGCGCCGCCGAAGAACGACGACCGCGTGGCGAGCGACACCGAGACGGGCGCGCTCGTCGACGCGACCGGCGCCGCCGTAGTCGCGTCGCCCCAGATGCCCTGCGCGGGCCGGACGGCCGGCTCCTCGGCAGGCAGGCCGAGCTCGACGCTCGCGCCCGTCGCGGCAGCGAGCATCTCGACGTCGCCCTCGGCGCCGCCTGCCGCCTGCTGCGCCGCGAGAGCGGGCGCGACGCGCTCGACCGTCTCGGCAACGACAGCCGCGAGCTCGTCCTTTCTCCTGCGCACGACGTCGCTCACGCCGCCCCTCGCGGCGCCGAGCGCCTGCATGACGTCCCTCGCGTCGCGGATGCGGCCCACGGCGCCGAGCTCGGCGAGCTGGAGCGCGCCCTGGACGCCGAGGACGTACCGCGCGCTCTCGTCCTCGTCGCGCGCCGTCTGCTCGCGCCAGCGCACGACGGCGCGCAGGCACTCGAGCTTGAGCTCGGCGGGGCCCCAGCCCGTCTTGATCGGGAGGGTCGGGACGGCGAGCGCGGTCGCGTAGGCCTTGAGCGCGCCGGGCTGCTTCGACAGCGGGACGAGGAACCCAGAGTCAAAGTGGCCCGTGTCGGCGTCGAACGGCGGGAGCGAAAAGACGATCGACGACGTCGTGCGCGAGCGGTCGAACACGTCCTGGAGCGGCGAGGGCTCGTCGGCGGTCGAGGACGACGAGGACGCCGCCTTGTCGTGCAGGGCGAGGCGCAGGTGGTCGTAGATCGACAGGAGGAAGTGCGTGTCGGACCGGGCGTAGTGCAGCATCTCCTTGGGCAACGGGCTGCGCAGACGGGCGAGAGGCAGAGTCAGTACTCGAGGCTCGACGTGCAGAACGAGAGAGGGCGAGAAGGCCACGCACCGGATGCGCCAGTCGGCGAGCTGGTACCGCTTGTCGGGCTCAAAGTCGGTGTACATGGCGAGCAACGACGCGAGGCTGTGCTGCGAGTAGCCTGTGGCGCGAGAAAGGGCGCGCCCCGGGCGGCAAAGTCAGTCCCGACTCGGAGGGGGAGAGGGGATGGGGAACGAGGGCGCACCGAGGACCTTGGTGGCGTGGTACGTGTCGAACAGGCCGACGATGTACAGGCCAAAGTCGCGCTGGAGCCACACGATGTCGGAGCTGGCGCCGTGCAGGACCTGTCGGCCGGGAGGAAGAAGAGGTCAGGATCGGCGGCTCCTCTCGTGCGACACAGGCTCGACGAGGACGGACCTTGATCCACTCGGGGTCGGTGAAGAACTCGTTGAGGCAGTCGAGGTTATCGCGCACGGTCGGCTCGAGCGCGTCGATCACGTAGTCCTTCGAGCGGGTGCTGAGCTGCGAGGGGCGAGGTCCTCCTGCGGTCAGTCTCTCGCTCCTTGCACCTCGCCAACAAAGGGAGAGAGGGACGCACCTGGATCAAACACGTCGTGCCCGCCCAAGCGCGAAAGTCGTGGTGCTCGAGGTCGATCGCGAGCTCCTTGTGGCCGTCGGCGCCGGCCGCGCGGATGTCGTCGACGAGGCGCTCGAGCGCCTTGGCGTCGCCGACCCACTCGAACGGGACCTTGTCGAAGCTGTTGGGCGCGTGCGGCTCGGGCTTGGTCGGCGCGGCGAGGAAGTGCGGCGGCGCGACGAGGGCGGCAAGCTCGCGCGCGTACGGGTGCGCGTAGCGGGTGTACGGCGGCGGGACGGTGGCGGTCGTCACGGTGAGGTGGCTCGTGGGCTCGTACAGCTCGGTGGCGAGCCACGACGCGTCGTCGTCGGCGTCGAGGGCGTTGACCTTGCGACGGAGGGCGGGCTTCCACAGCGGGACGGCGCGGCCGTCGTCGTCGAGGGCCGGGATGGCGACGCGGGTGCGGAGTGAAAAGCGCTTCTGGGGCTTGTCGATCGACGCGTCGTGGAGGAGGCGGGCGGGGAGACGCTCGTGCTTGGCCTTTTGGCGGGTGCGCTCGTCCATCTCGGCGGGCGATTTGGCGCCGAGCGGGCCGTTGTGGGCATTGCGGTGCTTGCCGATGCCGAGGTGCTTCTCGATGCCGTCGTCGGCGTGCTCGAGGAGGGGCTCGACGCGCTCGACGACGTTGTTGTAGATGCCCTCGCGGATGAGGTCCGGGTCGAGCTCGGTACGGGGCGGGGCTTGTGCTGGCGGCGGTGCGGCCCAGTCGAGGACGGCCGAGGCGAGGTTGAGGATGCGGAGGGCTTCTTGGTCGAGGCCCTTTGCGAGCCTGCGCGAGAGGGTGCGCTCGAACGCGAGGTCGGCAGGGTCGGGGAGCGAGGCGGCGGCGGTGGTCGGCGGGACGATGGCGGCCTGGAGCTGGTCGAGGAGCTCGGTGAGGTCTGCCATGGTGGTCACGGCAGAGTCGTTTGCAGCTCTGGGCGAGGGCACGACGTTGGAGGAAGAGCGAGCTCATCAGCTTGATCTCGTCCTCGTCCTCATCTCCCCCGCCCTGTCACCAGCCGGCTCAAGCTCACGCTCAAGAGCCCCAGCCCTGCCATGGGCTTCGCTCGCCTGCTCGCCCTCGCCACTGGCATGGCAGTCGCGACCCTCCTCGCCGCCTTTGCCCCACTCGTCGTCCACCTCTCGCCGACCACCCTCACCAGCGTCAGCGAGCTCTCGGTCGGCATCCTCGTCGGTGCCGCCTTGTCCATCATCCTCCCAGAAGGCGTCGCAGCCGTGTTCGAAAACTCGAGCCACGACGACGGCGACCACGACGACAACGCCGCTTGGATCGGAGGCGCTCTCCTCTCGGGCTTCCTCCTCATGTGCGTCCACCTGTCGTCCTCCCTGTCCAACGCGAGACATGCAGTCCAAGGGTCCGAGGTGGGCGCGAGCTGCCCCGCTCGCCGTCGCCGCCCTGCTCCTCGTCCCTCGTCCCCGTCTTGGCTCTCCCTCGGCCTCGCTCACACACCTCTACCTGCGCGCAGGTACCTCCTCGACAACCTGCACGGCCACGACGAGTACCCCGACCCGAACCCGCAGCCGCACCTCCACCCACGGCACCACCACCGCCCCAACCTAAGCGCGACCCCGTCGCACCAGCCCCTCCTCGAGCCCCTGCGCACCTCGGACGAGTACCCGCGCCGGGACGTCGGCGGCAACGGTCACGGCAGCGAGCACTGGCGCAGCGACGAGGAGGGAGGCGCCGCGTCGACGTCGACGTCGAGGAGCCGGTCGCCGATGCCGTGCAACGACGCGCACCTCATCACGGCCGACGCCTCGTCCGTCTCGACCGTCGTCGGCATGCTCACGCACAGCCTCGCCGACGGCATCTCGCTCGGCGCATCGAGCCTGCCCCTCGCCGCCGCCGCCGCCACCGCAGCCGCCGCAGGCGACGCGCCCTCGTCGTCGTCCCCCCTCCAGCTCGTCATCTTTGTCGCCATCCTCCTCCACAAGGCGCCGACCGCCTTTGCGCTCTCGTCGCTCCTCCTCTCGTCGCCCGCCACCTCGCGCGCCTTTACGCGCCGCGCCCTCGTCCTCTTCTCGCTCGCGGCCCCGCTCGGCGCCGTCGCGACCTACGCCCTCCTGTCGCTCGTCGGCGCCCACGGCGGCACCGGGTCGGCCGCAGGGTGGTGGACCGGCCTCGCGCTCGTGTTCAGCGGCGGCACGTTCCTGTTTGTCGCGACGCACGCCGTCCGGGAGCAGGAGAAGCGCGCAGAGGGCCACGGAGGAGGAGGGGGAGGGGGAGGGCACGGGCACGCGCATGGAGCGGACGGCGGCGAGGGGGCAGAGGGGAGGATAGGCGACAAGCAGAGGCTGGCGCTCGTGCTCACGGGCATGGTGGCGCCGGCGTTGCTGTCGCGTCTCGTCGGGCACGGCCACTGAGGTTCTCGGCGGGCGGCGGTTGAGAGGCGGAGGGGAAGTACCATAGATCTGTTCATAGCTCGGTCGTGTTGCATTCGCTTCGTTCCACCGTTCAGATCTCGGCATGAGAGGCGACCGTCGCAGAGCCCGCCGCTCGCATCCTCCTCCTCCTCCTCCTCCACTTGCCTCGCCACGCAGCTCGCCCGCACGAGATGACCACCGCGCCACCCGATCACCTCTCCAAGCTCCCCAGTGACCTCCTCGTCGACTCACTGCTGCCCGCCATCGCCCCTCGCGACCTCGTCGCCCTTTCGCTCGCGAATCGCGCGTGGCACCACTTTGTCGCCGGCGAGGGCGGGCCCTGCGAGATCCTGTGGCAGCGCCGCGCCGCGAGCGACTTTCGGTTCCCGGTGCTCGCGAGCGGCAGGCGCACTGGGTGGCGGGCGCTGTACTCGTCGCTCGCCTCGTCGTCGGCCAGCGTGTGGGGCGCAAGTCGACCTCTCTCTCTCTCTCTCTGCGTGCGGCCAGGTCGAGCGGTACAGGGACAAGGACCTGACCTCGAGCTCGATGCCCGCAGCAAACGACCAACGGCCGCCTCGGCTTCCCTTCCCACCGCACCGGCATCCCTCCCTCGCTCCGCTCCCTCGTCATCGGCGACGCCCTCCCCGTCCCGACCCTCATCGAGCTCCCTGCACCGCCCGTCGCCCTCGTCGCCGGCGGGTGGTCCTTCCATGCCCTCGGCAGCAACGGCGAGGTCGTCAGCTGGGGGCAGCTCAACGGCGGCCTCTTTGCCGGCGACGACGCGCCCCTCTCGAACGAGGGCCGCACCGTGCGGCCCATGGTGCTCCCGCAGAGCGAGGCCGTCGGCCCCGTCGCGCAGCTCGAGGCCGGCAGGGCGCACGTCGTCATGCGCGGCGAGGACGGCAGGGCGTGGGAGGTGCGCGCGCTCGGCCGGGTCGTCGAGGTGCGCGACGAGGGCGGGCGGTGGGGTGCGAGTGCGGGCGGCGGGCAGGGAGCGATCGTGCTCGTTCAGGCGGGATGGGTGCGTCCCCCTCTCTCTCTTTCGCCGCCTCGGGTGCCGTCGAGGAGGGCGGCTGACCCTCTTCTCGGGCCGGCAGGACTACTCGGCCGTCTTGACGGCGGGCGGCGACATCTACGTGTGGTGGGGCCTCGCTCCGGCGGCGAGCGACGAGGGCGCAGCAGCGGCGGGCGAGGACGACCTCGACGACCCGTCGTCGCAGGGCGTCGCCTTCCCGCTCGACCTCGACACGCTCCGCCTCCCTCCCCTTCCCTCCTCCTCCTCCTCGACCCTCGCCGCCGACCCCATCTCGCTCATCAGCTGCGGCGACGACTTGATCCTCGCCCTCACCCGCACCGGCACCCTGTACCGCCTCGACCTGTCGCCCGTCGCGCCCAACCCGAACCAGCCTCGCATCCCGCCGGGCGCCTTCAACGACCCGCACGACAGCCCGATCCGCTCGCGCGAGAGCCGCAGCCGTCTCGAGGCGGCGTTCGTGTCGGGCGCGCGCAGGTGGACGTGCCTGCGCCGGTTCTGCGACATTAGCGAGGTCGGCCGGCTCGAGGGCCTGAGCGTGTCGGGCGAGACGCGCATCACGCACGTCTCGGCGCACTTTGAGTCGTTCGCTGCCTGTGCGTCGTCCCCTCTCTCTTCTCTTTTGTCCTCGTGGCGGAGCGCACTGACCCTCTCGTGAGCGCAGACTCAGTCCCGTCGTCGTCGGACCCGACGGGCTCGATCGTGCTCCTCGGCCGCAAGGACATGGACGACTCTGCGGCGCCCGTCGTCATCCCTCAACTGCAGAACATCGGCGTCATCAAGTCCGTCCTCCTCTCTTTCGGACCGCCTCGAGCCGCTCGAACTGACCTTTTGCCTTTTTCTCAGGATCGCGCACGGCGACTACCACAACCTCGCTCTCACCTCATCCGGTGCGTCCTTCTTTCTCTCCCTCGAGACGTGTCGAGCATACTGACGAGCTGCACCTGCAGGTCATCTCTTCGCGTGGGGCGCCTGGTCGGCCGGCGCACTCGGACTGGGCCACCCTCAGCTCGCCAACACGCCCCTCTCGTCCCCTACCGCCGCTCCTCCACCTCGCGACAGCCAGCAGCAGCCTCGTCCCTACCCGATGCCGCAGTTCGGCGACGCCCCTCAGCAGCCGCACCCGCTGTTTCCGGGCTTCCTCCCCGCTCGCCCCGCCGCGCCGGTCCAGCGCCCGCCCGAGCGGGTCGACATGCCGACGCGCGTGCGCTTCCACGGCGAGCTGCGCGGCGGGACCGAGACGGGCAGGGCCAAGTACGTGTACGCCGTCGCGGCGAGCGGGTGGCATAGCGGGTGCCTCGCCGTCGAGGCGTCGTCGTCCTCGCCCTCTTCGACCTCGACGACGGCAACTCGCCCCGACGCCGACGACGACGATGACGAGCAAGAAGAGCCGATGATCCGCCTGCAGCGCCGGGCGACGGCCGAGCAGGAGATGGCCGACCTCGCGCGCGCGGCCGACGAGGAGAGGCTCAACGGCTCGAGAGGGTGGATGGGCCGGCTCGGGACGATGGGCCCGTTCAGGGTCGGGTTCGCGGGGCGAGGAGCGAGGGGCGGCGGAGCGGGCGGCCTGACGAGGGGAGGAGGGCGCGTCTGAGCAGGTCGGCGAGGCGGCTGTCATGCGCAATCAGTTCTCTCCACTTTCTCTTGCGCGGCTCTCGAGCGAGTTGACGGGCAGCTGGGGAAGCAGGGTCCGCGCGCGCGAGTACTTGAGCGAGCGAGTCGGCCATGCGCTCATTCGAGACCGGTCCATGTTGACCATCTCAAGCCGCGAGACCCGCAACTGTGGGTCTCGAGGTCGGCCTCATCGCCGTTGCAGCTCTCGCTTCTCTCGCTCGTGACGGCGTCCTGACGAGCGCAGCAGGCGCTGGTCCGCAGGGCAGCGCTGAGAACACGCTTGGACCGTGCGGGCTCGGACGTCGGAGTGACATTGCGTACTCGGCCGGCCCTGGCTCAGCCGGTTCGGCCTCGTCGTCGTCGTCGGTTTCGTGACGAGGCCCTCCTTGCCACAAGTTTGAGAGTCACAAGCTCCTGGCGCTCGTCGCCGGCCGGCGCAGCAGCAGTGAGGAGGTCTGTGCGACAGCGGGGTCGAGCTCTCGGGCCTCTCTCTCTCACAGGAGCTGCGGGCCCCGCACGCAGAGAGGGAGAGAGAACAGCGAGACCCGCTTTGCACCGAGTATGTACACAAAGAGACGGGGAGGGAGAGCTGCGGCGAGAGGGTGCGAGAGTGCGAGATGCGAGCTAGGGTTGCGAGCGACAGAGAGGGAGGGAAAGGGAAAGGACGAGGCTATGTACGTGGGGAAGGGGAAGCTATGTGCAGAACTAAGAGAGAGGCCGGAATCAAACGCGCTGTATGGACAAGGAGGGGAGGGGGAGACAAAGCGGAGGGAGGGTGATGTCATGAGGCGACGACGACGACGGCGACGGCGAGGCGTGTGCGTGTGCTGGATGCGAGTGTCGCTCGACGTGCATCGTCGTAAGGTCGTCGACGAAGACGAGCAGGCTCAAGCCTGGGCCGGCTCGTGCCCGTCGAGGGCGTTCTTGCGCTCGAGGTCGACCTTGAAGCGGTCGAAGCGCGACGACGTGTACGAGTACAGTCCCTCTGCGTGGCTTGGGGTGGTCAGCTCGACGTCAAAGAGATGGGGAGAGAGCAGGGACGCACGGCGGTAGCGACGGAGGGCGTCGAGCGTCTCGTCCTCCTCGTGCGCGAGGTCGTTGGTGCCGTCGGCGAGCTGGTCGACCGAGTCCTCGTAGCTGCCGGTGCGGTGCGACGTGCTGCGCTGCGACGTGTTGAGGCCGCCGGCGGGCGACGGCAAGGCGTGCGAGATGCCGCCGAACGAACCGAGGGGCGAGGTCGACAGGTTGGGCGAGGTCGAGTCGGTGCTCGAGATGGAACCCGAGCGGCCCTCGTCGTGGCTCGGCGGGATCGTGGTGGCAATGGCGTCGGTCGACCTGCACGGACGAAGCGTGTCGCGACGAGGCGGGCGAGGGAAAGGGGATTGAGAAGGTCAGCTTCGGCGTTTCGTGAAAGAGCGGTGCAAGCGTGCGACGCACATGGTTGCGGTGGTCGGGCGGGGAGGGGCTGCGAGTGCAAGCTTGTGGTCGTGCAGAGAGAGCGTCACGAGTGTCGAGAGAGAGGAGAGCACCAGAAGCGTGGGCGGCGCAACCTCGTTCTCCCCAGGAACGACGTAATCGAACGGTCGACCGACCGACCGACGACCGCTCGCGCCGGGGAGCGCTTTTGCCCTTCGAGAGCCTCACAGGAGTTATCGCCCCCGCGTCCAAGCCCAGGCGACAGCGTCAGGAACGACCAAAGTTCGCTCGCGACCAGCATCATCGACAGAGTTCCCCCTCGCTCCTCTCCCTCGCCGCTTCCGTGCGAGAAATGAAGATCGTCGCTCTCCCCGCCGCTCGACCGCTTTGACATCTGTCATGCGCAGCGGGGCGTGCTTCCTCGAACAATGGCTGGGGCGCGCTACAGACGTAAGCTCGCTCGAGCCTCGCCGACAGCGAGCTCTTCTCGCCTCCTGTCCGGCGCACCGCTCGCCGCGACCCCGAGAACAAAAGATCTGCCGGCGTGCCGCACCGTACGCACCCCCGCAGCGACGGCTGGGAGCGTCGCGGAGCGTGCGGGCTGCGAGTCGCACGCTGACGAGCCTTCGCTGGTTGACGAAGCACGCTCTCACGCTTTCGAGAGACGCTAGATCCGGGGCAGGCAGTACTTGCTCGAGTGCGAGGCTACAGCTCGCCCTCCTCCGTGGGACCGTCACCGTCGCCGGTGGTCTGCGAGCGGCACGAGCGAGTGTCAGTGACGCGCTCGCGCTGCAGCGAGAGAGCCTGCCCGCCACTCGCTCGTTGCCACCACGACGAGGCAAGGTCGCTGTGCGGCGAGAGCCAGTGGCGAGGGCGAGGGCGAGGCGCGAGAGAGCGAGAGCGAGAGAGAGAGAGAGAGAGCGGACGCACCCTCATCGTGACGTCCCCGCCGACCTCCTGCTCCCCCTCGTCCAACCGCGCCTTCTTTGCCCGCTCGCCCGCCGCGCCCTCCTCTCCCGCACGCTTGCGTCCGTCGCCCGCCTCGCCGCCGCCGCCGCCGCCGAGCGCGCTGCTCGCACGCCGCGAGCGACCCTCGCCTCGGTCCCGCTCGCGCTCGAGGTCCCGCTGTCGCTCGTACGCGCGGTCCCGCTCGGTGCGGTCCTGCTCGGCTGCTTCGCGCTCGGCGCGCTTCTCCTGCGAGGCAGAGGCGGGAGAGCGATAGAGGGGGGAAGGCGAAGGGGAAGAAGGGGAAGGCGGGAGGAGATGGTCAGGTTCGTCGGTCACGCTGCGGGTCTCGCTCGTGCGACGACGACGCCGTCGGCGCCGTCGCAGCTGCAGGTCACGCCCGAGAGAGAGAGAGAGTGAGAGAGAGCGCGAGGCGCACCTTTGTCCGCTTGACAAACTTGTCCCACGCGCTCCTCCTCGCCTCGTCCTTGCCCTCGAGCGCCGTCCACTCCTTGCTCTCGACGACGTCCTCGCGCTTGATGACCTCGTCGTACTCGTCCTTGTCGACGTCGACCGGCGGATCGTCGAGGCGCTTGAAGAGGTACCGCAGGTCGTCGACGGCGAGGCGCAGGGCTTTCTCGGCTCGGCGGCGAGCGTCTCGGGCGGCACGTTGAGCGCGGTGACGCAGCTGCAGAAGGGACGGTGAGGAGGTGTAGAGTCAGGATGTGGGCGTCGAGAGACAGCTGGCGCTGAGAGAGGCACGTGGGAAAGAAAGAGAGAGAGCCGTACCGTCTCGAACGCCTCGTGGACCGCCTCGTCGCCGAGCTCCTTGACACGCTCGTCGCCCTCGACAGCCTTCTTGAACTCGGCCTCGCCCGTCTCCTCGCCGACCACGACGCCGTGCTTCTCGGCGACGCTCTCGAGGAAGACAAGGCGCTCCTCGGCGGCGATGTCGAGGTCGTCGACGCGGTCCCAGAACAGGTCGAGCGGCGACGACGAGCCGGGGAGGCCGAGCAGGTTGAGGTACCGCGGGTCGCGCGACACGAGCGGGTAGACGGCCGACCAGGGCGTGCCCGCCGTGAGGTCCTTGGACGCGACGAGCTCGTCGAGGAGCGCCTGCAGGTACGAGCGGCGAGTCAGTCGTGCGCCCTCGTGAGCGCCAAGACAGAGAGGAGGGAGAGATGCCGGGACGCACGTTGTAGTCGTCCCTCGCCTTGCGACCACGACGGCGCTTGTCCTCGGCGATCCTCGCCCTCGCCTCGGCAAGCTCCTTCTCGGCGCGCTGCACCTCGTCCTCGTACACGGTCAAGAGGTCGATCGGCTCGATGCGCTGCAGCTCCGGGTCTCGGTGCCACTCGGGCGTGCGCATGACGAGCGCGCGGGCGTCGGCCCACCGGATCGGGCCGGCGAGGTCGAGCGCGAGCGACTGGAGGATGCTCGTCACCTTGTCCATGTTGCGGCCGCGCATCTCGCGCTTGCGGGTCTGTTGTGGGCCGAGGAGGGGGTGTCGGTCAGGGTGCGCGCCGTATAGAGAGAAAGGGAGAGACGGGCGCACGCACCTCCTCCTGGGTGCGCAACTTGGCGATGTACTCGTCGAACAGGATCTTGCGCTCGTCGTCGTTGCGGGGCAAGGCCCACACGTCCTTGCACTTTTCGCTCATGACGCGCGCGCCGCGCTCCCAGCTCCACCAGCTCTTGACGCCGTCCTCGAACCCGACGCCGCCGCCGACCTTGTCCATGGCCTTGCCCCACTCCTTGCGGCACCGCGCGAGGCTCTCGTCGCGCTCGGCGAGCTCGCGCTGGTCGCGCTCGACGAGGAACTCTTCGAACGCGGCCTTGCGCTCCGACAGCGTGCGCAGCGCGCGAAAGGCCGGGTCCGTGATGCACTCCTTCATGACGACCTCCCACGTCCAGGTGCGGTCGACGCCGAGGCGCTCGAGCATGCCCTTGAACGCGCGCGACGCGTCGCCGAACGTCGAGTAGACGGCCGGGCCCTGCGGCGTGCTCGCGCCAGTGGTGACGGCGGCCGAGGGCCCGCCCGCGGTGGACGAGGCAAAGGCGGGGCGAGCGGGGAGGCCGGCGGGCGAGTAGGCGCCGCCGGGAGCGACGAGGGCGCCGGTGTGGGCGGTGAGGGCGGGCGAGGCAGGGCCGGTCGGGGCGTTGGGCGGAGGGTTGGGCCGAGGAGGGGTCGATGCGGCCTCAGAGGCACGTCTGTGGGGCGCAAAGAGTCAGTGCAGGGCCCTGAGGAGGTTGCCGAGGTTGCAGAGCGTACTTGAAGCGCTGGATGATGTCTGCGGCGACGAGCGAGGGGGAGTAAGTTTGCGGCTCGCTCGAGTGGTTCGGGTTCGAGGAAGAGGACGAGCGGACGAACCCGAGATGTCCGAGGGCATGTTCCAGGTCGTCTCCTTCGAGTCGCGGTGGACCCAGTACTTGCGGCCGTTGGTCTCGTACTCGTCCCAGGGGCACTTGTCGACCTCGAGCTCGAGCGGGGTCTTGAGGTCGCGGGGCTTTGTCCAGGACGAGCCGTGTTGCGGGTGGGACCAGTAGGGGCGACCGTCGGCCTGGTTGACGTGGCGGGACCACCCGCTCGGATGGGGCGACGTCTGCGAGGCGAGGTGAGGCGAGTGAGTGACGGCGGGTGGGGAGAGGAGAGGGTGCGGCGCACCATGGCTGAACGAGGCGAGGGCGTAGCTAGACGGAGAGCGAGCTGGCCGAGGCGACAGACAGAAGCACAGGCAAGCACGAGCCGAGGGAGATGGAGCGAGCGACACGGGGGACGACGACGAGGAGGATGAGGAGGAGGAGGAGGAGAGCTCGCCTCTCGCAGCTCGTCACACCGCTCGCTGCCTCGCTCTGCCGCTCTAGAGCACAGGCACAACACTCTCGCAAGCACCAGCTCACCCCTCGCCCCTCGACCGCCCGCGCCCGCGTCCCTGTGCGACCCGCGTCGGCCTCCCCCTCCTCCCTCCTCCGCCGCCTCATCAGCCCCTCGTCCGCCCTCGTCCCCGCCCTCCACCCGCGTCCACCTTCGGGCCACCTCGCTCAATCGCATCACCCACCATGTCCAACGCCACCCAGCTCTCGGCAGAAGAGAGCGGCTGGCGCTTTGCCCAGTGCTTCGGCGACAAGGTCCGCCCTCTCCTCGTTGCCTGGCTCTGTCCTCGCACCCAGGCCTACTTCGACCGAGACCACCACTGACCCGTCTCCCTCCCGCAACAGGGCGAGGTCGAGGACATCACCGAAGCCGACATCATCTGTTCGTTCCACCTCTCCCTCGCTCATCTCGCTCCCTCCTGCCCGCACAGACCTCTGTGCGAGACTGCCACTCGCACACGTCCTTCGTCCCACTGCCTCAGCCTCCACCATCCGCCCCGTCACCCTCGCGCTCCTCCTCCTCCCCCGCTCCACCCGCCTCCCGCTCGTCGTGGTGGGGGCGCGCGGCCGAGCTCTCATACCCCACACACGCCGTCACCGACGCACCCCTCAGCCTTTGCGCACCACGTCGCAGTGCACGACCCACTGACCCTCGTCTCGTTTGCGCGCCCCGACCACAGCCTGCGTCGAGTTCGACCACACGGGCGACTACCTCGCGACGGGCGACAAGGGCGGCCGCGTCGTCCTGTTTGAGCGCAACGAGAACAAGAAGGGCTGCGAGTACAAGTTCTACACCGAGTTCCAGTCGCACGAGCCCGAGTTCGACTACCTCAAGTCGCTCGAGATCGAGGAGAAGATCAACAAGATCCGGTGGTGCAAGCGCCAGAACGCCGCCCACTTCCTCCTGTCGACCAACGGTGCGCCCCTCGCCCCTCTCTCCTCCTTCTGTCTGCGTGTGCGCCTCACTGAACCCTGGCGCCGCCCGACAGACAAGACGATCAAGCTGTGGAAGGTGTTTGAGAAGTCGCTCAAGGTCGTCGCCGAGAACAACAGCTCGGCGGCCGCAGGGGGCAACGCGCCGTCGTCCCCTCCACCGGGCGGCGCCGGTCCCGTCCCGGGCCTCTCGTCGTCGCTCGGCGGCTCGTCGGGCGGCGGCGACAAGAACGGCGACGGCCTCGACCCGAACGGCGCGCCGTACCTGCGCCTGCCGCGCATGACGTACCACGACACGATCGTCGCCGCCGTCCCGCGCAAGGTGTACGCCAACGCGCACGCGTACCACATCAACTCGATCTCGATCAACTCGGACGGCGAGACGTACATGAGCGCCGACGACCTGCGCGTCAACCTCTGGAACCTCAACATCTCGGACCAGTCGTTCAGTGCGTCCTGCCTCGTCTCTCTCTCCTTCTCTCGAGGGTTCGGGCCTACTGACGCCGAACTCTGGCGACGCACCCCACAGACATCCTCGACATCAAGCCGGTCAACATGGAGGAGCTGACCGAGGTCATCACGGCGGCCGAGTTCCACCCGCTCCAGTGCAACCTGTTCTCGTACTCGTCGTCCAAGGGCACCGTCAAGCTCGCCGACATGCGCGAGCAGGCCCTGTGCGACAAGCACGCCAAGCGTGCGTCCCTCACCCTCCCTTTCCTCCCTTCCTCGTCAGTCTCTCGGACCTCGACAACTGAACTCTCGCCCCTGTACCACACACAGTCTTTGAGGAGGAGGAGGACCCGTCGTCCAAGTCTTTCTTCAGCGAGATCATCTCGAGCGTGTCGGACGTCAAGTTCTCCAAGGACGGGCGGTACCTCCTCTCGCGCGACTACCTCACGCTGCGCATCTGGGACATCAACATGGAGAACAAGCCGGTCCAGACCATCAACGTGCACGACCACCTCCGGAGCAAGCTGTGCGACCTGTACGAGAACGACTGCATCTTCGACAAGTTCGAGTGCACCTTCTCGGGCGACGGCAAGTGCGTCCACCCCCTCTCTCTCTCCCTCCTCCTCCTCCCCTCCTCGTACACCGTCGTCGTCGGTGAGTGCGCGTCACTGACCTCGTGCCCGCTCCTCCCCTCGTCGTCGCTCGCCTCGCTCGCAGGAGCTCCTCTCGGGCTCGTACAACAACTACTTCCACATTTACGACACGGCGGGCACGCAGGACATTGTCCTCCAGGCCGACAAGTCGGCCTTCAAGGCCAAGAAGCTCGGCGGCAAGGGCAACAACGCCAAGGGTGGCGCTGGCGGCGCCGGCGGCGGCGCGGGCAAGAACGGCGCCGGCGGGGCCGGTGGCGCGGCGGGCGGCGCCGGCGGCAGCAAGAAGCCGCTCGTCGACACGGACAACATCGACTTTAACAAGAAGATCCTGCACGCGAGCTGGCACCCGCGCGAGAACACGGTGCGCTCGACCTCCGTTCCCCTCTCCTCTCCTCCCTCGAGGTCGCCGACCCTGACGCTCGGTCTCGTTCCCTCGCGCGCAGATTGCCATCGCAGCAACCAACAACCTGTACATCTGGGGCCACGGCTCGAGGAGCGGTGACGCAAGCACGCCGACACAGCGCACCGACCCGTCCTGAGCAGGCCTCGGCTCGCTCGGTCCCCCTCCTCCTCCCTCCTGCCCTCGTCTCCTCGTCTGGTAATCGTCGCGTCGTTCTTTCCGGCCTCTCGTTCTCTCTTTCTCCTTGTCCAGTATCCCCCCCTTCTTCGTAGTTCTCTCCTCTCTCTCACTCCCTCACCCTCGTCGTCGCATTTTGCCCTCCTCTCCCTCTCTCTCTCTCCTCGCCCTCTCGAAGCTCAAGAAGACTCTGTCGAATCCCAAGCGCCCACGGATCACATCCTCTCGATTTCTCGGTCTCTCTCGAGAGAGAGCCTGAACGTCGTCGTGCTGCAGAGGAGAGAGCTACGCCGTCCAGAGACAGATGCGCCCGTCCTCGCCGCCCGTCACGACCGTCGCCGTCTGCGCGCGATCATCATCAGCTAGTCAGTCACGCGCTCTCGAGGCGCGGGAACAGACAGAGAGAGAGAGAGAGAGGCGGGCGCACCTCTGCGTCGAGCTGAGCCGTCCTGACAATGTCGCGGTGGCCCTTTGTGCCCGGCGCGCGCTGGCTCGTCTTGCCCGACAGGACCTGCTCGAGGTACCAGTGCTGCGGGTCGGCCGTGTCGATGACAGCGACGTCGCCCCTGTGCGGCCAAACGAGAGCTCGTTGTCAGTGGCGGCCCGGGCGAGAAAGGCCAAGAGAGAGAGAGAGAGAGAGGGACGCACTCGATCGTGCCGGCGAGGAGGCACACGCCGCCGAGCGTCGCGTTGAACTCGGCGCCGATCAGGTAGTCGGTCCTCCAGGGCTGCAGTGCGACGTCCCGCACGTCGCCAAAGTCGACGACTTGGTCTTGCTGCGAGCGTTCGACGAGGAGCAAGTCAGGTGCGCGGCTCCTGGGTCGAGAGGGTCAAGAGAGCGAGGTGGCGCACCTGCTCGGCGTCCCAGAACTGCATCGTCTCGATCGTCGTCGCGCCGTAGATGCCCTTGTGCTCGGCCTTGGCGTCCCTCGCGCCCGCCGACCCGCTCAAGGCCATCCAGCCTGCGTGCGCGATGCTCGCGCCAAACTGGGCCGTCGTCAGGACGGCGTCGTCCTCGTCCGCTATCCGGACGTCGTACGTGTTGACGAGGCCGTCGACCGAGCCCGACAGGAGGACGTGGGCGAGGGATGGAGCGGGGTGGAACGAGAGCGAGGTGAGGTCGTCCGAGTGGGCCTCGGTGTAGGTGTGCTGGAGGGTGAGGGTGCGCAGGTCCCTGCGGACGTGCATGCGAGGCTCAATGTGAGCGACTCGTGCGGCAAAGATAGAGCGAGAGGGAGAGAGAGAGGCACGCGACGCACCAGATGTCAATCATGGCCTCGTAGTCCGACACCTCGGTCCCGACGGCGAGGCACGAGCCATCGCTGCTCTGCGACGCGCACAGGTACCCTGCCCTCCTCTTGCCTGTGTGTGTGTGTGCGGCGCTCGTCAGTAGAGAGTCTCGGCAGGATGAGGAGGGGACGAGGCGACGGACCCTGGAGCTTGAACGCCTCGCGCGACAGGTCCCTCGTGTCCCACCCGCTGACCGACCCGTCCTTGGCCGTGACAAAGAAGGCTGTCGAATCGTTGTTGCACTGGCCCCTCGTGACGCTCGTGATGCCGCGCTGGGTGAGCGGCACCTTGCCGAGCGGTTCGAGGCCGCGGCCGAACGCGCGCAGCGTGTCGTCCGAGCCGGCAAAGAGGTAGCCCTGCGGGGTGGCGACGCTGTGGAGGACGTAGGGCGGGTTGGGCCCGCCTGCTGGGTCGAACGGGACTTGAGCGGCGAGGCGGAGAGGGCGGGACGAGGTCGAGGGGAACAGGAGCGGGGGAGGGAGGCGGATGGCGGGCGGCATGGCTGGACGTCGCAGTTGCAGCGGGTGCAAGAAAGAGCTGTGCTGGTGCGCCTCAGCTGGCGAGACGGCGAGGGCGAGTTGAAGGAACGAAGCGAGGCGGTGCTCTGCTGAGCTCGTAACGAGGAGATGAGGCGCTTTCCTCGTCCAGGCAGGGCACGCGCTTGCTTAGCACGCTCGCAAGAGTCGCTCACACGCTCTCTCTCTCTCTTGGCGGAAGAGCGCGAAGGCGAAAGGGCGACAGGCCCGTTTTCAGGAGGAGAGGCGCCGGCGGCAAGTCGGGTGGGGAGAACTACAGGTGCGGGTACGACGGCGGGACGACAGCGGAAACATGCAAGAGGGTATCGTGGGCGAGCGACGAGGACGGCGAAGAGATCTGCGAGGCGGGCGACGGCGGGTCAGTCGGGTCCTCGCCGAGTAGAGACGACGAGGGAGAAAGGGACGCACCAAAAGTCGAGCAGGTCGTCGACGTTGATGGCGACCTGGCTCGCGAGCTCGATCTTGCTGCCCCTCTGGCGCGGCGTCTCGGCGTTGGCGGCGGCAGCGTTGGCCGCCGCGAGCGGGCCGCCCTTGGTCGGCGTCGCGGCGCCGCTGCCGGGACCGGGCGTTTGCGGACGACTGCAGGGGCGAGGACGGCACAGCGTGAGTACTGTGCGCACGGTGAGAGGAAAAGGGAGAGGGGGGGACGCACCTGCTGTCGTAGTTGAGCCTCGGCATCGTCTTGACGCGCGCGCTCGGGTCGACCCGCACGTCCGTGTCGCCCCTCGCGAGCAGCTCGGCCTGCTTCCTGCGGAAGTCCTGCGCCTTGGCCTCGGCCTTGCGCACCTCCTCGCGGTTGTTGGCCCGGTTGCGCTCGTTGATCATGCGCGCGCGGTCCTGCTCGGCGCCCGTCGGCGCGTCGAGCGCCGCGAGCTCGCGGTTGAGCCGGTCGACCTCGGCTTGGTCGCCGGCGGCGACGGCGTGGTCACGCTGGATCTTCATGCGCGTCTTGGCGCCCGGACCGCGCTTGTTGGAGCCGCTCGCCTCGAGCTGCTTCTGGAGGTCCTCCTGCAAGGTCGAGCGAGGGCGAGTCAGGCGGTGCGGCATGGGTGACGACGAGAGAGAGAGAGAGAGGACGCACCTCGGTCAGGATGTAGGTCGTGTGCTTGGCGAGCTGCGCCTTGATCTTGGCCGCCTCCTTGGACGTCGGCGGCGCCGTCTTGGGCGTCTGGCACATGCGGACGTAGTGAGCGTACTCGCTCTGTTGCGGGAGGCGAAAGGTGAGCACGCTCGTCGAGATGCTGAGGACGAGGGCGACGACGCACGTCGGTGAGAGGACCGTTCGAGACGGACGCCATGGGGAACCTGGCCTTGTCGGTGCCGATCGTGAGCTCGAGGTCGTGCTCCGTCATGACCGCCTCGACACGGTACGGCTCCTTGGCCTTCTTGAGGCCTGGAGAACGTGTACGAGGATAGTCAGTGAGTGTTCGACGAAAGAGAGAGAGACTTAAGGAGGGAGCGAGAGAAGGTGGACGCACCCGTCACCTGGGCGACGCGGTACTTGTTGCCGGCCTGCGGGTCGTCCTTGTTCGGGCCGACCGTGACGCGCACGAACGCGCCGACGAGCCACTCGCCGAACCACGACGCGCGGCACATCTCTGCGAGCTTGGCGCGCGGGACCGTGATGTCGCGCAGCTCGCTCGGGCCGAGCGGCTCGGGCCCGGCCTTCTTGCCCTTCTTCTTGGCGGCGGCGGCGGCCGCCTTGCTCGACGGCGCGTCGTCCTCGTCCGAGGTGGCGACGTCCATGTCGGACGAGGCGGACGACGAGGGCGACGCCTTGCGGTTCTTCTTGCGTCCGGGCTCCTCGTAGTCGTCGTCGCTCGAGTCGGCCTGTCCGAAGGGGCGCAGAGTCAGTACCTGCACCTCGCGATCGCGTAACACAGAGAGAGAGGAGGGACGCACCTTGTCGCGCTTCTTGCCCTTCTCCGCCCTGCTCCTCTTGAGCTTCTCGAGGCCCTCGCTCTTGGTCTTGGTCGCGCCCGTCACCTTGCGCGACCTCGTCTCCCTCGCACCGCCGTACTCGTCATCGTCGTCGTCGTCGTCATCGTCGTCGCCCTCGTCGTCGTCCTGCGCCCCGCCGCGGCGAGCGTCGCTCGCGCGCGCGAGCTTGGCCACCTCGGCGCGCATGACGCGCTCGTTGATCTCCTCCTTGCGGGTCGCGATAAAGTCCTCGCGCTCGAGCTCGGGGAGCTTGGAGATGCTGCGAGGGTGGGGGGGGAGGACCAGTCAGTCCCGTCCTGAGGCTCGTCGGCGCGAGAGAGAGAGAGAGGACGAGAGGACGCACCGACTGCGCTCGGCCGTGTCCTTGTAGATGCCCTCGACCGGGTACGGGTTCTCGTCGGTCGCCTTGGCGGCTCCTCCCTTGCGGCCCTCGTCCTCGTCGCTCTCGTCCTCGTCCGTGTCGACCCGCTCGGCGCTCTTGTGCCCGCGACGGCGGCTCCCGCCGCGGCTCGTCGACGCTGCTGGGGCGGCGTCCGAGTCGCTCTCCGAGAGGTCCATGTCGGACGCCGAGCCATCCCTCCGCGCGGGCGAGCGAGGGACAGGGGGGAGCGAGTCAGTGACGAGGGTCGAGGAGGAGATGAGGACCGCTCGCGACGCGTGCAGCGCACGAGAGGGCGAGGAGGGCGGGTGGGACGCACTCCGAGTCGGACTTGGCACGCTTGCGGCGACTCTTGCTGCCCTTGGACGCCTTGGTGCGCTTCGACGACGCCGCTCCGCCGCCCGTCAACCCGAGGAGCTCCTCCTCGAAATCCATCGCCGTGCGTGAGGTGTCGAGTGGCGAGGGGTTTGTGTGTGTGTTGGAGCGGGCGAGGGTGCGCTAGAGCAGTCGAGCGCTGGGCGAGGCTGATGAGGTCGAACAGGAGAACGAAAGGTGCGGCTCCTCGCTCGCCGCGAGAACGGAAGGCGCCCGCTCGCTCTCACGCAGGCCTGACGAGCACACGCACATGGCTTTCCTCGCAACGTTGCAGTCAGCTCGCCACTCTCGAGAGACCCGCCCAAGAGCCAGCTTCTCGACCGCGACGACGGGCGACGGGAGACGGACGGCGAGGAGGTCCAGGTTGCGAGCAGACGGGGTACAGACCAGAACGGTACTCGGAGTGGGTGATGGAGACTACAACAGAGGGGGGAAGGGGACGGCACACGCCTCGGACAACGTCTTGGTAGGGAGCGCGAGAGGGGGTAGAGAGAGGGACGGAGCGGGACGAGCGGCGTGCTCGAGTTTTGCTGCTGGGGTGCGAAAAGAGGGAGGGATGTAGGGCGATAGACGAGAGGTAGGAGACAAGGGCGAACGCTGGGCGCGCTGCCTCGAGGGAGAGTGCGGGTATCGTGGCCGTGACGAGCTGGGAATCGGAGGCGTCGTCGCCGTATAGGGAGGGGGTGTGGGCGAGAGAAGGGATGGCGTATAGTGTAGGTCGAGGGAACGTCGTACAACAGGGAGAGAGCGCACGAGATGTCGAGGCGAGGAGGGAGGGTGTCGAGGAGTTGGACCCGGGAGGGAGAGGGAGGGGTTTTTGGTCGGCGACGGCGGGCGCCGAGTCTAGTTGGGCTCGACGCGGTCCGAGAGGTTGAGGAGGAGCGTCGCGAGGCACCGCTTGGTGACCATGTCGCCCTTGAGGAGCGGCGAGAAGGTCGCGTCGCGCAGAGGTTCGGGGAGGCAGGCACGGAGGGCCTCGCGGGCGCTGCGGGCGGGACGAGTCAGAGGCGACGCTCGCTCACTCACCGAGGACGAGAAGAGAATGGGAGAGGGAAGGACGCACCGCAGGTTGTCGCTGAGGCGGAGGTAGCACCGGACGACGTGCTTGAGGAGGCGGACGGCCTGGGTCTCGACGAGCTGTTGCACCATGTTGCTGAGGACGGTCCCGACGGCGTAGAAGCGCTCGTACGTCTGGCAGATGTAGCCGAGGCCGACCTCGTCGAGGAGGATCTTCTGGACGATGAAGATGGCGACCGTCTTGCTCAACTCGCTGCCCGTCTCCATGATGCGCAGGCACAGCGGGATGATCTCGGTCGACAGGAGAAAGTTGATGACGTCGCTGTTGTCGTTCTGCTTGACGAGGGCGCCGATGACGCCGAGCGACGTGAGGCGCAGGTACTCGAACGGGCGCGTCTTTGACGTCGTGTTGAGGAAAGGGTACAGGAACAAGGGGATGTGGGCCGACAGGAACAGGGACCGCGTGTCGTTGTGCGACGCGACGCACTGCAGGAGCGCGAGCGCGTTGCAGACCCGGTTCGACGCGTGCGCCGTGAGCGACGGCGGCGCGAGGAGCGGGTACACCGACACGATCTCTTGCAGCAGCGCCGACATGACGCCTGTGTGGGGTGCGCAGTCAGTGGGACGTTCGCGGGTGTGGGAGAGAGAGTAGAGGACGGACCGAACGAGTGCCACAGGACGAGGGCGAGATCGTCCCACTGCTCGCGCTTCTTGCTCAGCTCGAGGAGGGCCGCCTCGCGGGTTTGCGGGTTCATGAGGTCGACGATGAGGTAGTAGACCTTCTCGTTCTCGCTCTGGGCCTGGGCGCCGTGGACGCTGCCCGGCTGGATCAACGAGCTCGTCGCGAGCGGGAGGCCGCCCTGGAGGAGGAGCTTGCCGCCCTGGCCGGGCTGGCCACCGCCGGCGCCGCCGTTGGGGAGGCCCGGCGTCTCGGAGCGCGAGAGGTTGCCCTGCTGGCCCTGCTGCTGCTGCTGCTGGTGGTGGTGGTGGTGGTGGCGGTCGATGCCGCCCATGCCGTTCATGGCGTTGACGGCGGCGCTCGAGACGATGACGCCCGAGGGCAGGCCCGGGTTGTTGATCGACTGGCTGATGGAGAGCGGGAGGTGGCTCGAGCCGTGACCGCCTGCCCACGGGTCGACGAGCTGGCCATGCTGGACGGCGGGCGAGAGGGGGTCGGTCGGCCCTCCGGCCGAGGGGGGAGGAGGGAGAGGGGCGAGGGCCGGGTCGTGGGCGTGCACGATGTGGCTCGCGCTCGGACGGCTGTTGAGCGCCGAGAGGAGCGCCGAGGCGTTGCTCATGACCGGGCGGCGGGTCGACGCACGACGGGCGAGTGGGAGGACGACGAGATGAGGGGTTGGTTGGCGCGCGATGGGGCGAGGGGCGCGTCTCGTGGAGGGACTCGCAGCAGCAGCTGGCGGTGTGCGCTCGAGTGGTGGTGGCGCGAGGGACGCTGGCCGGGCTGAGCGTGCGAGGTGGTGACAGTCGAGGGAGAGCGCGCCAGCGGCTCGCACTGAGAGCGGAGACGGGGCAGTGTGAGAGGGCGGCTCGACTTTCGCTCAGAGGGGCTCTCTGACGGGCTTGGGTAGCTCTCGATGCAGTGCAGTAGACGCTAGACAGGACCAGGCTCGACCAGAGCAGGGTGGTGAGGCTCGAGAGGTGGCTCAAGCGAGTGTCGGTGTGGCCGCCTCGTCTCGCAGGCTCGTCTCCTCTTCTCTCCTTGGACCTGACCAACCCCACTCAGCACCCCCAACTCTTCTTGTGAGCACCTCGCTCCTCGACTCGCACCCACACCCGACCACCCCGGCACCCACTCGCGCCACCCGCGCCCGCTCTCGACCCACCTCGAGGCCGCAGCTCGCCCGCGAAAACTGCCACCCGCACACGGCTCGCTCGACAGCGCTCGCACCGTCACGCTTGGTGGACCGACAGGGGCAGCAGGGCACAAGCGGTGGAATGGGCGCAGGCGCAGGGCCGCTTGGTGGCGTGCGAGGGCCCGCCGACTCGAGTTCGGAGCACGAGCGCCGGTCTCTCGAGTCCGAGACGACGACGACTAAGCTGACCTCACCCCTTGCCTCCCCCCCTCTCCGTCCACTCTCTGCGCGCCTCTTTCGACCCTTCCCTTCACTCTACTCGTCACCTCCGCCCTCGACTCGCGCGCGCGCACCGACTGCGCGCATCCCCCCCTCGTCCTCCCCGATTCGCCGTCCACCTCATCCGCAACCGCGCCCACCCTCGCCACTACCAGCACCATGGGACGTCGCCCGGCTCGCTGCTACCGGTGAGCACCCTGTCCCTCCCCTCTCGTCGTTGTCATCGTCGGGGTCGCCCTTGACGCCGAGGTGCTGACCAACCTTGTTCCGCACCCGCAGCTACTGCAAGAACAAGCCCTACCCCAAGAGTAGGTACAACCGCGGTGTGCCCGACCCCAAGATCCGCATCTTCGACCTCGGCCGCAAGAAGGCCGGCGTCGACGAGTTCCCGTTCTGCGTCCACCTCGTCTCGAACGAGTACGAGCAGATCTCGTCCGAGGCGCTCGAGGCGGCGCGTATCTGCGCCAACAAGTACGTCGTCAAGAACTCGGGCAAGGACTCGTTCCACCTGCGCGTGCGCGCCCACCCGTTCCACGTCATCCGCATCAACAAGATGCTCTCGTGCGCCGGCGCCGATAGGTTGCAGCAGGGCATGCGTGGCGCGTGGGGCAAGCCGTACGGCACCGTCGCCCGCGTCAACATTGGCCAGATCATCCTCTCGATCCGCTGCAAGGACTCGAACAAGGCCGTCGTCCTCGAGGCTCTTCGCCGCGCCCAGTACAAGGTGCGTCCCTCTCTCCCTCTCTCTCCTCGGCGGCCGTCCCTGACCTCGCCGTACGCCCCTCCACTCGCAGTTCCCGGGTCGCCAGAAGATCATCATCTCGAAGAAGTGGGGCTTCACGAGCCTCACGCGCGCCGAGTACCTCGAGAAGCGCTCGATCGCCCAGCCGGACGGCGCCTACGTCCAGTTCGTCAAGCCGCACGGCCCGCTCGAGGACAACCTCCGCCGCCTCGAGCGCATCGGCGCGTAAACGCGTCGGCCGCAGCTGAGGGAGGGTTCCCAGTGTCGGTGGAGGGGAGAGGCGGGTTGTTGCGATGATGGAGCAATGAGTTGTCTGTTCCCCGCCCCGTCCTGCGCGCTGTCGTCTGAGAGAGTCTCTCGAGAGAGTTACAGTGAGTCGCCCGATCGTCGAGATTGAGCCGTGAGCGAGCGGCGTCGTGAGCGTTGTGAGCGCGCACGCGGCCAAGTCGAGCTCGCGCTCTCGCTTTCACCGCCACCACCTCGTCGCACGCCCGACACGATGCACGCCCCTGCCGCCAGGACAGTTCTCCGCACAGCAGCAGCAGCAGCACGCTCTGCCCAGCCGGCCCTCGTCCGCCCTGCCGCCCTCCCCGCCCTGCGATCGTTCGCCTCGTCGTCCCCCCTCCCCTCATCGGCCGCACCCGACTCGTCCCCGGCAACGTCCCCTGCCGCCCCAACCGCCTCGACCAGCGCCTCGACGTCGTCGGCAGCCACCCGCCCCGAGGGCACCCCCCAGCCGACCAAGCTCCCCGGGTCCAACCTCGGGCCGCCGAGCGGCGCGACCAAGTACTCGCCCCTCACCGTGTCGCTCGTCACCAAGCTCGCAAAGCTGTTCGGGTACCACTCGCAGACGAGTACGGCGATCCGCACCACGAGCGACTACTACGACCGGTGCGCCGAGCGAGGCGAGGTCGAGGCCGCCTTCTTCTACGAGGGTCCGTCCAGCTCCCTCTCTCTCTCTCTCTCTCTCTTTCTCTCTCGATTGGCCGCTCCAGACACGTGAGCTGACTCGATGTGTGTGTGCCCCGACGCAGAGTGCTCGTTGCCGCCGTCGTTCCAGACGTGGTTCTCGCTCACGACGCTGCACGTGTGGCTCCTCAGCGTCCGGTTCCGGTCGCTCCCGCCACCGCTCGGCCGCACCTACGTCCAGGAGCTCATCAACCACATGTTCATCGACGTCGAGTTGCGCATCCGCGGGCCGTACGCCGTCACCCAGAGCCGCCTCATCAAGGGCTACATGAACGACATGCTCGAGCAGTACCACGGCGCGTGCGCCGCGTACGACGAGGGCCTCGTGCGCGGCGACGCCGTCCTCGCGGCCGCCATCTGGCGCAACGTGTTTGGCGCCGGCTGGGGCGGCGTCGGCGGCGTCGAGGGCAAGCGCGCCCCAAAGGCGGGCGAGAAGCCAAAGCTCGGCCCGAACCCGCTCCAGGTCGAGGCCGACGGCGCCGTCGACGTGCCGGGCGTCGCCAAGCCGGCATCCACCTCGTCGTCATCGCAGGCGCCGCTCGAGGTCGACCCGGTCCAGGCCAAGCTCCTCAAGAAGGACCAGCCCGCCTCGTCGCTGTTCGCGACCGACGCGCCGATCCAGGACCCGGCCGTCGCGACGTCGACCTGGTCCCCTTTGTACCCGACCGACCCGGACCTCGAGTTCCCGCAGAGCCTCGAGCGCTTTGTCGTGTACGTGCGCCGCGAGGTGCAGCGCCTCGAGCGCTTGTCGGACGACGTCGTCATGCAGGGCAAGCCGGACAAGGGCAGAGGGAGCCTCGTCGACTTTGGCAAGTTCTGAAGGGACGAGGACACACCACGTAGATGCGGGCGGCGAGCGGGCTGCAGTGCCATTCCCTCTCGCTCCCTCTTTCTTCGTCTCGGGCTGTTCCTCGAGAGAACCTCTTTCTCTCTCTCTCTCTCTCTTTCTCTCTCGCCGCTCGTGGGAAATGTACAGGGTACAGCCAGTGCTACAGGCTCCTTCTGCGTCCCGCTCACGAGCTCGTCTGCGCGCGAAAGCGAGACCAAGTCAGTCTTGCGCTCGAGCCGCCCCGAGAGAGGAAAAGAGAGCGTTCTCGGGCGCACCTTGTCGTCGGTCGACACCTCGATCGCGTGCAGGAACGCCATGTCGAGCGCCGTTCTGTCCGACTCGTCGTGCAGGGATGCAGAGGGCGACGGCAGCGGGTTGGTGTAGAACCGCTGTGGATCCCACGTGTCGCCGGGGATGAGGGACGGCACGTTGGCGCGCAGGTCGTCGGCGATGCTCTCGCTGCAGAACACGCATCGACAGTCAGTGTCTGCTCGTCGACAGGCGTGAGAGGAGGAGGGACGCACAGCTGGATCGTGATAGGAAGCGAGTCGGGCACTCGCAGTCCTCGCTCGTGTGGTCCAGGCGGCGGTCGCCCCTTCTCCTTCTCGCTAAGGCTGCTGGCCCCGCTCAACGACGACCCGACCTTGCTCAGGACCGGGCGCACAAAGAGCTGGGTCGGGCTCGTCGTCGCTGCGGGCGAGCCGCCGCCGCCGCCGCCGCCGCCGGGTGGCGTTCTCGGGGAGCGGGCGCCGAGCCAGAACGCCTTGGGGCCGCCGCCGGCCGGCTCGGGCGTCGCTCGAGGGCGAGGCAAGAGGCTGTCGCGGACGGTCTGGCGCGAGTTGACTGCAGGAGAGCGAGGGAAGGTGGGAGGTCCGTGCGGGTCAGGGATCGAGTATCGCGCTCGACAACGGATCGAGAGGACGGCCGGCGCACGCGAGGACATGAGCGAGAGAGTGTAGAACCGTGCGAGAGCGAGGCCGGGCGTCATGTGCCAGCAGGCCTCGACGAGGGCGACGAAAAGGACGCCGCTCGTGACGGCGGCGGCGGCCGTCTGTGCGCGACGCAGGCAACGAGGGTTAGTTACGGGGGTGTCACAGGCCGTCGATGAAAGAAATAGAGACGCACGAGACCGTTATTGGCGACGATGTTGCGGACGATGCGGTTGAGGAGCGTTTTGGTCGAGCCGAACTCGCTCTTGACCCGGCTCAAAAGGAACGCTGCACGGTCGGAAGGTCAGCGCCGGTCCTTGAGAGAGGTCAAGTCGTCTTCTCGAGCGACTCACACAGTGCTGCAGTAATGACGACGTCGGAAATGGCCATCGTGAAGAGCCAGGTGGCGACGAAAGGGTCGAGCGCGGCGTGGATCTCGTCCCAGTAGCCGAGCTCGAGCTCGATGGCGGTCACGTACGTGCCGAGGACTGTCTCACAGGGTTCGATTAGGGTCAGGAAGGAGAACGCGTGAGAGCTGGGCTCGAGAAAGAGAGAAAGGAGCCCGACGTACCGAGTTGCGCGAGCGTCAGGAAGACGACGAAGGAGGGCACCCACGGGCTGCGCTTGCCGACGAGGAAAATCCGCCAGGCGTAGTGCGACTGGACGATCGTCGCGACGAGCGCCGTGAAGACAGGGTAGACAGCGACCGACCACGGACACTGCTCCGTGCGTTCGAGGTCGCCGTAGCCGTCGATGGCGTAGAACCAGACGGGATGGATCGACAGCGCCGTGTGGATACCGCCGATGACGAAGACGGCGATGACCTGGAGCGCAGAGAAGGGTCAGGTGCGTGCACGAGAGGGTCGAGCGTCGAGGAGGTCGCGACGCACTGCGGCTCGCACGAGCGCTCGGTCCTGCGCGGGTCGTGAGAAGTACTCGAGCAGCTGCATCCAGTTGACGCCGGCTCTGTACCGTCGAGAGAGCGTCAGACGGAAGCTCGACAACGAGAGGGAGGAGGCGGAACTGGAGACGCACAGGAAGACGTTGAACAGGACGCCGAGGTAGAAGGGCCCGGTGCCCTGGACGATGCTCAGGTCTCCTCCTCGAGGAAGTACTGACATACTAGCCGGAGCGTAGAAGCTGTCGGGACGAGATAGAGAAGGAGGAAGAAGCGGGGGAAGCCTCTCGCCGCGCCGTCGCCCGCCAGCTCGACGGCAGTCGGGCAGAGAAGGGTCGGTTCATTCGGGAGCTCAAGCCTTGCACACTCGTTCCCGGCGTGCGAGATTCCCGAGACCAGCGAGGCGAGCCTCGTTCGCGCAGAGCGGTCGCACCTGGCTCCCGCATCCAACTTGGGAAGGTCGACCTGCCGCTCGAGCCTCCGTCGAGATGGCCAGGTCTTCTCGGGTCGAAGGAGCAGCTGCCTTTCATTTCGACCTGTCGATCCGCAAGCTGCGGCACAAAAGTCTCGCGCTCGAGCCGCACCGCTTGCGTCCAAAGCGCGCACGGGCCCACGGCTGTCGGCTTTCCCGAGGCTCGCAGCGGGTCTCTCTCGCGGCGCAGAGAGAGAGTACGAATGACAGCTAAGGCTACAGGCACGTATGGAACTGCTACACAAGTCGAGAGACGCTCAAGGATCCGGCTGCGCGAGGGCGAGGGAAAGTCAGTGCTCGCTCAGGGGGGGACGAGCGAGGGGCGGTCAAGGGCGCACCTTGCCCTCGAGAGTGACCTCGATGGCGTGCGAGAACGGCATGTCGAGCAGGACGTCGCCGCGTCCGGCGCCGGGGTGCGAGGCGAGCGGCGGTGACGGGACGGCGAACGACAGCGACGGGTCCCACAGGGCGTCGGTCGTCGACGGCTCGTCGGTGGACTCGCTCTCGCTGCGAAGGAGGGCTCGAGGTCAGGACCTCGTCGCTGTGCCGCATCTCGAGAGAGACCGAGAAGAAAGGAAGACGCACATCTGGATCGAAATGGGAAGCGTGTCCATCCCCAAGCCTCGCTCCGACGACCGCCACTGCGGCTGCGGTCGCCTCTTCTCCATCCAGCTCACCGAGCTCGCGCCGCTGTGCGCGCTGTTGGTCCTCGCGAGCTGCGGCCGCACAAAGAGGTGCGTCCCGTGCGACGTCGTCTCGGTCGGGAGCGGCGCGAGGTCGGGCGAGCCGGGCTCTCGCGGCGTGAGGAGGAAGGGCTTGGGCGTGGGTGGGGCGGGAGAGGGTCGTCGAGAGAGGTCGGAGCGGATCGAGTGGCGGGCGTTGACTGCGGCGTAGAGAAGGGGTCAGTGCGCTCGTTCGAGGGGAGCTAGAGAGGCGAGACAGGGCTCACGCGACGAGAGGAACGACATGGTGTAGAAGCGAGCTAAAGTAAGCCCAAAGATGATGTGCCAGCCGGTCGAGCGCGACGCGACGAACAAGATGCCGCTCGAAATTGCCGTCACGGCCGTCTGCGCCAGGAGGAGGAGGTGCGAGATTCGACGTCAGGTCGAGGCCGAGGGCGACAGGCATAAGAAGGCGACGAGCTCACGAGGGCGTTGTTGGCGACGATGTTGCGCACGATGCGGTTGATGAGCGTGTTGGTCGAGTCGAAGTCGCTCTTGACCCTCGCGAGGTGGAAGGCTGCGCACGAGGCTCTGTGTCAGTTCGCGCGTCCTCGACGACGGACTAAGAGGCTGTAGAGAGACGCTGCGAGACGTACTGAGAGCACTCGTGATGAGAATGTCGGCCGCCGCCATCGAGAAGAGCCAAGCGGCGACCCAGCCGTCGAGTCGACGGTGGATGTTGACCCATGACGGGTCCTGGAGCGCGATCACCGTGCAGTAGGTACCAGCTCCTGCAGGGCGGACGAAGGGCGAGGCGAGTCAGTACGAGGGCAAGAGGGAACAAGAAGAGAGGACGCAGGATCGACGCACCGAGCTGGAACAAGGACAAGAACCCGACGAGTGCGGGCACCCAGATGCTCCTCTTGCCGACGAGGTACAGGCGGTAGGCGTAGTGGCCCTGGACGAGCGCAGCAACGCACGCCGTCAAGAGCGGGTCGACGCCGAACGACCAGACGCAGTCGGCGAGCGTGGCGACGTCGCCGTAGCTCTGGATGAAGTAGAACCAGATAATATGGCACGAGACGACGGTGTGTATGGCGGCGAGGACGAATACCGCGAGGACCTAGGACGAGGAACGGCAGGGTCAGCTTGCGCTCGAGTTGGAGAGGAGGAGGCGGACGAGAAAACGCACTGCGAAGCGGACGAGCGGTCGGTCTTGCGGCGACCTGCGGTAGTAGTCGAGGAGCTGTGCCCAATTGACGCCGCCGCTGCAGGTGCGTTGAGGAGGGTCAGCTCGCCTCGAGGCAGGAGGAGGAGGAGGAGGACGACGCACATGGCGACGTTTCCGAGCACGCCGATGTAGAAGGGCCCGACCGAGTTGACGATGGCAGAGCTTGACATGGACGGAGCGACAGCCGCAGCCATGGCGGGCGAGGAGCAGAGTGGAGAGAGAGAGAGCAAGAGCAAGCCCGCCGTCCGTGACCTCGGACGAGAGTGCTCCAGTGCGCAAAGTGGTCGACCTTCTGACTGCCCTCAAGCTCATTCGAGGCCCCGCTCTGCGTCTATTAAACGGCCCTGTCGCTCGCACGCCCGGGACAGCAGGCTGTCGGCCGCACGATCGCATTCAGGGCGGTCGACGAGTTGGGAAGGTCACGGCCGACTCGCTCGAGCGCATCCTTCCCCCGTCCGGCCACGGTGCGGCACCGTCACACGCTCCGTCCTGACTCTGCCAAGGCTCCCTCGACAGGTGTGCGACAGGCGGCATGCGCTCTCGAGATTCGGCGAGAAGAGATCTGCGAGGCTCGAGCGCTCGAGGCTTCTGACGGAGCGCCGGCTCTCAAACGCGGCCGACGCACAGAGCAAGAGAGAGAGGGGAGAATGCAGAGATAGTTGCAACATGTACTGGGCGCGCTCGCGCTCCACCCGACTCGCTCAAGTCCTCGCCGCCTCGAGAGTCGTCCTCGCCCGCTCGTCTCACCGCTCCTCCTGCACCCTGACGCCGGGCGGCAAGTTGCTCGCGCCGCCCGTCGAGCCAAAGACGGTCTCCTTCTTGAGGTCCCACCACTTGGCGATGCGCTCCTGGACCGCCGCGAGGTCGTCGACGGCGGGGCGGACGTCGAGCGAGAAGACCGGGTTGCCGTCCTCGTCGTTCGGGAGGTGGTAGTAGTCGATGACGTCTGCAGGCGCGTGCGGCGAGTTGTCAGTGGGAGGTCGAAGAGGGAGGGGAGAGAGGAGGACGCACATCGCCGAGCCGTGTAGGGCTGAGTCGAGCCGCCCGACATGTACGACGAGCCGCCGGCGCCGGACGCCGTCGGGCGGTGGATCGTCCAGTCGTGACGGTCAAAGGGCCGGATCGAGCTGCAGGGCGAGAGCGACGTCAGGAGGCGGGAGGGGAACCGAGGCACGAGAGGTAGGGGACGCACGCATAGCTGCTCGGGAAGAGCTTGGCCATGAAGAGGTGGTAGCGCGCCTTGGGCGACAGGTCCTGCGGCCGTCCGGTGAACGCTGCGAGAGATGATCGGTCGCCGCTGCAGGGCCGAACGAGGAAGAGAGAGTCAGGGAGGATCGCGCGAGAGGAGGAAAGGAGAGAGAGAGAGAGAGAGAGAGGGAGGACGGACCCGGGGTGCTTCTCCTCCCACTGGCGGACCTGGGCCCACGCCTCCTCGTTGATCCAGTTGTGGATGCTGACCATCATCTCGACGCTCTCCTCGGGCGTCTCCCACCCTTTGCGCACGAGGGCGTTGTAGAACTGCTGCGGGCTCGGGTACTCCCACTGGTCGACCTTGGCCGACGCGGCGGGGTCCTTGGGCGCATCGGGCGCGTCGGACGAGCCGTGTGCGACGGGGCAGGCCATCGGGGACGACGACGAGCCCGAGGCGGCGCGCGGGATGGACGACATTGTGCGCTCGAGCGGGAGGTGCATCTTCTGGCCCTGCGACTGGGCCTGGGCGAGCTCGGGCATGTTGTTGACCGGGTTGACCATGCCTCGCTCGGCGTGTTTGGCGAAGGGCGAAGGCGCGTCGGGGTTGTTGTGCATCGGACAGCCGGGAGGTGGCGCTGGAGGAGCGGCGGCGGCGGGAGCCGGCTCGTGCATGGGGCAGCCGGGCGGGGGCGTGGCCGGTGCGGCAGCAGCTGGTGGCGGTGCGAGGGAAGACACTCCTGCGCCCATCGTGTGTAGCTGAGGCGCGGTGAGAGAGAGAGAGGGAGAGAGAGATCGAGGGAAAGCTCGCGACGGCCGAGGTCGACGCCAACCACCATCGCACACGCCGACCCGTGCCGAGTACAGCTTGAACAGACTGAAAGGCTACCACACACCAACTCTAGCCCGCCAGATTCGCCGCACGAGGCGTGGTCGCCGTTCGCCGTCAAGCACCGCCTCGTCCTCATCTCCCTCGAGCCTCTCTCTCGGCAGCACTCGACCATGGGCTTCCTTTCGGTCCTCGCAGGCGTCCTCATGGCCGTCGGTCCGCCCCTCGCCTACGCAGACCAGGTGCGCGCTCCCCTCTCTCCTCTCGCTCCCCCTCGTCCCGCACCCGAGGCTCACCCGGCCCTCGCCCCTCACGCAGTACGTCTCGATCTGCCGCAAACACGACTCGCGAGGCTTCTCGCTCGATGTCCCAGGCGTCCTCATCGTCGCCAACGTCACGCGCGCCATCTACTGGCTCGGTCCGTCCTCTCGTTCCTCTCCCTCGAGCCTCACACTGACCCTTTTGTCCCTCGCAGGCGACCACTTCCAGACCTACCTGCTCATCCAGTCGCTTCTCATGATCACGACCCAATTTGGCCTCCTCTACGTGTGCCTCCTGTACCGCCCCGGCGACTGGACCGAGCACCGGCCACGCCGCATCGGCAACCTGTGGCAGTGGAGCCACTTTGCGGCGTACCTCGAGTTCACGGCCATCCTCATCGTCGGCCACTCGGCTGCCTTTCTCGCCCTGCACCGCTTCGACGCCTACGTGCAGCTGCTCGGGTTCCTCGCCCTCGGGCTCGAGGCTACGGTGCGTCCCTTGTTCCTCTTGTTCTCGTTCGACGAGCCCGAAGCTCCCTCGACCTAAGTTCTTCTCGTCCCCCGCACGCAGCTCCCGATCCCGCAGCTGCTCGCCAACTACGAGGCCAAGTCGACGGCCGGCTTCCGCATGACGGTCCTCGCCGGCTGGGCCATTGGCGACGCAGTCAAGACGTGCGTCCCCTCGTCCCTCCTGTTCTTCGACCTCGAGGACCTCGCACTGACCCTCGTCCTCGCGCCCCGCAGCGTCTGTGAGCCTCGCCGCCCTCGCCGCTCGCCCAACGACGCCCGCTCACGCTCTCGAGCCCCACAGACTTTTTCGTCACGCCCGATAACGGCCTCCAGTTCAAGCTCTGCAGTGTCTTCCAGCTCTCGGTGAGCCCCAGCCGCTCTCCCTCCTTCCCTCGCGCCTTCCTCGGGCCCTCCTGCGCGTTCCACGGCCCCGCCTGCACGCCCTCCTGACAACCCCCTCCCGCCCCGCCCTCGCACAGGTCGACCTCATGCTGTGCGCGCAGACGTTCCTGTACCGCGAGCAGACGGCGCGCGACCTCGCCGAGCGCGCCGAGCTCGCGCAGCACCGGGGCGTCGCAGGCACCGAGGCGCTCTTGCACGCCGACCACGAGCGCGAGCGCGAGCGAGGGCGAGGGGGCGGGGGAGAGACGGACGAGGAGGCTGAGCTCGAGACGGTGCGGAAGTAGAGCCGGGCTCGGGCTGTGCAACAGGGACGCTTGTATCACGCTCTCGAGCGCTCTCGTGGACGGACGAACGACGACGGGCGGGCGAGAGAGTTGGAGAGTGTCTGCAGATCGTGACGATGGACGTGGGGGGATAAGGTACGAAGGGCAAACTAGAGAGGTACAGAGTACAAGAGGGCGCCGCTCAGGCCGCCGCATCGAACCACCTCCTCCTCCTCCCGCTCCTCGCGCGCTCGGCTCGAGAGGCGGCTACATGAGCAGCGCGGCCGCGACCGACGGGTCCGGGTGGTCCGAGCCCGTCATGCCCTCGAACAGGCTCGAGCGCCGCTTGCGCTGCTTGGCCGGCTGCTGCTCCTTCTGCTGCTGCTGCTGCGGCGGCGAGGCGGCGGCGACGGGCTCGTCGCGCGCCTTGCCCTTGCCCTTGCCCTGCGCTCGCTGCGGCGACGCCGCGCTGCCAGCCTGCGGCGCGTCGCCCTCACCCTCGCCCTCGAGCTCGACCTCACCATCCGTGCTCCCGCCGCTCGCGCCGCTCCCGCTCCCCCTCGCGCTCGACGATCCCGCCGCACCCGGCCGGACCGCCATGACGGCGGCGTCGATGCTGCCCTGCTGGAGGGGCCCGACGCTCGGGAGGAAGACGGCGCCCGAGTCGGCGAGCGTCGAGAGGAACGTGTTGTTGGGCGGCGTCGCGGCGCTCGCGAGCGAGGCGTACAGGTCCTCGGGGACTGGCGGCGCGAGGTGCATCGGGGACGACGAGGAGCCGATGCGGCGAGAGGCGAATGCAGAGGCGGGCTCGTCGTTGTCGTCGTCGTCGTGGTGCTCGCGGCGGGCGTCGTCCTCTCCGACGACCATGCCGTCTCCTCGCGCCTCGTCGCCCTGCTCCCGCTCCTCCCGCTCGAGCATCTCCTCGTCCTCGTCGTCCGCCGCACCGGGCGCGATCGACGCCGGCCTGCTCCTCGCTCGCGCCGCCCCCTCGGCGAGCGCCTGGCTCAAACCCTGCATGCTGCTCCTGCGCGACCCGGCGCCGTGCGCCGCACGACCCGTCGCCCCGCTGCGGATGCTCGCCGCGCGCGACGCCGGCTCGTCGGCCTCCTCGACGGCCGCCATGGGCGGCGAGCGGCCTGCGAGCCCGAGCCCGAGCGCGCCGCCGCCGACCGCCGCCGCCGACGACGACGGGTCGACGAGCTGCTCCTCGGGCTCGTCGACGAGCATGGCGTCCGAGACACTCGGCGACGGCTCGACGTGCGCGGATGCGGGAGCGGGTTCCGGCTCGGGCAGGTCGATCTCGACGTCGGCCTCGAGGTTGGCGTACGTGCGGCACAGCGGGCACGAGAAGCCCGGGTAGTTTTGCTCGACGAGGGGCCGGATGCACTTGAAGTGGGTGACGTGCGAGCACGGCGCGATAAAGAGCGCCTGGCAGACCGTCACGGGGTAGAGGCAGATGCAGCAGTCGGTGATGGACGCGGCGGCGGCGGCAGCCTCGGCGGCGGCGCTGGTCGCGCTCGTGCTCGCGTGCGGCGTCGGCGTCGGCGATGGCTTGGCGGTGCCGCCGGTCGAGGTGGTCGAGGTGGTGGCTGTAGCGGCGTTGGGCGTCGCGAGCGAGGCGGACGAGGCCGAGGCGGGCGTGCCGGCGTCAGGCGTGGCGCCGAGCGCGCGCAGCTGGGCGAGTGCGGCGGTACTGTTGCGGGACGAGGAGCGTCAGGGCCGAGGCTCTAAGAGAGAGACGCGCGAGGGGGCAGAGGCGGGACAGGGCTCGACGCACTTGAAGCTGTTGGCGCCCCGCTGCCACCCACGGTTGAGCTCGACTCGCATCTTGACGCAGCGGTAGATCTCCTCGGTGCCGCCCTGGTAGTCGACGCCGAGCTGGAGCACGTCGCCGTCCTTGAGCGCGAACGGGCGGCTCTCGACGTTGGGCGACGAGAGGCGAATGTGGTTCAGGAACGTGCCCGACGACGACTTGGTGTCGCGGATGAAGAACTTGCCCGCGTCGTCAACCCACACCTCGGCGTGGCCGCGCGAGACGACCTTGCTCTTGAACGCGACGCGCGCAGGCTCGGTCGCCGTGCCGCGCTGCGCGTTGGCGCCCGTCGCGCCGCCGGCGCCGCCGTGCTGCTGCGAGCGGTCGGTGAAGCGCCCGACGCGCACGATGGCGAACGGCGCGAGGTCGCGCTCGATCGGGTCAAAGTGGAGCGACCGCGACGACTCGAGGTGCGGCACGAGGCGCAGCTTCTGCACGGCCGGCTGCTCGCCGCTCGTGTCGCCGCTCGCGGTCGTCGCCCGGGTCCGGTTCGGCGGCGGGTTCGGGAGCGACGTCGTCGCCGTCAGGGACGAGAACTGCGGGTTGGGCGACGGCGGGGCCGCCTGCCCGGGCGCCTGGCTCGGACCGCCACCGCTCGTCGACGCCGCGAGCGCTGCCCGCGCCTCGGCCGCCGCCGCCGCCGCACTGCCGGCCGAGCTCGACGACGTCTCGCCGCCAGGGACGAGGCCGACAGGTGCCGGCGGCTGCGACGAACTGCGGCTCTGGCGCGTCCTGCCCTGGTCGCCCGTCGACGAGGTGCGCTTCGAGAGCGACCTGCGCAGGGCCGGGAAGCCGTACCCAGTGCGCTCGCCGCCCGCACTCGGCGAAGGCGGCTGCTCGGCGGCGGGCGACGTGGCCGGGCTGCGCTGCGCCGACGACGTGGTCCAGCCTCGCGGCCGGCGCTGGATGAATCCGCCCAAGGCGAGGCCGAACCGGTTGCCGCCGGGTGAGCCGGGCGTCGTGGCGCCGGGCGAAGGCAGCGGGAGGGCCGTGGCGGACGGCGAGCGGGCGAACGAGGGCTGCGACGTGTTGACGGACGACGACGCGGGCGGAGTGCCGACCGGGCTGGCGTTGCTCGACGAGGAGGCCGACGCGCCCGACGACTGGAGGTGGCGCGGAATCATGTCGACGGCGGATGGGGTGGGTGGCGCCATCACTCGGGTCGAGTCGTGGCGAGAGGCGATCGCTCGAGGGCGGCTGATGCGGGGTGGACGAGGGGGGACGAGAAGATGCAGGGACGAGCTGCAGGCGACATCGCGATCAGGGTACTGCAGCTTGCTGGACCACTCTGTGTGGTCCCGAGTGCAGTCTGTGGACGGCGGGACGCACCTGGGACGAGCTGCAAAGCTTGGAACGACGGACGGTCGTCAGGCGGTGCGGGTGCTGGGCGTGGCGGATCTGGCGCTCGTCGAGGCTTGCCGTGGGCGTGGGCGCGCTTGTCGTGCGGGTCGTGCTGCTGGGCGAGTCGCTCGGTGCCAGCCTGGGGCAGTGTGAGGCGAGGCGAGGAGGACGAGACGAGAGGCCGACGTTCGCCCGTGTCGGTCCGTGGGGCCTCGACCATTGCTCCGCACGACCACTCACTCTCTCCCGGCTCACGGTGCGTCCTCCTCGACGCGCTCGACGCAGCGACGCGTGAAACGACCTGGGTGCGAGTTGCAAGATGCGACAAGAAAGAGACGTCGCCCTCCCCTCCCCCTCTCCGACCGACCGGACCTCACCGTCTGCACACGGTACGAGCGAGGGTCAGTAGGCGCTCGTGCACGACAGGAAGAGAGAGAGAGAGAGGGACGCACAGCTTCTTGCTCTCGAAGAACTTGCGCAGGTACCGCAACTGCCAGTAGCACGTCGCGGCGAGGACGACGAGCTGGAACACGCTCCACCACACGGCGCGTGAGTTTGTGCGCTCGCTCAGGACGCGGAACTCGGCCTCGCGCTCGCGCTGGAACTGCTGCTCGCGGCGGATGTCGGCCAGGCGCGCGTTGAGGTCGTGCACTTTGGCCGCGAGGTCCTTGACGTGCTCGCGCTCGCCCTCCTCGTCCACCTTGGCCTCGCCGACGGCAATGTCGAGGTGCATGCGCACTTGCGGGGTCGAGAACCACCCGCCCGTGTAGTTGGACTGGAGGCAGATCGTGTGGTCGCCCGGCTCGTGCGACGTGAACGTGAACTTGCCCTCGGGCAGGCCGCGCGTGTTGACCACCTTCTCGCCGCTCTCGACCTCCTGCGCACGGCGGGAGGGCTCGTCAGCTCTGTCGGGTTCACCAGTCGGACACGCAAGAGAGAGAGAGAGAGAGAGAGGGCAAGGGACGCACGGCAACGACGATCTGGACGCCCAGCTGGTCGTTGAGGATCCAGCTCTTGCTCGACTCCTGCCACTCCTCGGCCTTGTAGTGACCTGCGCGCGTTCCGACAGGTCAGTCGTGCGTCGCTCTGCCGAGAGAGCGGCCTGGACCGAGTGGGCTCACCAGTGCAGATGGTGTCTCGAGGGAGCTCCTCGATGAAGCACTTGTTGGCGCCGGCGGGCAAGTAGAAGTAGAGGGCGGACGTGTGCTGGACGAGCGCGCCGCACAAGAGGGCGAGGACGGCGAGGCGCATGGTGCAGGCGCCGGTGCTGGCGGGCGCGAGGTTGCGGCGCGTGGAGGGGGGAGATGGGGACGAGGAGGGTCGTGAGGGCGCTGGCTCTTGCGGGCGGGGCGGGCGGGCGGGTCGTGTGTCGTGAGCTCCTGGTGGAGAAGGAGGGTATCTGGTGCGCCCTTGGCGGCAGTACAGCGGTGCGGATGGAGGAGCGAGAGGACGAGTCTGGCTTCCCCGCGACAACGGTGGTCGACCACGAACAACCCGCTCGCACTCGCCATGGCTGCGCCAGACCCAGGCTTGGTCGCACAGTGGACTGCGTGCGCTCCCGTCTCGCTTCCTCCAGGCGCGCGCGACGCTCGCTGAGCCCTCTCTCGTCTGACCTCAGCGACCAGCTCCGCCAAGCTGCCCTCGCTTGCTTCGACGACGACGACGACCTGCCCTTTGCGGCCGCGCGTGCGTCGACTACGACCTTGCTACCTCGTGCGCACCCGCTCGCGCCGACCGTCCACCGCGAGGACGTCGACAGGCTCGACGTTGCCGGGCTCGACACGGTGGCCGGCGTCGACATCTCGTTCCGCGACCGCAGCGGCGACGAGGGCGTCGCTGTGCTCGCCGTTCTCTCCTTCCCTGAGCTCAAGGTGCGTCCGTCGCTCGACTCGCGAGAAGGGCGGCCCTGACTCGCCCGCATCGTCCGCAGCTCGTCGCTTCCTTCTCTCGCACCGTCTCGCTCGCCTCGACGCCCTACGTCCACTCGTACCTGTCGTTCCGCGAGGCGCACTTCTTTGTCGACCTCGTCGACGAGTTGCGCCGAACCCGGCCGGACGTACCGGTCCCGCAAGTGCTCTTCGTCGACGGCAACGGGCGGTGGCACCCTCGGCAAGCGGGCAGCGCGGTCGCGGTCGGCGTCGAGACGGGCTTGCCAACGGTCGGCATAGGTGAGCACTATCTCTCTTACCCTCGCCTGTGGGACGACGTCTGACGTCGCTGTGCAGCCAAGGAGTTCCACCCGCTTCACTCGCCGTCCCTTGACTCGACGTCCTCCTCTCATTCCTCTCCTAACGACCCGCCGCCCTTCCCGACCGACTATCTCACCTCTCAGCGTGGCATGCGTGCGGCGTGCCAGGCTCTCCTTCAGCAACGCGGCGACTGGCTCGGCCTCGCGCCGCCTTCCTCGACCGAGCACTGGGGGGCCGTGCGTCGCCTCTCATTCCTCCTCGCCCTCTCGCCCTCCCCGTCGCCTGACCTCGCACGTCTGCTCCAAGCCCACAGGCCCTCCTCTCGTCGCCGTCGCGCAACGCCCAGAACCCGATCTTCGTCTCGCCCGGCCACCGCCTCTCGCTCGAGACGTCCGTGCGGCTCGCGCTCGCGTGCACCCGCGAGGGCAAGATCCCCGAGCCAGTGCGCGTCGCCGACAGACTCGGTGCGCCCCCTCTTTCGCGCGCTCTCTCTCTCTTTCTTGCGGCCGGTCGTCGGTAGAGACTGACGCGAGGAATCGTCGTCGCCGGCTGCAGGACGCGAGGAGGCGCGCAAGCTGTGGCCCAGAGGGTGAGTCGTCGTCTCGCCTCCCAAGATGAGTCGTCGGCCCTCAACCTGTCGCCCCGCTTCGACACCCGCGCCGTCGCTCAAGTCGACGAGGACGGGTTTGCCGCACCAAGAACGGCGACGTCGCTCTCCTGCGAGGCTGCTGGCTCGCGTACCCGACGTGCGAGCACTCTCACCGTCGGCTGGCTCTCGGTGAGCGTTCGCGACGAGGCGAGCCCGTGCAGGGAGGAGCGAGGTTGCTCTTGGCCTGGGCGAGTCGGGACGAGGCGCGCGTTCATTGGGCGCAGCGGGTCGCGAGCCGACTCGTAGCTGCCTCTCGGCGGTATTGGAAGCACGTGCGCCGCAGCGACGAGGAGCTGGAACTTCGAGAGCGGTCGGGAGAGGGTCCGAGACCAGAGCTTCGAGTTGTCGTCGCCCCGGCGGCAGATCCAGGCTGATCGCGCTCTAGGAGGGTCGAGTGCAGCCCGTGAGAGACGACTTGCGCAACGCGAACAGCACCGGGAGGCCGACCTTCAAAGGAGCTGCGGACCCCCGCGGCCGCCGCTCGAGCGACGACGTCGCCAGCTCGAGAGGCGCTCGCGCTCGCTCCTTCCTCCACCCTCGCTCACTCGCCTGCACAAGCTGGCTAGACTGCTACTCTACTCGCCCTTACTGCGCCTCCCTCACTTGCGCCTCGCCTCGCCCACCGCCGCCGTCGCCGCCCAGCTCTCCCGTCGACCTCATCAGACCCGACTCGACTCTCGCCCTCTCCCTCACCACCGCTCCTACTCCGTCCACGCCTCTACCATGCCCTCGAACGACGTCGCCAGCCAGAAGTGGAAGGTCGCCCTCGTCGGTGAGCCCTCCCCCCTCCCCAACCTCGCTTCACGCGCATGATGCCGGCCTCTCCCTGCCGGACCCAGTCGAGCTCACACACGATCCGTACCACGCACGCAGGTAGCGGCAACTGGGGCTCGGCCATTGCGCGCCTCGTCGGCAAGAACATCAAGGAGCGCTCCGACCAGTTCGACCCCGAGGTCAAGATGTGGTGCTACGAGGAGGACGTGCGTTGACCGGTCCCTCACTGCCACACTCTCCCAAGCGCGGTCATCGACTGACTCGAAAGTTCTCGCTGGCGCAGTTCGAGGGCCGCAAGTTGACCGAGGTCATCAACGAGAAGCACGAGAACGTCAAGTACCTCCCCGGCGTCGACCTCGGCGACAACGTCGTCGCCGAGCCCGACCTGGCCAAGGCCATCGAGGGCGCCAACGCGCTCATCTTTGTCATCCCTCACCAGGTGCGTCCCCGCCTGTCCCCTGCTTGCCGGCGACGAGGAGCGCAAGAGCCGGGACCTGACCTCGTCGACCCTGGCGTCCTTGCAGTTCATCGCCAAGACGTGCGAGCAGCTCGAGGGCAAGATCCCCAAGGGGACGCACGGCATCTCGCTCATCAAGGGCGTCGACGTCAAGAACGGCGAGATCCACATCTTCAGCGAGGTCATCAGCGAGAAGCTCAACATCGAGTGCGCCGCCCTCTCCGGCGCCAACATTGCCAACGAGGTCGCCCAGGACTCGTTCTCCGAGACGACGATCGGCTGCCGCGACATCGACGTCGCCAAGAAGTGGAAGGCCCTGTTCGAGACGGAGAAGTTCCGCGTTGCCGTCAGCGAGGACGTTGTCGGCGTGTCGCTCGGCGGCGCGCTCAAGAACGTGGTCGCGGTGGCGGCCGGCCTGATCGACGGCATGCAGTGGGGCAACAACGCCAAGGTGCGCCCCGTCTCTCTCTCTCTCCTCCTCGACGGCGCCGCCGAGTCGACCCTGACCTCGGCTCGACCGCCTCTCTTCCTCGCGCCCTCGCAGGCCGCCATCATGCGCATCGGGCTCCTCGAGATGAAGCGCTTCGCGCTCGAGTTCTTCCCCGGAACGCAGCCCGACACGTTCGTCCAGGAGTCGGCCGGCATCGCCGACCTCATCACGTCGTGCCTCGGCGGCCGCAACCACAAGGTCGCCGCCGCGTTCGTCACCAAGGGCAAGGTGCGTCGGCCTCGGTTCCCCTCCTTTATCTCGGGTGACTCTTGCGCGCGGAACTGACCGAGCGTGCGCCCGTCCGCAGTCGTTCGAGGACCTCGAGGAGGAGATGCTCAACGGCCAGAAGCTGCAGGGTGCGTCGCGAGCCTCTCCTCGTCCGGTCATGCCCAGCTCGAGGGCCATGTCTCTGACTTCTTGTTCTCGGCCACCATGATGCGCACAGGTGTCCAGACGGCCAAGGAGCTGTACCAATTCCTGAAGAACCGCGGCCGCGAGGAGGCGTATCCGCTCTTTACCTTTGTCGTGCGTCCCCTCTTCTCCCTCTTCTTCCTTCTTTCGCCCTCTCCTGACACCTGGTGCCACCACAGTACCGCGTCGCGTACGAGGGCGTCAAGCCCGACACGATCACGGCGCACATCTGAGCGGCCACTCCTCGTTCGTCATCATCGACCACCCCGCTCTCGCTCCTCCCTCGTCCTCGGTTCTTCAGCCTCTTTCGTCCTCGCGTACCATAGATCTCTCTCCTCTCTCTCTCTCCCTCGCCCCCTTCCAGGATCCAGTCGTTCGCCCTCGCAGCAGAGACCCCTCGAACTGGAAAAAGACCGCAGTGCCCCTCTCTCTCCTCGAGCTGCTCCTTCCTACGAGAGAAGGCCCGTCGAGAGATGCGCACGAAGCAGCTCGTCGGCTGTGCAAGAGCGAGCGTCGATGAGGAGCAAGCGTTTGACGTGGCTCGAGCCGCGCGCTCAACGTTCTCCCGCCTCGCCCGGGATCTCTCCCTCCTCTCGATGGAGCCCCTCTGGAGCGGAGCGGTGCTGCAAGCTCGTCTGAGAGCTCCCTGGCTTGTTTGCGGATAGCCAGCGCCTGCAAGCGTGCGCGAGCGCGAGAAAAGCTTCGAGCGTCGCCCACGCACAGAGTCAATCGAGGCGGTGAGGCCGAGTCGACGAGCGAGCGAGCCTGCTCAGCTCCACTTCACCCACCTTCGAGCAAGCAACATGGTCGGCTCTGGCGCTCGCACCCCGGTTCACGGCGCAAAGACGGCTCTGTGCGTCCCACACGCTCATCCCGCGCTCATCTCGTCCTCCTCCTCCTCCTCCTCCTCGACCCCCACTCGACCTCGACGACATCATCACCCACCGCTCGAGCCATGGTCGCCTTCATGGTGCGCGTCCTGACCCACCTCGTGCGCGCACACAGCAATGAGCTCGACGACAGGCGCATTCGCGCCATCCGCCCTCTCATCCCGCCTCAGGTGCGCTCTCGCCTGTCCCTCGCCTCTTCCTGCGGCGAGATCTTGCTCGGAGGGGCGTGCGAGTACGTCGCGGAGTAGCGCTGATCCCCTGTACGTGCCCGCAGATTCTGATGGAGGACTACCCGCTCAGCTTCCAAGGTGCGCCCCCTCTTCCTTTCGTTCCCGCCTGCCCAAGCCTCGCAGTAGCGCCGGACTGACCTCTTCTTCTGCGCAACAGCTGCGGCAACTGTCCTCGACGGGCGCAAGAGCGGCGAGGCCATCCTCAAGGGCGAGGACGACCGCCTCCTCGTCGTGCGTCCTCGTCTCTCCCGTCTTCGCTCGCCGTTCCTCCTCGGAGCAGGAGCTGACACCTCACCTCACACAGGTCGTCGGCCCTTGCTCCATCCACGACGTCCGCGCCGCGCTCGAGTACGCCAAGCTCCTCAAGGCGTACGCCGACGAGGCGTGCGACGACCTGCTCATTGTCATGCGCGTCTACTTCGAGAAGGTGCGCTCCACTCTCGCTCTCTCGCGCTCTCGATACCTGGCACTGACCAACCTCTCGCACACAGCCGAGGACGACGGTCGGCTGGAAGGGCCTGATCAACGGTCCGTCGCGCTCGTTCCCCTCCCCTCGCCGACCTCGAAGGTGGCCTAGCTCACGCCCCCCTCCTTCGCCTTCGTTCCGCAGACCCGCAGCTCAACGGCACGTACCAGATCAACAAGGGCCTGCGTCTCGCGCGTGGCCTCCTGCTCGAGATCGCCAACATGGGCATCCCGACCGCGTGCGAGCTGCTCGACACCATCTCGCCCCAGTTCATCGCCGACCTCGTCTCGTGGGGCGCGATCGGCGCAAGGAGTGCGTCGCTCGTTATCTCTCTGTGCTCGAGCGAGAACAGGAGCCGTCAACTGACCGTCGTCGACTGCGCGCAGCGACCGAGTCGCAGGTTCACCGCGAGCTTGGTGCGTCGCCCGTCCTCTTTCCCTCGAACGCGCGCGCGCCTTACTCACCCCTGTCCCACCAACAGCTTCGGGCATGTCCATGCCGAGTACGTCTCCCCCTTCTCTCGCCACTCGCACGCTCTGGCACGCCGAAGCTGACTTCCTCTCGCAGTCGGGTTCAAGAACGGCACCGACGGCTCGCTCCAGATCGCCATCGACGCCATCGGCGCCGCAGCGTCGTCGCACTCGTTCCTCTCGGTCACGAAGCAGGGCATCTCGGCGAGTGAGTCCCTCCTACTCCCTCTTCCACGCGAGCCGGACGTCGACCTGACGCAGAGTGGCACCTTTCGCAGTCGTCGAGACGGACGGCAACCCGGCGTGCCACGTCATCCTTCGCGGCTCGAACAGCGGGCCCAACTTCTCGGCGGAGCACGTGCAGAAGGCGGCCGAGGGTTTGCGCAAGGCGGGCGTGTCGGACAAGGTCATGATCGACTGGTGCGCCTCGCTCTCTCTCTCTCTCTTGCCGGCTCAGGGGCACGGACCTGACGATGCTCTCGGGGTCACACAGCTCGCACGGCAACAGCAGCAAGCAGCACCAGCGCCAGGTCGTCGTCGCCGAGGACATTGCGCGGCAGCTCGGCACGACCGAGACGGGCCAGAACATCATGGGCGTCATGGTGCGCCCACCTCTCTGTCTCTCCCTCCCTCGCCCTCCTCGAGCGTCCTCCTGACACCTCGCTCGCGCCCCTCGTCCCGCAGATCGAGTCGCACCTCGTCGAGGGCAAGCAGTCGATCCCGGCGACCGGTCCGGCCAACCTCACCTACGGCCAGTCGGTGACGGACGCCTGCATCGACTGGCAGACGACCGTCTCGACGCTCGACACGCTGCGCCAGGGCGTCCAGCAGCGCCGCAAGCTCGCCGGCGAGTCGAACACGCGCAAGGGCATCGAGAACCGCGCGCTGCCGACCGCGAGCGAGCGCGCCGCGAGCGCCGACAGGGGCGACTTTAACAGCGTCGAGACGTTTGCGCGTGCGTGAGCGGGGGCCGCGAGTCGTCGAGGTCGGTGTCGAGGAGCAGTAGCGGGTGTGCGGGACGAGGACGACCTGTATGTAGAGCTTGACTTTCCCTCGCCGCAGCGCACCCTGTGTTTTAGCATGCCCCTTCTCGCTTGTTGCGCTTGCTGTAGCGTCAGGAGGACCCCCCTTTGCCTCTTGCGAAAAGAGCCCCGTTAGCGGCTCGAGTCGGCTCGCGAGAGAAGGGAGAGCGAGAGGCTCGTGCGGTCGCTCGTTCGACTCGAGAAAGGTCGCTCGCAAGGTCTCTTGCGCGCACTCAGCTCGCTCGAAGCGCGTCTCTCACGCTCTCGACACGCCGGACTGAGCGAGCGAGCAAGCAGCTGTTGCACTGCGCGCTCTGGCTACAGCTCCTCGTGCTCGCCCCGCTTCTTGCCCTTGGCGCCACCGGCCTGCGCAGCCGCCGCCGCGAACGGCTCAAGGAACGCGCGCAGCTTGTCGTACTTGAGCGGGCCTGTCGGTCGGCGAGGGAAAGGAGAGGGGGCGAGATGAGCGCTCGGTCCTCGCTCGCTCGACGGTGCGAGAGGAAGGGAGAGAGAGAGGCGGCGACCGACGCACCCTCGTACTTGACGACTTCGTCGCCACCGCTCAGAACCAGCAGGGCCGGTGTCGTCTCGACGCCAAACGCGCGCATCGCCTCGTTGCCGACCTTCTCGTCTCGCGCGGCGTAGAACTCGAGCTCGCGGTAAAAGTCGGTCGAGAGGGCCTTGTACAGCGGCGTCACCTTGCCGGCCGAGGTGAACAGGAGCGAGATGGGCTTGGTGGAGGCCTGAGTGCGGCGGGGAAAGCGAGAGGAGTGTCGGTCGGTGCGAGACGAGGGAGAGAGAGAGAGAGAGAAAGAGAGGGGCGCACCTTCTCGCGCAGCGCCTCGACCTCGGCGGCGGTCCCGGCGCGCTTGACAAAGGTGGGCATGGCGCCCGTTGCGGCAGCGATGATGTCCTTGGCCGTGCGCGGACCGTCGTAGCCTGTGGAGCAGCGAGGGTCAGTCCGGGTCGGGCTCGCAGGGAGCGAGAGGAGAGGAGCGAGACGCACTGCGAGAGGGGGCCGAGCCGCCGGGGAAGAGCTGCGCGCGTACGGGGAGGGTCAAAAGAGCGCCCGCAAGAGGTGAAAGAAACGCGCGCAGTACCTTGATGGTCGGGAAACCTGCGCGGCGGAGAGGTCAGTTGCGCCGTTCGAGAGGGACGCTCGTCGAGAGAGACGGGCGCACCTTGGACGCCTTCTCGACCGCACAGCGGCTTGTTCTCGTCGGCGTCGCAGTCGACGTTGACTGTCGGGAGGAAGCAGTGAGCGTCGAGAGGAAGCGCGAGGACGAAGAGGGAAGCTGGGACGGACCGACGTTGACGATTCCCTTGAGGCTGTCGGCCACCTTGTCGTAGTCGCCAGCGAGCTTCTTGCAATAACCGCACCACTACGTGTGCGTGCACGTCCCCGGGCGTCCAGGAAGGTCAGCTGGAACGAGGTGGGGCCGGGGAGAGGAGGAAGAGGACGAGAGAGAGGGTGCGCACGGGTGCGGTAAAGGCGACGACCGAGAGCTTGTCGCTGCGAGTGACGTGCTTGTGGAACGTCTTTGTGGTGAGCTGGAGGAGGTTCTTCGAATTGCCGAGGGCGGCGTTGGCGGAGGGGAGGAGCGACAAGACGAGTGCGAGGGCTGCGACGAGCGCGAGCCGGGTCGTGAGAGCGGTGCGAGCCATGTGCACGGTGCCACTCGGCAGAAGGAGCGAGGCTGAGTTGTGGGCTGGACGCCAACCTCGAGACGACGACGAGGAGGAGGACGCGCTCTCACCTGCTCACCACCTCGCCGCGGCCACAGCTGCCAGCCAGGCCAAGCGCACCAGCTCCAGCGGGCTCTAGCACGTCCTCGCCACTCGCCGGCCGCCCTCCAAGAGGCTTGCCGCCGCTCGACGCCGCTCGCTCGCCAACGCACCTCCGCCGTCAACCTCGACGCGGCCCACCACCGACCTGCGCGGCCTGCTGTGCACTGCCACACAGGTGCGTCCCACAATCCCTCTCTTCCAAAGTCAGCCAGGCATCCCTGTCGGCGAGCCGGTCACCCCGGCTCCTCATCTTGCTGCGACCCAGTGGGGCCCGTTCGACCCCATCGACAGCTCGCCAGGCATCCCTACTGCACCTCGACTGACACACTCGACACTCACACAGACCAGCTGTAGCGCCCGACGCTCCAACGAGCCCAACCCCGCCTCCCGTCGCCATGGCACCCAGCTACGCCTACCCTCCCTTGCGCCTCGAGCCCCAGACGTCCGAGACGGCGCGCTCCTTCCTCCGCACCGTCATCCTGTGCCTCATCGCCGGTGCCGCCGTCGCCTCGCGCGAGTTTGCCGTCGTCCGTTTCGAGTCGATCATCCACGAGTGCGCCCGCCCCCCCTCTCTCTCTCTCTTCGTCCTCCTCGCCGACGTTGCTGACACGAGCGCTCTTGCCCGCAGGTTCGACCCGTGGTTCAACTATCGAGCGACCAAGGTCCTCACTGAGGAGGGCTTCTACGTGCGTCCCCGCTCTCGCCGCTCCCCTCCCCCTCCCACGTCGCGCTGACCCGCCTCTCGCGCAACAGGCCTTCTGGAACTGGTTCGACCCGACCGCGTGGTACCCGCTCGGTCGCGTCGTCGGCGGCACCCTGTACCCGGGCCTCATGGTGACGAGCGGCCTCATCTGGAAGGCGCTGCACCTCGTCTCGATCCCGGTCGACATCCGCGAGGTGTGCGTCCAGCTCGCGCCGGCCTTTTCGGGCCTGACGGCGCTCGCGACCTACTTCTTTGCCAAGGAGGTCGGCAAGGACGGCAGCCGCGAGGCGACGGGCCTGTGGGCCGCCCTCTTTATCGCCATCGCGCCGGGCTACATCTCGAGGAGCGTCGCGGGCAGCTACGACAACGAGGCGATCGCCATCTTTATCCTCATGAGCACCTTCTTCTTCTGGCTCAAGACGGTCAAGACGGGCTCGGTCCTGTGGGCCGGGATCACGGCCTTGTTCTACTACTACATGGTCGCCGCCTGGGGTGCGTCCCCCCCCCCTCTCTCCCTCTCCCTCTCCTCACGATGGAGGCACGACGACTGACTCGCTCACACACACAGGCGGGTACGCGTTCATCACCAACATGCTGCCGTTGCACGTCTTCGTCCTCCTCCTCATGGGCCGGTACTCGGCGCGCCTGTACGTCGGGTACTCGTCGTTCTACGCGATCGGCACCCTCGCGTCCATGTCGGTCCCGTTCGTCGGGTTCCTCCCGCTCCTCACGTCCGAGCACATGGGCCCGCTCGGCGTGTTTGGCCTCCTCCAACTCGTCGCGTTCGCGAGCCTCGTCAAGTCGCTCGTGCCGGCCAAGCCGTTCCAGGTCCTCCTGCGGTCGTTCCTCGCCCTCGGCGTCGCCCTCGCCGTCGGCGGCCTGTGGTTCATGACCAAGAGCGGCAAGATCGCGCCCTGGACCGGCAGGTTCTACTCGCTGTGGGACACGGGCTACGCACGCGTCCACCTCCCCCTCGTGTCGTCCGTCTCGGAGCACCAGCCGACGGCGTGGCCGTCCTTCTTCTTCGACCTCCAGATGCTCATCTACCTGTTCCCGGCCGGCGTCTACATGTGCTTCCGCGAGTTGCGCGACGAGCACGTGTTCGTCATCGTCTACGCCGTCCTCGCGTCCTACTTTGCCGGCGTCATGGTGCGCCTCATGCTCACCTTGACGCCCGTCGTGTGCGTCGCCGCCGCCGTCGCCATCTCGGCCATCTACGAGACGTTCTTCGACCCGCGCGAGCAGGACCGAGGCCTCGTCGGCGGCGGCGGCGGAGAGTCGACGGTGGCCGGTCCGGCGCAGGCCGTCAAGCGCGAGGTCGACGCCGTCGCTGCCGCCATCCAGGACGTCGCGTCGTCGTCGTCGTCGTCGTCGAGCTCGGGCAAGAAGGGCGGCAAGAAGGCCGCCTCGTCGTCGTCGTCGTCGTCGGCGGCGGCGGTGGCTGCGGGCCCGAGCGTCGACCGCACGCCGCGCCGGTTCGGCGTCTTTGGCCTCGACGCGCGCCTGATCCCCATCATCGCCTTTACGTTCCTGTCGTTCCTGTTTGTGCTGCACTGCACGTGGGTCACGTCGTCGGCCTACTCGTCGCCCTCGGTCGTGCTCGCGAGCCGCGCGCCCGACGGCAGCCAGAACATCATCGACGATTTCCGCGAGGCCTACTACTGGCTCCGCCAGAACACGAAGGAGGACGCAAAGATCATGAGCTGGTGGGACTATGGGTACCAGATTGCGGGCTTCTCGAACCGGACGACGCTCGTCGACAACAACACGTGGAACAACACCCAGTGCGTCCTTCTCTCCCTCGAACGGGCGCTCTCTCTCTGAGTGAGCCCTCGACTGACTCGGCGCGAGCGTCCACAGCATCGCGACGGTCGGCAAGATCATGTCGGTGCGCGAGGAGGCGGCCTACCCGCTCCTGCGCAAGCACGACGTCGACTACGTCCTCGTCATCTTTGGCGGCCTCCTCGGCTTCTCGGGCGACGACATCAACAAGTTCCTGTGGATGGTGCGCATCTCGGAGGGCATCTGGCCCGACGAGGTGACGGAGCAAAAGTACTTTACGTCGCGCGGCGAGTACAAGGTCGACAAGGACGCGAGCGAGACGATGAAGAACAGCCTCATGTACAAGATGAGCTACTACCGGTCCGTCCCCCTCTCCCTGCTCCTTTGTTCCCGCCACGAGTTCGACGAGCGCGCACTGACCCCTCTCGCCCTCGCCCTCGCAGCTTCAACGAGCTGTACGGCGGCGGGCCCGCCATGGACCGCGTGCGGCAGCAGCAGATCCCGCCGACGCCGATCCAGCTCGACACGCTCGGTGAGTCGTGCTCCTCCTCGTCGTCTGGCTCGAGCGGCGGCCTGTCCTGTCGCCCTGCGCCTGCCTCGAGCGTTTGTTGACTCTCACTCTCGCCCGCAGAGGAGGCCTTCACGTCCGAGAACTGGATCGTGCGTCTCTCTCCCTCTCTCTCCTTCCCACTCTGCTGCACCTCTCCCTGACCCACCTCTGCCCGTCCCTCGCGCAGGTGCGCATCTACGCCGTCAAGCCCGAGGACGCACTCGGGCGCGACCACCGCTCGGCCAACGCGTTCGACGCGGGCAAGCGGCGCAAAAAAGTGACGAGCCTGCCGACGACGAGCGCGGCCGGCGGCGTCAGGGGCAAGGCGGGCGCGAGGAAGTGAGGAACGAGGCTCAGGGCGCGCGCGCGACGGCGAGGCGAGGCGAGGGTCGGCTCGCGCGAGGGGGAAGAGGAGCGGGAGCTGCAACGATACGAGGATTGCAAACGCTCGTCTCTCGCAGTGGATCGTACGGGAGTGAGAGGACTCTGCAGCAGAGTGCGACCGAGAGAGAGAGAGAGCGCCGCGAGAACGACTTGGCCGCGAGGAGGAGGAGCGGGCGCCACCCTCTCTCGACCAGCTCGCCGCTGCACACGAGCTGTCGCGCTGCAGCACACACACACCCTCGATGGACGCCCTCGAAGCCCGCAAAGCCGCGCCCCGACCCGCCGAAGCGGCGCCGACCGCCCCACCCGCCGGCGCGAGCCCGTCCGACTACAACGACACGCTGCGCTCGCGCGGTGGCCACACCAAGTTTGCGGACCCGTGCTCTGTCGCTCGCGAGGTGCGCCCCCCTCGCCTCCTTTCGTCGTCGTCGGGCGAGATTGTGGGAGAGGTGCGGCGAACTGATGAGAACGACTCGATGCTCGCAGGAGAGCATGAGGTGCCTCGATCGCAACTCGTACGACCGCAGCAAGTGCAACGAGGTGCGTCGGCTGGTCTCCTGCTCTCGTACCGGTGCGGGCTCGCCCTCTCACGAGCGCGAGTCTACGCCTTAGTGCTTCGCCGCAGCCCTGACGCTCCCCCTCTACCCCGACTGCAGTTCTTCCAGGCTGTGCGTGTTACTCGTCCTCTCACGAGTGCGCTGAGCGCGCCAAGCTGACCCAGAAGGCCGCGCCCGCAGTACCGCGACTGCAAGAAGACCTGGGTGCGTCGGCCTCGTTCTCTCCCTCTCGTCCTCATAGGCCCAACCCCGTGCTGACTCGCTCTCTCCCGCAGCTGGACCAGAGGCGCGAGGACCGTCGTGCGGGCAAGGACGTGGCGTGACGGAGCGGCGAGCCTGGCTGTCCCTCTCCTTGTTGTAGCTCTCCTCGTCCCTCGTTGTACATCTCGCACACGTACTGCACTGCACTGCTCATATTCGATCAATAGACCTTCTCGCGCTCGCGCTCCCTCGCCGCGAAATCGCCCGGCGCGAACCCTCGCGGCCCGAGAGCTGCGTCGACCACCTTCATGAGCTCGATGACGCGCTCCTCGTCGTACTTGCGGCCGACGACCTGCACGCCGACGGGCAACCCAGCCATGTCGAGCGCGTCGTACACGCCGCCCGACCCATAGACCCTCTTCTCGACGAGCGAGCTGCCGGGCTCTTGCTCGAGCCTGCGCAGGAACGCCTCGTCGACCGTGTCGAGGATCGGGTCGACGCGCGTGACGGGCACGAGGCCGACGGTCGAGTCGACGACGTTCCACTGGATCGTCGCGAGCGCGAGCGGCGACAGGTACGACGTCTCGCCGTGCTTGAGGGCCGGCGTCGCTTGCGGCGGGCACAGGACGGCGTCAAAAGCGTGGTGCGACCACAGGAGCTTGCGCGTCGCGTCGACGTACTGGTCCCTGCGCACGCGAGGACGGGAGAAAAAAAAGAGCGAGAGTCAGTGCGGGGCGCGCGCGCGAGATGGAGGCGAGAGAGGAACACGAGGGGACGGACCGCCGGTACTGCCACTCCTGCATCTCCTTGACGCTCCTGCCCTTGCTCGCACGGAGGAGGCGGCCAAACTGGATGTCGCCGACGACGTTGTCGACGAGCCACGCGAGGGCCGAGCGCACGAACCAGGGCAACTTGGGCCCGATCGTCGCGAGGAACAGGCTGCTCTCGAGCGGGTCGCCCTCGAGGTGCGACAGGAGCGTCTCGTCTGCGGGGGCGAGGGCGTGTGGGTCAGTCAGGGGTCGCGAGAAAGAGGGAGAGAGAGAGAGAGAGAGAGAGAGAATGCGGGACGCACACCGACCGGCGGACGTCAGGGCGACAAAGAGCTCCATGGCCTCGACCGCGCTCGGCGGCTCAAACTCGACGCATTCGTGGCCCTCGCGCCGGAGCGCCTCGACCGTCTCGCGCACGGCGCGCTCGCACGCCGGGCTCGTGCGGCAGAACTTGTCCTGGGTGAAGAAGCCGAACCGGAGCTTGTTCTTCTTCTCGAGCTTGACGTCGCGGTACGGGATCGGGAGGACGTCCTCGGTGGCGGCGAGGGTTGGCGCGGCGTCGAGCTGGACGCGGAGCATGAGCTCGAGGTCAGACACCGAGCGCGCCATCGGTCCCATGCTCGTCCGGATCGCTGAAAAGCCGGCGTTGAAGGTGCGGCAGCCCGTCGACGAGATGCGGCCGGCGCAGGGCTTGATCGAGTAGCAGCCCGAGAAGTGGGCCGGGATGCGGAGCGAGCCGCCGCTGCGAGGGAAGGACCGATGGTCGTCAGGACCCGAGAAGATGTAGGATCGTCGAGAGACAGAGAGACAGAGAGACGCACATGTCGCTGCCGATGCCGATGACGGACCCATCGCCGCCGAGGAGGCCGCCCTCGCCGCCCGAGCTGCCGCCCGTGATGCGCTCCGGGTTGTGCGGGTTGCCCGACCGCCCAAAGAGCGGGTTGCTGCACTCGAACGAGAGCATCGTCTGCGGCACGTTGGTCTTGACAAACGGGATCCCGCCGGCGTCGCGAATGATGCGGATCAGGGTCGCGTCGGCGGGCGCAGGGCGGTTGATCATGTGGGTCAAGCCCATGGTCGAGTCGTGGCCGCCGGCGATGTCGACCTGGTCCTTGATCGAGACGGGCACGCCGTGTAGCGGGCCGACCAGCTCGCCCGTCTTGTCATAGTGGGCGTCGAGGTCGAGGGCGGCCTTGACGGCGTCGTTGAACAGGACCTCGGTCAAGAGGTTGCAGCGCTCGTGCATGCGAGTCGCCTGACGCACGTAGACGAGGACGACGTGCGTCGCGGTCCACCCGGGCTCGCGTGCTGCGATGCGGCTCGTGATGGTCGACGCGGTGGCGGCGAGGATGGCGCGCTCGAGGTCGGGCGAGATGTCGGCGCCGCCGTAGTCGTCGTCGAGTTTGCGACCGAGGTCGAGTGCCTTGCGCTGCTCGGTGCTGTGCACGCAGAGCGGGCGGTGAGCGAGATGCCCGGACTCCGAGTCGGAAGTGGGGGCGACCGAGCGGGAGGTCGTGTGGCTGAGGAGGGGGGGGGGCTCACAGCTTGAGGTCGCGGTTGATTTGCCACGTCGGGGTCCACAGCATGATGGCCGGAGAGTTAAGGAGATGTTGATGGAGAGGGAGGAGGCGAGAGCCCGGCAAGGAGAGAGGCCGGCGAGGGGGATGAGCGAGTTGGCCTCGAGCGGAGCTGGTTTTGCGGTAGAGCGGGCTGAAGAGGTTCAGTAGCGCGGTACAGCTCGCTGTCAGGCTCTGGCGGGGACAGCAGAGGTGGGTGACGAGGGTGAGCTGATGAAGCTGTGGCTCTCTGTCGTCGACCACTCGCCCAGAGTCGCTCACGAGCACATCGACAAGCCGTGCAGCCTCGCAGGCACTCTAAAAGCACAGCCAGCCGCCACCCCGACTGCGCACACCCCGCGACGGCCATGCCTCGCTCCCCCTCCCCGGCCGCCAGCTCGCACTCGCACTCGCACCACTCGAGCAAGCGCAGGCGCTACGACGACGACGACGACGACGATACCCACCGCCATCACCGCTCGAGTCGCTCCCACCGCGACTACGACCGCTCGTCGCACCGCTCATCCCGTCGCCACGACTACGACCACTCGCCCCGCTCGGTCGACTCGCCCCGCGACCGCGACCGCGACCGCGACTCGCACCGCTCGCCGGCGAGTCACCGAGACCGTGACCGGGACCGGGACCGCGACCGCCGGCGGCGAGACGACGACTCGCACTACTCGTCGGAGCGCAGCTCGAGGCGCCGAGACGACCGCAGCCCGCGCGACCGGGACCGCGACCGCGACCGCGACTACTCGAGCCGCCACGACCGCGACTACGCCCGGCGCGACCGCTCGCCCGACCCTCGCGACCGCGACCGCCGAGCGCGCTCGCCCGTCCACCGCTCGTCCGCCGCCGCCGCGCCGACCAACGGCCTCACCAACGGCTCGCACTCGCCTGCGGCCGAGTCGCCCGCACCGCCACCCGCAGCGCTCTCGGCGGCCGAGGAGGAGAAGCAGCGCATCAAGCGCGAGAGGCTCGAGGCGTGGAAGCGCAAAAAGGCGGCCGACGCAGCCGTCGCATCGCCGGCCCCGGCTAGCCCTGCGCCAGCGAGTCCCGTGCCGCCGAGGGCCGCTCCTGCTGCAGCTGCGCCGCCGGCGGCCGGCCTTCCTCCCAAGCCTGTCGCGGCCATGAATGCCTGTGCGCCTCGTTCCCTTTCTCTCAATCTCTCTCCTCTCGTCCTCCATCCTGGCGTCGATGTACTGACGAGCCGTATTCCTGCAGCTCTCCCCGCCAAGCCTATCACCATCCCCTCGACCTCGCTCCTGCCCAGCACGTCCAAGCCCGCCGGCACGCCCGACGACGCGACCGCCGCCGCCGCCGCCGCCGCCGCCGCCATCGCCAACCGCCTCTCGTCGCTCGGCGGCGGCGGCGCCTCTTCCTCCTCCTCCTCCTCATCACCCTCAACGGCGCTCAAGCACACCCTCCCCTCGTCGCTGCCGGCCAAGCCCGCCTTCTCGCTCGGGACCGCCGCCGCAGCGGTCCCGGCGCGTCCGGCCGTCGGCAGCGGGCTCAAGCGCTCGCTCGGCGCCGACGACGACGACCAGGGTGGGCGCAAGATGGGCATGATCCGGTTCGACGACGTCGACGGCGCCGAGGGCGCCGGCGCGGGCGCTCGGCCGGCGGCCGCGGGCGCAGAGGGCGAGGGTGCGGGTGAGGAGGACGAGGAGGACGAGGACAGCGACCTCGACGAGGAGGGTGCGGCGTATCGCGCGAGGGCGAACGCGGTGCGGGCGGCGAGGATGGCGGCGCTGTTGGGCGCCGAGGCGGCGGCATCGTCGTCGTCGTCGTCGTTGTCGTCGGGCGTTAAGAAAGAGGAGGGCGACGGCGACCAGATGGACGTCGACGAGCCGGCGGCGGCGCCAGCAGCAGCAGGCGCCAAGGTCGAGGAGGAGGACGAGGAGGAGGACGAGCTCGAGGCGTTCATGAAGGGCGTCCAGAAGCAGGTGCGCACGGTCGACAAGGCCGACGCGGTCAAGCTCGGCATCAAGAAGGCGCCCGAGGTCCTCGAGGCGGCAGAGCCGGGCGAGGACGAGGTCGACGAGGAGGAGGACGAGCTCGCAAAGGTCGGCATGTCGGCCGCCGACATCCTTGCGTGCGCCCCACCTCTCTCTGTCTCTCTCTCTCTCCCCTTTCCGTCACCATCTCTCTATTGCGTCGTCCTGAGCCAGTCGACGACGGTCACTGACCCTCTGCGTCCTCGCCCTCGCAGACTCGCCGCCAAGAAGGTCAAGAAGGGTCGCGAACTCGCTGTGCCGGACCACAAGAACATCGACTACCTGCCGTTCCGCAAGGCGTTCTACACGGCCCCGCCCGAGGTCGAGCAGCTGTCGCAGGCCGAGGTCGACGCGCTCCGGCTCGAGCTCGACGACATCAAGATCCGCGGCGCTGAGCCGCCAAAGCCGGCGACCAAGTGGTCCTACTTTGGCCTGCCCGCCGCGTGCATCGACGTCATCAAGGCGCTTGAGTACGCCGCGCCGACGTCGATCCAGGCCCAGGCCATCCCGGCCGTCATGAGCGGGCGCGACATCATCGGCGTCGCCAAGACTGGGTCGGGCAAGACGATGGCGTTCATCCTGCCCATGTTTCGCCACATCAAGGACCAGCCGCCGCTGCGCCCGCTCGATGGCCCGGTCGCCATGATCATGACGCCCACGCGCGAGCTCGCGACCCAGATCTACAAGGAGTGCAAGCCGTTCCTCAAGGCGCTCGGGCTCAGGGTGCGTTCCTCCCTCTCTCTCTACCTCTCCTCGAGGTGTCTGTCGGACCGTCCGCGACGCAGAGACTGACCGTCGTCCACCTCTCTCCCTCGCGCCCCGTCCTCCCTCCTCCCTCCCTCCCTCCCTCCTGGTCCAACTCGCCCTCTCGCAGGCGTCGTGCGCGTACGGCGGCATGCCGCTCAAGGACAACATCGCCGACATGAAGCGCGGCAGCGAGGTCATCGTGTGCACGCCGGGCCGCATGATCGAGCTCCTGACGACCAACTCGGGCCGGCTCATCAACCTCCAGCGCGTGACGTACCTCGTCCTCGACGAGGCCGACCGCATGTTCGACATGGGCTTCGAGCCCCAGGTGATGAAGATCCTGGGTCAGATCCGGCCCGACCGCCAGACGGTCCTGTTCTCGGCCACGTTCCCGCGCCAGATGGAGGCGCTCGCGCGCAAGGTCCTGCGGCGCCCACTCGAGATCACGGTCGGCGGGCGCTCGGTCGTCGCCGACACGATCACGCAGGTCGTCGAGGTTCGCCCCGAGGAGTCCAAGTTCAACCGCACGCTCGAGCTCCTCGGCCAGCTGTTCAACGACGAGTCGGACGCGCGCGCCCTCATCTTTGTCGAGCGCCAAGAGTCGGCCGACAAGCTGTTTGTCGACCTCCAGAACAAGAACTACACGTGCATGCCGCTCCACGGCGGTCGCGAGCAGGTCGACCGCGACCAGACGATCGTCGACTTCAAGAACGGCTCGTGCCCGATCGTCATCGCGACGTCGGTCGCCGCGCGCGGCCTCGATGTCAAGCAGCTCAAGCTCGTCGTCCAGTACGACGTGCCCAACCACATGGAGGACTACGTTCACCGTGCGGGCCGCACCGGCCGTGCCGGCAACACGGGCACGTGCGTCACGTTCATCACGCCCGACCAGGAGCGGTACGCCGTCGACATCCTCAAGGCGCTCACGGCGAGCAAGGCGCCCGTCCCGCCCGAGCTCGAGGCCATGGCGCAGGCGTTCGCCGACAAGGTCAAGGCGGGCAAGGCGCAGGCCGCCGGGTCGGGCTTCGGCGGCAAAGGGCTCGACCGCCTCGACAACGAGCGCGACGCGGCGAGTCGGGCCGAGCGCGCCGCGTACGGCGAGACGGCCAAGGACGACAAGAAGAAGGACGGCGCCGGCGGCGATGACGGCGACGAGGGCGAGCAGGCGGCCAAGAAGGTGGCCGACCTCGAGGTGCAGATCCACCGCGGGCCGGCGCCCAACCTCGAGAAGGGCAAGATGATCCCGTCGGCGGCGTCGACGACGACCCCTGCGCCTGCTGCGCCCGCCGTCGACTCGAAGGCCGCCGAGGCCGCCGCCAAGAAGGCCGAGCAGGAGGCTCTCGCCGCTGGGTGCGTCCCGCCCCCCTTTTCTCTCCCTCTTCCCTTCTCCCCCTCGCTGTGCGCCCGGTCTGACCTCTTCTCTCTCGCACGCCTGCAGCAAGTCGGCCGGCGTCGCAGGTGCCGCGAGCGTCATCGCCAAGTTCAACGCCATGCTCAAGGCCAAGCAGTCGGGCCACGCCGCGCCCGTCACGGACCACTCGACCGAGGCGGCTCGGCGGCGCGACCCGGACGCGACCGACTACCACGCCATCGTGTGGATCAACGACTACCCGCAGAAGGCGCGGTGGAAGGTCACCAACAAGGACACGATGGTGCACGTGCGTCCTCCTTCCTCGCCTTCTCTCTCTCTCGAGCGCCCGTCACTGACTCTCTCTCGCCCACGCCTGCAGCTTGTCGACTCGACCGGCGCCTCGATCACGAACAAGGGCATCTTCTACGAGGCGGGCAAGGAGCCCGGCCCGAACGACCTGCCCAAGCTGCACCTCCTCATCGAGTCGAACGAGGAGTTCAGGGTGCGCACCCTCTCTCTCTCGCTTTCTCGGCCACGAACCTCTCTCGCACTCGCTCTGACACGGTCTCGCCCACGTCCGCAGGTCCAGCACGCCATCGCCGAGATCAAGAAGGCGCTCATCGAGGGCGCGACCATGGCGCTCGAGGTGCGTCTCGCGCTCTCTGCCCTCTCGTCTTCGGCGCCCCGACTGACTCGTCTCCCCCACACAGGCCGAGCAGCGCCAGCAGGCCGGCGGTGGAGGCGGTGCCGCCATCGGTCGCTACAGCGTCATCTGAGCCGGCGCGCCCTCTCTCTCTCTCTTTTTCTCCTCTTCTCCCTTCCGTTCCGCCTCTATCATCCATACCTCTCGCATCTCTCGAACTATTGAACTCGAAACCCTCGTTCTCCCCTCATTCAGGACACGGTGCGCGAGGGGTGGGTGTGCGCGTGCGGGAGAGAGAGTACGCCTGCTTCTTCCCTCTGTCGTTTTTCCTCCCTTTCTTCTCGACGGCGCCCCGACCTCGATGCGCTCACCTCGGTCGTCGTCGTCGGTCCCTCGTCACCTACAGCAGCACGTCGGCCTCTGCGCGTCGTCCTCCTACCCGCTGCCGGCGCCGGTCGGTCCGTCGTCCTCGGAAAGCTCGAAAGCCTCCGCGCCCTGGGACCCTTCTCGTCCTCGCCGTGTCCTCGTCACGGTGCGTCCCTCATCTCTCTCGTCCCGCCTTTTCTTCTTCTGTAGCGCCTCTCGTCGGCGCCGGCCGTGCAACGAGCGCGAGCCTCTCCACTTATTCTGTCGTTGCGATTCGGCCTCGAGAGTTTTCGCGTACGAGGCAGCTTGCGAACAGCTCTCGACGCTGCCCTGTGACCGCGAGAGAGAGAGCTGCGCGAGCAAGCTCGGCTCGAGCGTCGGCCGAAACCACGAGACGCGACTCGGCGCAACCTCCCCTGAGTTTCCTCATCAGCTGCTCGTCGCCTCTTCCACCTCTCCCACGCCATGCCTGCCGACATGAAGCCTGTGCGCCCCTGCACTGTCTTCTCTCGCCTACAGAGCCCACGCTGACCCCTCACCACCGCACGCACAGGTCCCGCTCACCCTCGTCGTCGCCGCGACCCCGTCCAACGCGATCGGGCGCAACTCGACCTTGCCCTGGCGGCTCTCGAACGAGATGGCCTACTTTGCGCGCGTCACCAAGGGCGAGAAACCCGGTCGCAACGCCGTCATCATGGGCCGCAAGAGCTGGGAGGGGATCCCGAGCCGGTTCAGGCCGTTGCCGGAGCGCGAGAACGTCGTCGTCAGCAGGCAGGAGGGGTTCGACCTGTGCGTCGCTCTCGTTCTTTCGAGCTCTCTGTGTGTGCGAGCAAGCTGACCCGTGCCCTCCTCCCTCGCAGCGGCGGCGCACCTCGCACCCACCTCGCGCCCTCCCTCGCATCGGCCGTCTCGCTCTTGCGCGACCTCCCTCCCGCCTCTTTCGCCGACTCGACCGCCCCACTCGACCGCATCTTCCTCATCGGCGGCGCCCAGCTGTACAACGCCGCCCTCGAAGAAGCCGCCGCCGCCGACGCGCCCTCGTCCTCTCCCTACCTCGTCGACCGGGTCCTCCTCACGCGCCTCTCGACCGAGTACCCGGACTGCGACACGTACCTGCACGACTTCGCGGCCGACACGTCGACGTCGCCCGAGGGCCAGGCCAAGGTGTGGCGGCGAGCGAGCCACGACGAGCTGCGTGCGTGGGCAGGGTGGGACGTGCCCGAGGGCGTGCAGCAGGAGCAGGACAAGCTCGCCAAGGGCGAGAACAAGGTCGTCGAGTACGAGTTCCAGATGTGGGTGCGGTAACCGGCGAGCGTGTGCGGTCTTAAAGTGACCCCAAGTCGAGAGAGACGGGTTGCGGGCGAGCTTTGAAACGGTCTCACGGCTCGGCCACGGCCTCTCGAGAGCGCGGTCAAGCTCTGGTCGGTCCGCAGGAAAATCGTCGAGACGCTGGACTTGGTCTCTTGGTCGCAGGAGGAGAAGCGAGCACAAGAGAACGAGAGAAGCGCCGGGAGGATGCGTGTTGCGCGTGCCAGCAAACCTGTACTTTCCTTTGTCGAATTGCCTGGCCAGCTCCGCTCGTCTCCCCGCAAGGTCATCACCTCTCTAAGGAACTTGCGAGCCGCCTTTTACTGCTGAGCAACCCGAGCCGTGATACAAAGACCTTCTTACGAACAATCTTTAGTTGTCCACATGCCTTCGCGCTGTCCGATTTTTTTTTTGCGGCTGCCGTCGACTTGCTCTGCTGTACGTACTCGTGCAGCGCTGGTGACGGATCGGAAGCACTCGAGTCGACTTTGCGAGGTGGGAGCGAGGCGAGTGTCGAGGGTTTTCCGGCGCGTGGTGGTCGAGCGGGGAGGAGAGGGTCGACTCTGCTTGGAAGCTCTCGACGCACGCCTCTCGAGCCCTCGCTGCTTGCACGGTCACCACCACAGCCCTTCATCATGGCCGTCGAGCCCACCACCGCCCCAGTCGCGTCAACTTCCGACTCGCCTCCTCCTCCCGTCCCCGCCGTCGCGAAACCGCCAAAGACGGCGCGCGGCCGCCCGACAGACGACCCCGACACGCGCTGGAGCAAGACCCTGAGCTACATCCTGCGCCACGGCGCGAGCAAAGAAGGCCTCACGCTGCGCCCGGATGGCTTTGTCCGCGTCGACGACCTTGTGAGCCCGCAGCGCTCTCCGCCCACTCGCCCCGACAAGCCCGAGCTGACCCTTTCCTGTCGACCAGATGAAGCGACCAAAGCTCAAGGGCTGCGACCTCGAGACGCTCGAGCGCATCGTGCGCGACAACGCCAAGCAGCGCTTCTCGATGAGGAGCGAGCCGACCGGGGCGGACGGCGCAGACGAGCTGTGGATCAGGGCCAACCAGGGTCACTCGGTCAAGGTGCGCACGCACGATCTCTCTCTGTCTCTTGGTGGTGGCGGCGCGGCGACGGACGCAGCTCACGACGCCCCGACGCACGCAGGTCGAAGCCCTCGAGCTCAAGCCGGTCGACAAGGCCGACGCCGTCCCGACCATGGTGCACGGCACGTACCACCGGCTGTGGCCCGTCATCGGTGCGTCCCTCCCGAGCCTGTCGCTCCCGCCCAAGAGAGCCCATCCTGACGCCTCGAGCCTTCGTCCGCCTCGCAGAGAAGGAGGGCCTCAAGGTCATGACGCGCAATCACATTCACTGCGCCGTCGGCCTCGCAGGCGAGGACGGCGTCGTCAGTGGTGCGTCGACAGCGACCTCGTTTCGCGTCGTGTGGGCCCTTAACTGACTCTCGCTCGAACGTGAACAGGCATGCGCAACAACTGCGACCTCTTCATCTACCTCGACGTCCCCAGACTGCTCGCCGGTGCGTCTTTCTCTCTCTCCCTCGAGCGGCCTCGTACTCTCTGGCCACACCCACTGACGCTGCCCCTTGCGCCGCAGACGGCGTCCCCATCTTCACCTCGACCAACAGCGTCGTCCTCACCCCGGGCATCGACGGCGTCGTCCCGCCACGGTACTTTGCCAGGGTCGTGCGCAAGGGCGGCGAGGTCCTTGTCCCGGCGCCGAGCGCGTGAGAAGCCGCATGACTGCAACGAGGCGCCGGTTTGCGAACAAAGGTTGAGAGCAGCGAGCGCTTGCGAGAGGCGGTCTCTCTCTCTCTCTCTCTCTCTCTCTCTCTCTCGCTCTCGAACGGCGACTGCCTCTCGAGAGAAACACGCTGGTGCGGACAAAGCTGGCTACAGCATAGTGCTCAAGCGTGCGAGAAAACCATCCTCCCGGCCCCGCGTCTCCCCCTCCTCGACCCGCCTCAGTTGCGCCGCACGCTGCCCGTGAACCGGAACGCGAGCAGCCTCGGGTTCGTCACGACGACGGGCGACGACGACGCGTCGTCGGGCGCCGACGACAGGATGCCGTCGCTCGATTGCGGCGGCGACGAGGGCAGCGCCGCGAGCGCCGGGGGTCCGTGCGCGCTCGTGCGGCGCTTCTTGGCCGGCGGCGCGATTGCGGGCGCGGGCACGACGTCCTCCTGCGGCGGTGGCGGCGGGCGCTGCAGCTGCTTGAGCGGCGAGCGCGTGCGCATCGGCGGCGGCGGCGGTGCGACGACGGCGGCGCTGGTCGAGGACGAGGTGCGGTTGCGCGACCTGGGCGACAAGGGCGGGCGCGAAAGGTCGGTCGAGGCGCTGCGCTTCTTGGGCGATGCGGGCGGGCGAGCGGCGGTCTGCGGCGTGGGCGGCGAGGGACGGCCGAGGCTCGAGCGGCCGAGCGGGGTCTGCAGAGGAAGAAAGGCGGGGTGAGTTCGACAAAAGGATCGAGAGAGAAAGAGGAAGAGAGAGAGAGAGAGAGGCGGGCGCACCTTGGTGGCGGCGGGGAGCATGAACTTGGCGCGCCACGACGCCGCGAGCGCCTTTGCCGCCTCGTCCTGGCCCTCGTCCTCGTCCTCGTCGACCTGCTCCTCCTTGACCCGCTTCCTCCTCTTCGCGCTCCCGCTCCCGCTCGCCTTGACCGCCTTGGCCGCCGAGGACGAGGCCGAGGAAGACGACGACGACGGCGGCGCGACCTCGTCGGCGCGCACCTCGACGCCAACGACGTTGGACCGACGAGGCGACGCCTTGGTCTTGCCCTGCGACGAGCGTGCGGGCGCCTTGGCCTTGACCTTGGCCTTGACCTTGGCCTTGCCCTTGAGCGGCGACGCAGGCTTGATGTCGCGCGTCGACACGGACGGGCGCGGCGTCGGTGCCGCGCCGGGCGACGACGACAGGAGGATCGGGTCGCTCGAGAGCTCGATCGTCGGCGTCGCGGCGAGCTGCTGCTGCTGCGGCTCCTCGCGCTTGACCTCGGGCTCGGACGCGCGCTCGAGCTTGCCGGCGGTGGCGGCGGCGACGGCGCCGGTCGCAACGGCGGCAGGCGCGTGGATCGGGCTCGACAGCTCGTCGTGGTCCCACCCGGCCTGCGCGACCGTGCTCTGCGCCGGGCTGCTGATGCCCGCCTCGGACGGCGGACCGGTGACGGGCACGTCGAGCGCCGCCGAGGGCGAGTGCACGAGCTTGGCGCGCTTGCGGGGCGGCGTGGCGGGAGGAGACGAGATGGCGGGCGTCGACGACAGGAGGAGCGGCGCGGCATCGGCTGGCGGCGGCGCCAGAGCCGGCGGCGTCTCGTCCTCCTCCTCAACGGCGACGACCGAGCGCATCTCGACGCTGAACTCGGTCTCGCGCAGTGCCGCCTCGGCGTCGAGGTCGTCGCTGCACGGTGGCAGCTCGAGGCACTCGAGGAACCCGCTGTCGTCGGCCGCGAGCCCGAGCGCCTCCTCCTCGACGAGCGGCACCTCGACGGCGCGCGCCTTGCCCTTGCCCTTGGCGCTCGCCGCCGTGGCGCCAAAGAACTTGCTCTGGCGCGCCTCCTGCGGCTCCTCGTCCTTCTGCTTGCCCTTGCGCTTGACCGACGACGACGACGAGCCGGCGACGAGCGTCACCTTGGCGCGCGCCTTGGCCGCCTTGGCCGGGTTCGACGGCGCCGCCGAGGACGTCGACGCAGCTGGCGCTGGCGAGAAGTACGACAGGAGCGAGCCGGCGGCCGATTTCGCCGTCGAGCTCGTCGGGCCAGTCGAGCGCTTGAACGGCTGAGGCTTGTACGGCTGCGGAACGGGGAAGAGCCGAGTCAGTGAGTGATTCAGGGCGAAAAGAGGCGAGAAGGGCGAGGGACGCACCGCCGAGGTGGACGGGCCCGATTCGGGGACGAGGTCGACCATGGCGAGCTTGGTGATCGGGTCGATGTCGCCGTCGGCGACGCCGCGCGCATAGTCGCCGTCGAGTACTCTGCGAGAAGAAAGGTGTCAGTGCCCGCACACAGGGAAGCATGAGACCAGGAGGAGCTGTCGGCGACGCACGGGCCGATGAAGGGCAGGTCGGCGGCCGTGATGCCATCGGGGAGCGGCGTGAGGTGCACGAGCTCGCGCTTGACCGGGTCAAAGACGTGCTGGTGCAGGAACGTCTTCTCGGCGCGGCGGAACTCGTCGAGGTAGGTGCGCGGGACCGTAAGCTGGCCCTCGAGGCGGACGAACTGGATGACCTGTGGGCGGTTCGGCGAGGCGTGAGCGCTGTCCGAGTAAGAGAGAGAGAGGAAAAGAGGAGGGGGCGCACCTTTTCGGGCGTCTTGTACTTGCGGAGGAGGCGGTACGCCGTCTTGAGGCCGAGGCCGACGACGCTGTCGAGGTAGTCGCACCCGCTGAGGATGGCCATCTGGCGAAATTCGACCTCGCTCCAGCCGGCAAAGTTGAAGTCGCGGCACCGCGCAAAGTCGTCGCGCGAGATCGACACGCAGTTGCCCTCGCCGTCGAGCTTGAACAGGACGTTGCGGCACCCGAACACGAGCAGGTCCGAGTCCTCGGTGACGACGGCGTCGACGAGCCCGGTGCGCTCGAGGTAGGCGAGCTGCGGGTCGGCCTCGTAGGGCGCAACGATGTACTGTGGGCACAGGCAAGGTCAGAGCCGAGGAGGGAGAGGAGGGACGAGGCGGGAGACGCACCTGGACCTTCTCGCGCCTCAGAGCCTGCGCGCACGACGAGACACGGTCAGGTTCGGCTGCACGTGACATGACCAAGAGAGAAGGGGGCGCACCTTGATGAGCTGGAACGCCATGGCGGGCGTGACGTCGACCGCCTTGACGAAGCACTCTCTCGCCTGGGCGCCCTTGCCCTCGGCGAGGAACGCCCGCCCACGCGCGAGCGCGTCCGCCCTCTTCCTGCAGGTCGTCGAGAGTGTCAGTCTGCGAGTTTGGGACGAGTCGAAAGACAGGGAGCGAGTGGACGTACGCCTCGCGCGCGTCCTCGGTGCCCATCTTGCTCGGGAGCAGGCCGCCGTCAAAGACGAGGATGGGCGTGACGCCAAAGTGCTTGAGCATGCGCACGCGGTGCATGGCGTAGTTGGCGTACCTGCGCAGGCGTGCGAGCGCGGGTCAGCCGAGTCGTCTCGCGCGGAGGGGGGGAGAGCTGGGCGCACTTAGTCGTGGGCTTGCCCAGGGCGAGGTCCTCGGCGCAGCCGTACGCGCCACGATGCAGCCAGACCTGTGTATGTCCTCCTCACCGTCAGTCAGTCGTCCTCTTGCAGTGCGGGGTGAGGGAGGAGGAGGAGACGAGGAGGCTCACGTAGGCGTCGACGGCCACCGTCTTGCCCGCCCACTCGCGAACGTGCGCCGTGTGCTGGATCTCCTTGAGGAGCGGCAGGAGCCCGCCGATGCCCATCTGCGGCGGCTTCGGTGGTTGCTGTGGTGCCGAGGAGGAGCGAGAGGGCGAGAGGGCGATGAGGACGAGAGGGCGACGTGGGAGCCGAGGCGGGCTCTTGGTGGTCGGCGGGCAGGTGGGTGGGCGTATAGAACGAGCAAGCTTGCTCGTGCAAGTGCTCGAGAGAGCTGTGCGAGAGTGAGGAGGCAGAGCCGGACCCGCGTCGACAGCGCGCTCTCGCGCGAAGTCCAACGATCCAAACAGAGCGAGGCGGTGCACCTCTCTCTCGCTGTCGCTCTCAGGCTCTCGTGCAGTTCTCTCAATGCGCTCGTACGACGCAGAGACTTGCACACGTCGACGACGAAAGAAAGCTGGCCCGATCCCTCCGCCCCCTTGCTCCCGATTCCTCGTCTCCTCGCTCCAACTTGGTCGCCGACCGCTCGAGCGGCGCCGCCCTGCTCGCTCACGCCGTCTTCGCGCCGTCGTGCGTGACCTCGGCGACCTGCGCCGCCAACCGCTCGGCCTTTATGCGCCTGCACCGCGCCTCGAAGTGCGGCGACGCTCGGTCCTCGCCCGGCCCGTCTGCGCCGATCGCGTGCTCGTAGACGACGACGACGCGAGCACGCTCGCAGCCGGCGACGAGCCTGCGCATGGCGTCGAGGAGGCTGCGGTCGAGCATGACGCACGAGACGTCGACGGCGAGAGGGAGGTACAGGGTCTGGAGCGAGGGGAAACCGTGGACGAGGTCGTCGGCGAGATCGGACCAGTCTGTCGGCCGTGTGTACACATCGGCATGCACACGAACGTGCCGGATTCGAGACGCGGGCTGGCCTGGTACGCCCTTCTCGAAGTCGAGGTCGAAGAGCACCTTGTCAGACACCGCGATGTCCGACATGGCGAGGGCGCTGTAGCTCGACCTGACGCTAACTTCATCCATGAGGGTCGAGCCGAGGGTGTCGACCTGGTCGATGAGGTCTTGCGAGCATGGCCAAGGTCGCCCATCGTGCGGCACGCCGAGGTACAGGTGGCGGAGCGAGGGGCAGCCTGCGGCGGTAAAGCTCTCGGCCTGGCGCCGTAGTCGCGAGTCGACGCAGTAGTGCATGACGAGCCGCTCGAGCTTGGGCGCGCTCAAGCCCTCGTTGCTCGAGAAGTTGCCGTGCGAGAGGAGGAGCGTGCGAAGCTCTGCGGACGGGCACCCGGGTCAGTGCAACTCTTGTGTCCTCCTCCGAGTAGGCTAGGAGGGGACGCACCTGGTAGTAGGCCGAGGTCCTCGAGGCGCATGTCCCGGAAGCCCGTGAGCCGCAGGTCGCGAACGGCGGCGAACGGAAGGAAGCCGTCGACTGAACCGTTCAAGCCGACGCCGTCGAGCCAGAGCGTCCTCACGCGGTTGCGCCGAGGGACCTGCTGAGGCTTGAGCCGGGCCCGAAAGCTGAACGGCGTGAACGCAAAGGCGTGTACGACCTCGACGAGCTTGGCGCTCGCGAGAGCGCCGACGCGCTTGTTGACGAGCGACAGGGCCCGACAGGTTTCTTGACGCTCCTTGTACAGCCTCGGCGCGTACTCCCCGGCGGCCTGGTCGACGACGGGGTCGAGAAGCTCGTCGGGGAGCGACAGGAGCGAGGGCGGCATGGTCGAGTCGAGGAGGGGAGGGCGAGCGCGCGGTCCAGGTGCGGCTGAGGGTGCTCGAGTGGGTGGCGAGAGGTGCTCTGACGCAGCTGGTGGCTAGCTGGTGCGAGGTGGCGTGCTGGAGGGAGCGAGAGAGTGGGTGGGAGGAGAGCGAGAGCGCGGGGGGAGAAGTGCGAGCGCGAGGCGCGTGCGCGACCGCGTCTTGCATTTTCTCGTCCGGGCGGACTCGACGTGATCAGGAGAGAGGGCTGCGCGTCCAGTTCAGTGAACAGAGCACTCGAGAGCTCGTCGCAGAGAAGCCGCCGTGCGAGACTTTCTGCCGGCCCGTCCTCCTCCTCGCTCGTCTGCTCGAGTGGGCTCGAGCGGCTCCAGGGAGACGAGCGGAACGAGAACAGCTCTCGAGATCGGGGAGCGCTCTCTCTGTACCTCTATCGAGAAGAAGACGATCGCGTTGTACGACTCGAAGCGACACACACCCGACTGGACCGCTCGGTCCCCCCTTGCACGCAGCCCTCGCCTCCTCCTCCTGACCGACTCGGCGCTCAGCGCGCCGCACTCGCGCCGCCCATCGTCAAGCTCGCCCTCGACGCCGCCCGCTCGGCCTTGATGCGCCTGCAGTGCGCCTCAAAGTGCGGCGACGCGCGGTCCTCGCGATTCTCGTCGGCCTCGAGCACGTGCTCGAACACGACCTCGACGTGCGGCCTCGTGCATGCCGCGACGAGCTTCTCGACGGCGTCGGACAGCTCGCGCCGATGCATGACGCGCGAGGTGTCGAGGGCGAGCGGGAGGTACAGGCTCTTGAGGGCCGGGTAGGCCGTCGACAGGTGGCCGGCGAAGATGGCGAGTTGTTTACCCAGCAGTGTCGAGTCGACCTGTATCGACTCACTGCTGACATGAAGGCGAAGGTGCTCAATCTCCCTCTTGGGCTCGAACTGGTGGTCGATCTCGCACCACAGCAGGTCGAACAGCACGTTGTCGAGAAACACCTCGTCTTCTGGGCCATCGCCAGGGCCGACGATGCTAGTCCACGAGCACCGCTGCGGGTAGTCGTAGTAGATCTTGACGCCCAACGTGTCGACTCGAGCGACGAGGTCGCGCGTCCACAGCGGCCGTGGCTTTGGCGACATGGCGGCGTACAGGTGCCGCAGAGAAGGACAGCCCTTTGCGGTAAAGGACTTCATGCCGACTGGACGGCTGAAGTCGCAGCTCGAGATGGCGAGGCGCTCAAGCCTGGGCGCGATCAAGGGCATGTTGCTCGTGAAGTCGCCGAGCGAGAGGACGAGCGTGCGAAGCTCTGCGGACGGGCACCTGGGTCAGTGGGACGCTCGAGCACTCCTTCGAGCAGCAGGTGAGAAGGAGGCGCACCTGGTAGCTGGCCGAGGTCCTCGAGCCGGACGCCATGAATCATTGTGAGCCGCAGGTCGCGAACGGCGGCGAACGACAGGAAGCCATCGACTGGGCAGTGCAGGCCGACGCCCTCGAGCCACAGCGTCCTCACACGGTTCTTCTGCGGCACCTCCTCAGGCTTGAGCCCGATTCGAGAGCCGGGCGGCGTGAGGTCGCGAACGGCGGCGAACGACAGGAAGCCATCGACTGAACCGTTCAAGCCGACGCCGTCGAGCCAGAGCGTCCTCACGCGGTTGCGCCGAGGGACCTGCTGAGGCTTGAGCCGGGCCCGAAAGCTGAACGGCGTGAACGCAAAGGCGTGCACGACCTCGACGAGCTTCGGCTGGGCGACGGCGCCGACGCGCTTGTTGACGAGCGACAGGGCCCGACAGGTTTCTTGACGCTCCTTGTACAGCCTCGGCGCGTACTCCCCGGCGGCCTGGTCGACGACGGGGTCGAGAAGCTCGTCGGGGAGCGACAGGAGCGAGGGCGGCATGGTCGAGTCGAGGAGGGGAGGGCGAGCGCGCGGTCCAGGTGCGGCTGAGGGTGCTCGAGTGGGTGGCGAGAGGTGCTCTGACGCAGCTGGTGGCTAGCTGGTGCGAGGTGGCGTGCTGGAGGGAGCGAGAGAGTGGGTGGGAGGAGAGCGAGAGCGCGGGGGGAGAAGTGCGAGCGCGAGGAGCGTGCGCCGACACAAGTCTCGCATTTCCTCGCTCGACCAGGCTCGCTTTGTGCAAGCACTGCAGCTGCCGCATAGGCGTGCAGCGCACACAGACCCAAGGCGCAGCGAGGAAGACAGCGGAAGGCCCTTGCCGAGGAGCGCTTGGTCCCTCGTACGCTCGAGCAAGTCACAGCGAGCGAGCATCTTCGCCGGCGGCTCTCGCACTCACTCTCGACACTCGCTGAACGTCGAAGAAGACGAAGACGACCTCGTTGCACCCGCCAGAGCGGCACCGACCCGTCTCGAGCGCTCGGCCCGCTCCTTCGCGACGCCCGCCTCGCCCTCGCCTCGTCCTGCCGCACGATGCCGCCCTCAGTGCACAGCCCTCGCGCCGCTCAACCTCGCGCTCGTCGTCGTTGCCGCCGCCGCCCGCTCGGCCTTGATGCGCCTGCAGCGCGCCTCAAAGTGCGGCGCAGCGCGGTCCTCGCCAAACACGTCGGCGTCGAGCCCGTGCTCGTGCACGACCTCGACGTGCTGCCTCGCGCATGCTGCGACGAGCTTCTCGACGGCGTCGACCAGCTTGCGCTGATGCATGACGCGCGAGGTGTCGAGGACGAGCGGGAGGTACAGGGTCTCGAGGGCCGGGTAGGCCGTCGACAGGTGGCCGGCGAGGACGGCGAGTTGGGCGGCGATCGGTGTCGAGTCGACCCGTATCAACGTACCGCTGACATGAAGGCGAAGGTGCTTGACGTCCCTTTTTGAGTCGGGCAGGTTATCGACCTCGCTTGAATACAGGTCGAACAGCGCTTTGTCGAAAAACGCCTCGTCTTCTGGGCCGTTGCCAGGGCCGACGATGCTCGTCCACGAGGGCCGCTGCGAGTAGTCGTAGTAGAGCTCGACGCCCAATGTGTCGACTTGAGCGACGAGGTCGCGCGTCCACAATGGCCGTGGCTTTGGCAACATGTCGGCGTACAGGTGCCGCAGAGAAGGACAGCCTTTTGCGGTCAAGGCCTGCATGTCGACTAGACGGTTGAAGGCGCAGCTCGAGATGGCGAGTCGCTCGAGCTTGGGCGCGACCAAGGGCTTGTTGATCGAGAAGCTGCCGTTCGAGAGGACGAGCGCGCGAAGCTCTGCGGACGGGCACCTGTGTCAGTGTGACGCTCGGGTCCTCCTCCGAGTAGGCGAGATGTGGGCGCACCTGGTAGCTGGCCGAGGTCCTCGAGGCGGACTTCCCGAAAGACCGTGAGCCGCAGGTCGCGAACGGCGGCGAACGACAGGAAGCCGTCGACTGAACCGTTCAAGCCGACGCCCTCGAGGCACAGCACCCTCACGCGGTTGCGCCGAGGCACCTGCTCAAGCTTAAGCCGGGCCCGGAAGCCGGGCTGCGAGAACATGAAGGCGTGCACGACCTCGACGAGTTTGGGCTGGGCGATGGCGCCGACGCGCTTGTTGACGAGCGACAGGGTACGACAGGTGTCTTGCCGCGCCTTGTACAGCCTCGGCGCAAACTCGCCGAGCGCTTGGTCGACGACGAGGTCGAGGAGCTCGTCGGGGAGCGAGAGGAGCGAGGGCGGCATGGTCGAGTCGAGGAGGGGAGGGCGAGCGCGCGGTCCAGGTGCGGCTGAGGGTGCTCGAGTGGGTGGCGAGAGGTGCTCTGACGCAGCTGGTGGCTAGCTGGTGCGAGGTGGCGTGCTGGAGGGAGCGAGAGAGTGGGTGGGAGGAGAGCGAGAGCGCGGGGGAGAAGTGCGAGCGCGAGGAGCGTGCGCCTTGTCTCGCAATTGTCGAGCCTGCTCGACTCAAGCGCCGTCGACAGTGTAGATGCGCGATGACGAGTACTCGATGCAACAACATGATAGTCTAGAGGACGTGCTATAGACGGCTCGAGAGGTCGTCGAGCTGCGCGCGAGGAGGGCAAGGTCAGGTCGGACGCCGCCTTGGACGCTCGAAGAGTAGCGAGAGTGGACGCACAAGGGCAAGAAGACGCTCGGCGTGACCCTTCTCCCGCTGCGACACCCGCCGCTCTTCGAGCGCAAGCCGGACCTGCCGACCCGCCTCGGCGACACGATCCGCCTCGCCCGCCGGGAGCGCCGTGCCCGCCCGCTGCGCCGACAGGAGCGCGCCGCACGCCTGGATGCGCACCTTGTAGCTCGAATCGGCGAGGATGGCGGCGAGGAGCGTCGAGAGGAGGATGCGGGCGCGAGGCGAGGAGGAGGAAGGGGAAGAGGCGAGAAGGGATGCAGCGGCGAGGGCGGCGTTCCAGCGGACCTGTGGCACCCGAGGCATGAGTGAGTCGCTCGTGTCACCCAGAACGACGAGGGAGAGAGCGGCGGGCGCACCTTGGCTGCGGGATGGTCCAAGCCGACCTGCACGGCCTCGAAGACGCGGTCCTCGACGAGCTCGTCACGGGCGCGTATGCGACGTCCGATGGCGGCGACGATGCGGAAAGCGCTCGTGCGCACCTGTCAGAGGAGAAGGCAGTCAGGCTCGGACGACGGGCGCAGGCGAGACGAGGAGGGGAGAAGACGCACCTGCTCGTCGCTTTCGTCGCTCGCGAGGCTGCCGAGCGCGGTCGACAGGATCTGGGCGAGCTCGTCGTCCGAGATGTCGCTGCGCGCTAGAGTTAGTAAACTCAAGACGGCGGGACGAAGAGAGAGGACAGAGAGGGACGCACCCGTCAACGAGGAGGTCGCAGCAGTTCGCCAACGTCCACAGCGCCCCACCCGCCTCCAATCCAGCCGCCCTCTCGTGCCCGCCCTCCTCGCTCCCCACCTCAACGTCGCCCAGAGCCGCCACGAGGACCCTCACCGCCTCTCGCACCTCGCCCGCCGACCTGCGCCCTCGAGCCGCCGGCTCCGCCTTGGCGAGCAGCCCGAGCGCGCGACACGCCGCGTCGCGCACGAGCGGCGACGGGTCGCGTTCAACGAGCGTGAGCGCCAGGCGCCAGGCGTCGAGGCTCGACGTGGGCGGCGCGAGCGCTCGACCCGGGAGGGCGCTGCAGGCTCGAGCGCGCACGGGCGCGTACGGCGAGTCGAGAGCGGCGGACAGGATGGCGGGGAAGGAGGGCGGTAGTGTTCGTGGATCGTGAGAGGTGTCGGCGAGGGCGACGAGGAAGGCGGTGTGGGCGAGGGCGAGGGCGAGGGAGGGGGAAGCGAGCGGCGGGTTGAGAAGGCGCGCGAGCTCGGCGGACCTGCGAGTGGATGATGTCGTCAGGCTTCCTCGTCCCTAGCGGAGTAGGAGAGAAGAGAGAGAAAGAGGCGGACCAGTTATGCGGGCCGTTCACGGGCACGAGCGCCGCGAGGAGCGTCCACCCGGCGACCTGGACCTCCTCGGGGCCAGCCTCGTCGAGTAGAGGCGCCGTGGCGGCGCCGAGCTCCTGCCAGTCGAACGTCTGCGTGCTCGACGTGGCGGTGTAGCGCTCGGCGATCGCCGTCAAGGCGTGAGCTGCGGCGACGACGACAGGTTGACCTGCGGCGAGAGCTGTGAGCGGTCGCGTCCACCCTCGGGGAAAAAAAGAGAGAAAGAGAGGGGCGCACAAGAAGAAGCGAGGTCCGGGAGCACGGCCGTCGCGAGCTGACGAGCGAGCGCCCGCTTGATGCGCCCGTACGGCGAGTTGCGCGCGACCTTTGCGGCGAGGCCGAGGAGCGCGAGGTGCAGGTCCTCGCGGTCGGTCGTGCTCGTCGTCGGGTTGCGCAGGAGCGACGACAGGGCGAGGTGCAGCTCCGAGACCGTCTCACCGAGCTTGGCCGACAACGAGGTGAAGGACGAGGAGGTCGAGCTGTGCGGGAGGTCGAGAAGGTCAGGCGGGTCTGACGAGGAAGAGCGTCGACGAGGGGGACGCACCGATCTTCTGCGAGGGCGAGGTACGGGGCCGAGTCCTCGAGGAGGGCGTCGAGCGCGGCGCATGCCTGCAGGCGGACCGAGCGGGACGGGTCGTGCTCGACGAGTGAGAAGAGGGTCGGTCGGTTGCGCAAGTAGGGCGAGTCGGCGAGAAAGAGGTGCCAATGTCGGTGCAGAAGACGAGGGCTGGACTGTGGACGGGCGTGTGAGCTCGAACGGCGAGACATGACGGAGTGACGGGGGACGCACGAGGGCGAGGGAGCGCAGGCAGGTCAGGGCGTCGTGCCGAATCTGGGCCGAGTCACGCCTGCAGGACGAAAGAAGTCAGTCGTGGTACAGTGAACGAGTGTGAGAGGGGTCAGGCGCACCGGCGGTCGTATTTCCTGCTGCCGTCCTCCTCCGAGTCGGACCCTGGCCCATTCCGCCTCGCCGACGACGCTCGCGAGCTCGTCGCCGACGCCGTCGAGCCCTGCCTCCTCCTCGTCGACACCGCAGGTGCCGACTGAGCAAACGCGCTCATGACGCCGAACGACAGGGGCGTGCTCGCAGGCGTGCGACCTCGGTCGACGGCGGGCGTGACGGCGCCGACTGGGCCGGCGCCGTGGTAGATCCAGGTGGCCAGGAGCGCCGGGAGTGCAGCGGAGGTGTCGGGCGGGAGAGGGTGGATCTTGAGGACGACGGCGTTGAGGATGCGCAGGCAGGTCGAGGCGAAGCGGTGCAGGGTTGACGAGGCGGATGGGAGCTGGTACGGGAGCGGCCCGAGGGCGCGGCTGATTGCCGAGACGAGGGCCGACAGGTGGGCGTGTACAAGAGTTGTCGGCGAGGTGCTGACGTGCTGGAGAACGCAGAGAGCGGCTTGAAGGCGGAGCGACGGGAGCGGGTCGAGGAGGAAAGGGGCGGTCGAGTCGAGGATGCGGGCGTGGTCCTGTTGCGTGGCTGTCAGTGCCGTCGAGGGGACTGGAAGAGGACACAGGACGCACCTCGCTCGACTTAGTGGCCCGCAGCGCTCGCACGACGACCTCCTTGTCGTCGAGAGCGAGAGAATCGTCCTTGAGCGCCTCGCACCATCGGCGAACGAGGTCGCCGGTTCTTGTGCTCGTCGAGGCGATAGTGGACGAGCTCTGCAAGCGGTCTCGGTCAGATCAGGTCGAGGCTACGAGGTGACAGAAGAGGCGGCACACCTTGGAGGTCGAGGCGGAGGAGAGGGCGAGCACGTCGCGCGCCGAGTCGAGCAGGTCCATGCTCGGCGCAAAGCAGCCGGTACTCTGAGGCTCGAGGCGCCTCTGCAGGCACAGCTGAGCCAGTGCGAGGTCGACGTGGTTGAGCGACGGCGACGAGCGGAGATTCCTCATCAGCTCCCGCGTTCATCCCCGCCACACCGCTGTGCCGACGATGCAGGCCGCTCGCACAGCTGCGAAGCCCCCAACAGCCAACCTCGACGCCAACACGGCATGCCCCGAGGCGTCCTCGTCGAGCCGTTCCCCACCTCACGAGCGGTCGCTCCCGACCTCGCCAACTCGCCGCGAGCGCATCCTGCACGCCGTCGAGCACCGCGACAAGGCCCTCCTGCGCGAGCTCTCTGCCGAGGACGACGGCTTCATCGACGACGAGCTGAGGCGGCGCGTCTGGTGCGTCGGCTCCTCCTCCTCCCCTCTCGCCTGGTGCGAACGTTCGCTCACCGGTCAACCGCAACAGGCCCGCCCTGCTCGGCTGCGACGTCGCCAAGGGCAAGCAGCGCGCCATCGATGACGACGAGGCGCAGAGTGCTGCCGCTGTGCTGGCCGCCCTGCCTGAGCGAGATGACGAGCGGCAGGTCCGCCTCGACATCGCCCGCAGCCTGGTTAACTACCCTCAAGGTGCGTCCCTCTCTCGAATCCTTTGCACCGACTCGGCGACTGACGAGAAGGACACGCGCAGACGTGCGAGACGAGGACCGCGACGGCCTGCGTATCAAGCTCGAGCGGGCCATCCTCATCGTCCTGCGGCGGCACCCGGCGCTGCACTACTTCCAGGGCTACCACGACGTGCGCCCTCCTTTCACCTCGTCTCCTTCACCAAGGACCCCGACTCACGCACCGACCGCCCGCAGATCGTCTCGATCCTCCTCCTCGTCCTGCGCGACGAAGCGCTCGTCGCCGAGACGGCCGAGCGCCTGAGCCTGCACCGCATCCGCGACAACATGGGCGCCGGGCTCGAGCCGACACTGGGCTACTTGCGGTGCGTCGAGCTTCCCACTCCTGGTGGCGCACGAGCAGGGACTGACGCTCGGACGCGCGCTCGCAGACTCGTCGACCGCATCGTCGAGCAGGCCGACCACGAGCTGTACCGCATCGTCAACCAGTGCGTCCCTCGCCCCCGTCTCTAACGCGGAACCAGCCTGACTCTCCGCACACCCGCAGAGCCGCGTCGATGCCGTTCTTCGCCCTGTCGTGGGTCCTCACCCTCTTGAGCCACGACCTCGAGTCGGTCGCCGTCATTGCGCGCCTGTTCGACTTTCTCCTCGCGCACAACCCGGTCATGGTCTGCTACCTCGTCGTCGCTGTGCGTCTCCCTCTCTCTCTCGTCGCCGGTACCGGCAGAGCCCGAGTCGCAGCCAGCTGACACATTCCCTCTCGCGCTCGCTCGCAGATCCTCCTCGTCAAGAAGGACGACCTCGTCGACGTTGCCTCGTCGTGCGAGGACGACCCGGCCATGATTCACTCGGCCCTGTCGCAGCTGCCGCACATTGTCCTGCGCGACCACCCTGCGACCCCGTCCCCGACCTCGCCTTCTCCCGCGCCGTCCACCTCGACCTCGCGCCGATCCTCGCCCTCGCCCTCGCCCTTGCCCTCGTCCTCGTCCTCGCCAGCCCCGTCGCGCAAGCCCGCTGTACCACCCGACGCCGACGCCGACGCCGAGCCCGAGGACGAGGACCTCCTGTCGGGCGCCTCGTTCCTCGGCTCGTCGTCGACGCTCAACCTCGACTTTGCGCGCTCGCCGTCCGTCAGCGGTGCAAGCGCCCTGTCCGACTCGGAGGAGCTCGACGACGAGCTGTCGTTCGTCGGGAGCAGCAGCGGCGCGAGCGTGTCGGACGCCGGCGGCGAGAGCAGCACGGGGCGGCGGCGGGGCAGGCTGTCGCTGTCGCTGTCGACGTCGTGGGCGAGTGGAGCGCTCGGTGACGACGAGGACGACGACGACGAGGACGACGCCGAGGCGCTGCACGACTCGATGTTCTCGGACCCGGACATTGACGGCCTCGCGTTCGACCCCTTCCCGCCCTCGTCCCTCCCCTCGGTCCCCTCGGCTTCGTCCACCTCGCGCACCCCTCCCCCTCCACGCTCGCGCTCGCGCACCCCGAGCCCGCCGCGCCTCTCGCGCTCCGGCCACGTCTTCCTCCCCTCGCCAACCTCGCCCGCGCGCCCCGCACCGCGCACCGTCCTCGCGTCCGACCTCGTCCGGTCGGCCCTCGCGCTGTACGACGCGCACCCTCTGCTGCTTCCCCCTGCCAGCGGCGGCGGGAGCAGTATTCGCGCAGACGAGGTCCTCGGACCGCAGAGCTGCGTCTTTACGTGCGCCGCGTCGGACGACGGCGCGCTGTCGGACGCGCAGGCCGAGGACATTGTGCGGCGCGGCGAGGGCATCGTGCTGCCCGACCGGCCGCCGCCGCTGCCTCTCGCTCCCGACGCCGACGCCGACGCCGACGAGCCGGACGACGCAGGCGGGTTCGAGCTCGTCGACCGTCCTGGGTCTGGGTCGAGCCGCCGAGCAGCGAGGCGCACCTCGTCGTCCCTCGGGCTCAACCTCGGGCCGCACGGCTGGCTCGTCGTCGGTGGCGTCGCCATCGCGGGCGCGGCGGTCGCACTCGGCGTGTACAACGGGGGCGTCGGCGCGGTCGGGGTCGGGCTCGGGCGCGGCGGTGGTGCGGGAGGGGGAGGGGGAGGAGGAGGGGCGGGACTCGGGACGGCGGGCGTCGGGCTCGGCGCGGCGGGGGGACGAGGTGGAGCGCAGGCCGTGTTTGGTGGGGCGCGGGCGCAGGCGCAGGCGGCGTTCGTCGTCGAGCACGGGGCGAGGTTGGTGTAGCTCTCCCTCTCTCTCTCTCGCTCTCGCTATCGAGTTGGACTGGAACGCGAGACGGTACTGCGACATGCTCGTATCGTTACAGAGAGGGCGCACAGGCGGCGCCAGTACATGACCTCCTTCGACCCTCGCTCGCGAGAACGTGCGACCCCGCCCTATGCCTGCTCGCCGATTTGACCGCTCGTCGCCACTCGCCGTGTTGCCTTGATCTGGGCATGTGCGTCCTGGACCTGCGCGAGGGTGCGGTGGAGAGTGAGCGAGTGTGCCCGGGAGGAAGAGGAGAGGGGGACAGAGAGGCGAAGCGCACCATCTGGCGCAGCTCCATGCCCTTGTCGCCGAGGCGATCGGGCCGCATGCGGAACAGGTAGTTGTCGAGTCCGCCGACCTTGTCGATGGTGCGCAGTGCGCCGGCCGTGACCTTGAGGGCGAGAGATCGACCGAGGGCCTCGGAGTAGACGCGCTTCGAGTGGACGTTGGGGAGCCACCTGCGGCGCGTCTTGTTGTTGAACGTCTCGCCGACGTTGTTGCCGGACTGGATGCTGCGCCCGTCGTACAGGCCCTGCTGGGAGCGCTTGTAGTTGAGCGCCGAGCGGGACGTGTTCTTGAGGAGGGACAGCGAGGGGCGCATGGTGGCGGGGGTGGCTCGGGTGGGCTGTCGGTGTGGGCTGGGGTGCGTCTCGGTGCACTCGGCGCAGACGGGAGCGATGACAAGGGAGAGAGGAACGAGATGAGGACGAGGAGACGAGGAGCTCGACTCGGTTCAGCCTCGACCGCTCTCTCTCCTCGCGCTCAAGATGCTCGACGACAAGGTCATTGGCGTACTCGGTCCGTCCATCCTCTCTCTGTCCAGCCCGCGACCCGCCTCGTGCCGTCGTCGCCGACAACCGCCATCTGCACCGCCCACCAACTGGCTCTCCTGCCGACACACGCCTCTAAGGCGGGCAGACGATGGACCGGTCGGTCGTGCACAGTCCTTGTGAACACTCGAGGCGGCACAGCAGGTCCCACGAGCGAGAGACCACCACGCTCACCTGTTCCCCCCTCCCCTCCCTCTTTGACTCTCGCGCGCACGGTCGCACACTCTCGCAGGTGGTGGGCAGCTCGGCCGCATGCTCCTCCAGGCCGCGAGCCCCATGGCCATCCCCGTCGTCACCCTCGACCCGGACGTGACGGCGCCCGCCAAGCAGGTGTCGCAGCCCCAGGTCCTGCCCGCGTTCGCCTCGTCGAGCGCACCGCTGCGCCACATCGACGGCGCTTTCACCGACGCCGTCAAGATCCGCGAGCTCGCCCGCCAGGTCGACGTCGTCACGGTCGAGATCGAGCACGTCAACGTCGACGCCCTCGACGAGGTCGCCAACGAGTTCGCCGCGACCGGCGGCCGCTCGGGCAAGGGCATCCAGGTCTTTCCCGCGCCGAGCGTCATCCGCACCATCCAGGACAAGTACCTCCAGAAGGTGCACCTCGCCCAACGCGGCGTCCCCGTCGCCCCCTTCCTCCCCATCTCTGCCGACCCGCACGCGCCCGTCTCGTCCGACGACCCGCTCGCGAGCCTCGTGCCCGCCGTCGTCGAGGCCGGTAACCAGTTCGGCTACCCGTACCTCCTCAAGTCGCGCCACCTCGCCTACGACGGCCGCGGCAACTACGTCCTGCGCTCGGGCGACCCAGCCGCCGTCCGCGCCGCGCTCGACGCCCTCATCCCGGCGTCGTCGCTCACGGCCCCGGGCGCCCGCCCTCTCGCCGACCGCCTGTACGCCGAAAAGTTTGCCCCGTTCGTCAAGGAGGTGGCCGTCATGGTCGTGCGAGGCGCGTCGGGCGAGACGCGCGCGTACCCGGCCGTCGAGACGATCCACCGCGACAGCGTGTGCCACATCGTGTACGCGCCGCTGCGCCCTCCTGTGAGTGCGACGAGCGGCGTCGGGCACGCACAGCGCGGCGAGAGGGCCGTCAAGGGCAAGAGCGGCGACGAGCGCGCGCAGGACGACGCCGTGAGGGCGATTGACGCGCTCGGCGAGGGCGCCGTCGGCGTCTTTGGCGTCGAGATGTTCCTCATGGACGACGGTGCGCCCCACTCTCTCTATCTCTGCGTCCTCGAGAGGTCGAGCGAGTGAGACTGCGAGACTGACTCGGTCGTGCACCCACCCAGGCTCGCTCCTCCTCAACGAGATCGCGCCGAGGCCGCACAACTCTGGCCACTATTCGATCGAGGCGTGCAACGTGTCGCAATACACGGCGCACCTGTACGCCATCCTCGGCTTCTCTCTCCCGCCCATCGCCCTCACGCCGCCGGCCGCCGCCATGCTCAACCTCCTCGGCCACTCGTCGGACGCGTCGGCCGACTTTTTGCGGCCCGACGGCGTCGTCGCCAAGGCCATCTCGCTCGGCGCCGCCGTCCACATGTACGGCAAGGCGGGCTGCCGCCCCGGTCGCAAGATGGGCCACATCACGGTCCTTGGCACGTCGGACGCCGACGCGCGGCGCCAGATTGCCGAGCTCGCGGCGCTCCTCCCCGGGTCGTACGCCGAGCCCGAGCGCCTCGACGAATGCAGCCCGAGGCGCGGGTTCGCGAGCGCACACCCGCTCGTGAGCATCGTCATGGGCTCCGACTCGGACCTGCCCGTCATGAAGCAGGCCGCCGTCGTCCTCGACCAGTTTGACGTCCCGTTTGAGCTCTCGATCGTGTCGGCGCACCGCACCGCCATGCGCATGGAGGAGTTTGCGCACGCCGCCGCCGGACGCGGCGTCAAGGTCGTCATTGCCGGCGCGGGCGGCGCGGCGCACCTGCCCGGCATGATTGCGAGCGCGACGTCGCTCCCCGTCATTGGCGTGCCCGTCAAGGCCTCGGTCCTCGACGGCGTTGACTCGCTGTACTCGATCGTCCAGATGCCGAGGGGCATCCCGTGCGCGACCGTCGGCATCAACAACTCGACCAACGCCGCCCTCCTCGCCGTGCGCATCCTCGCCACGTACCAGCCAAAGCTGCAGCGCGCACTCGACGACTATGCCCACACGCTCGAGGACGAGGTGCTCGCAAAGGTCGAGACGCTCGAGCAGGTCGGCTGGGACAAGTACGAGTACAAGAAGTAGACGATGGCTCCATCGTCGTCGTCGGCATCGTGGCGTAGCGTAGAAGTCCTTTGTCTCCCCCTCTCTCTCTCTCGGGCTCGGGCCCGTCTCTGTATCCCCGTTCGTTTCAGAAGCGTCGTCTGCCCTCGTCCCTCTCCCTCCTCGAGAGCCTTCTCTCGAAAGCTTTCTTTCGCGAGAGAGACTCGTTCTCGGCACAAGCGTTGCACCTCAAGCTGCTCCCAAGCTATCTGCGTCAAGCAGAATCCACCCTCGACCGCCGCCGCTCAGTCCTCGTCCTCGCTCGACTCCTCGCTCCCCTCGTCCTCCGAGCTCGACGCCTCAAACACGCTCTCCTCCTCGCTCGTCCCGACCGCGCGCCCCTTGCCCTTGCCCTTGCCGTTGACCTTGGGCCGCGCAGCAGCGGCGACGACCTTGTGCACGGCCGCGACGCCGCTCGCGCGCGCTTTGGCTCGCGGTCGGCCCTGCGGAGGCGGCGGCGCGGCGGCCGGCTTGCGCTCGCGCGCCGACGACGAGGTCTTGCGCGAGGGGACGACGACGTCGATGGTCTGCTTGCGGCGCTGCTTGGGCGCAGCGGCGGCCGTGGCGGCGAGGACGACGGGCGGCGACGACTCGATGAGTGCGGGCGACGGCGAGCGCGCGGCGGCAGGCTTCTTGTGCTGGACGGCGGGTGCGTGACTCATGCTGAGCGGGTCGTCGTCGTCGTCCTCGTCGTCGTCCTCGGCGCGGACCGAGTTCGACGCCGACTTGGCCGCTGCCCTCGCGCGAGCTGCGGCCTGCTGCGCCGCGACAGGAGCTTTGCGCTTGGCCGGCTTGCGGGGCTTCATGCGCTGGCCCTCGCGCTCGCCGTCCTCCTCCCCGTCGTACTCGTCGTCACGCGCACGCTTCTTGCCCGACGACGCCGAGCCGCCCGCGTTCGAGCCGCGCTGAAGGTCCCACCACCTGTCGGCCGACTTGGGCGCCCGCTTCGGGCGCGCCGACGACGACTCGGCGACGGGCTCGCGCTCGCTGTCGCGAACGGTGGCCGACGACGGCGGCGCGGTGGCCGGCGTGAACGGCGTGAACGGCGTCGACGGCGACTGGTGCGGCGCGGCGCTCGAGGTGGCCGACGAGCGGACCGTGCCCGCGAGCGACGGCTGGCGAGCGGGACGGCGGTCGGCTGGAGGAGGAGGGGACGCGATGGCGACCGAGCGACGCGGCTTTTTCGAGGGAGGAGCGGCGTCCTCGACTGGCGGCGGCGACGAGGACGGGATGACGCGCTTGCGCCCGCTGACTTTGCGCGACGACGAGGCCGGGGCGACGACGACGGGCGACGACTCGACGTCCTGGTTCTGCCCCTCCTCGTTCGACTGCTGCACGCTCGACGACTCGTGGCGCCGCTCGTTGCTCGTCTTGGCCTTCGGGCTGAGCATCATGGCGACCTCGGCGTCGTCGCCGTCGCTCTCCTGCGCCGCGAGCGTGACGCGCGACGTGCTCGCGAGCGGTTCGGGACGGCTGAGCGGGTCGTCCGAGTCCGAGGCGGCCTCGGCGACGAGGGCGCGCGAGGACGATGTGCGCCTCCTCGACGAGGGGGCAACCGGCTCGCGCTGGCGCGACTGCCCGTTCGAGGGCGCCCTCGACAGCGACTCACGCTTGCGCTTGGTCGAGCGAGGCGCGCTCGACGAGCCGGCACGTGCGCGCGGCGCCGGAGCGGCCGAGGTCGACGGCTGCGGGTCGCGGACCGGGACGACAGCCTGCTTGCGCGACGGGCGCGAGGTCGAGCGCACCGGGATCTCGACGCCGTCAAAGACGAGGAAGTTGCGCTTGCGACGCAGTGCAGGGCCGGTCGATCGGACAGGCTTGGGCGCCGGCGCCGCCTTGCCGGACCTCGCCGACGACGTCGACGCACGCGTCGAGTCGTGGATGGCGGCACCCTTCTTGCGGCCGACGGCTGCAGTAGGGCCAGCCGAAGTCGACGGCGAGGTCGTGGCGACAGGGCCAAAGACGTCGTGCGGCGGCGAGCGGGCGACCTTGCGAGGCGACGGCGGCGCACGGGCTTTCCGGGTCGTCGGCGCCGAGGCCGGGTCGTTGGGCACGGCCGATGCTCCGTTGACCGAGGTGGCGGGTGGGCGAGCGGGCTGCGCCGCCGCCTGCTCGAGGTCGGCGCCTTGACGGGAGGGCGAGGTCGAGGCGAGAGAACGGCGCGACTTGGTCTTGACGGTCGCCTGCTGTGCGAGCGAGAGAAGGTCAGGACGGCTCGAGGATGTCTGAAGGAGGAAAGAGGAAGATGAGGACGCACGGTGCCCTCCCGCCCTGCTTCGCCGGCCGGCTCTTGCGCGACGGCCGTCTGACCCTGGATGCTCGGCGCCCAGCGCATGCTCTGCGACCGCCTCCTCGGCGGCGACGCGACGGAAGACGACGCCCGAGGGCTCGAGCGCGTGGCGGCGCGAGGCGACCCGGCCGCACTCGCCGCCGCCGATCCGGCCGCGCTCGCCGAGTGCTGCGCGAACGAGTCGATGACGGCCGACGCCGCGTCGACGATCTCGCTCACGACCTCGCCGACGACGCCGCCTGCGACGTCGCTCGCGAGCTCGGCGACCGCCTCGCCGATGGCGGCGCCGGCGATGGGCTCGACCGCCTCGCCGACCGCCGTGGCGACGAGCTCTGCTGCGACCGTCTCGGCGACACCCTCGATCGTCTCGTGCACGACGTCCTCGACGGGCGAGTCGTCGGGCGAACCGCTGTCAGCGCCTGCGGCGGCGGAAGGCGCGGGAGCGGCGAGCTCCTGCTCCTGCTCCTCCTCGACGCGCACCTCCTCGGCAACGACGGGCATCGCGAACGCTTCGCCCGAGGTGGCGAAATGCTCGAGCGAAGTCGCCGACGCGAGAGCGGACGTGGACGGGCCGGCTTGAACCGGTGAGTGCGGCTCGTGCGCGCCGCCCTTCTCGCTCGACTCGACCACAACCGCCTCCTCCTCGACGACGAGCTCGACGGCACGCTGCTCGCCTTGCGGCTCGGGCTGCGCCGTCGCGTCGACCTGCTCGTGCGGCGCCTGGACGAGCTCGCGCGCAGCCGACGCTGGGCGCGCCGAGCTCGCGGTAGGCGTGTCGGGGACCTCGGCGGCTGCGCGCTGCTTGGTCGGCGTCGCGGCAGTCGGCGTCCTCGCCGAGAGGAGCTGCTCGGCGACGTACTCGTCCTCGTCGGCGACGCTGCTCGCGAGGTCGCGCTCGACAAAGTCGCTGATGGCCTGCGCGGTGAGGTCGGCGGACGCGGCGGCGTCGGCGTCGTCGTCGGTCGAGTCGTGGAAGAGGGACGAGAAGCCGACGGAGGAGGAGGGAAGGGGGAACTCGGGGGACGAGTGGCGCGAGGATGGTGACGGCGAGGCGAGGTGCGCGCGCGAGTCGCCGGGAGCGGCAGCTGCGTGCGTGAGTGCGAGTCAGTTGAAGAGCTCGTATGAGAGGTGAAGGAGAGAGGCCGGGCGCACCAGATGCTGCGGCGGCTTGTGCCTCCTCGACAACCTCCGTGACCTCGATCTCCTGCACCTCGAGCTCATCGACCTGCTCGCCCTGCCCAACCTCCTCGGCCCTTTTGACCTCCTGAACCTCCTGCTCGACGTCGTCGGCGTCGCGCATGACGACGTCCTCGCCGGCGGCTGCCGCACCGGCCGGCGAACCGGCTTCTGCAACGACGAGCGACGGCGACGGCGAGCGTGCCGGCGCATCGCCGGACATGTCGACGTCCTCGACGACGGGCGCCTCGGCCACAGCCGGCTCGGCGGCCGTGCTCTCGGGCGCGACCGCTTCTGGCGCCGCGTCCTGCGCGACGACCGCGACCTCGACCCGCTCACCGTCCTCCTCGACTGCCGCTCCCGCCTCGACCGCCGCCACCGGGCCAACGACCTCCTCGGGCCCCGTCTGCGCCGGCTCGACGACCGCAGGCGCACCCGTCCCCTCCTCGGGCGCCTTGTCCTCCTCCAGCCCGCCCGCGCCGCCGAGCGCGCCGAGCCCCTGCGCGAGCGCACGCGCGATCGCGACCTCGACAGCGACGACGGCGCTCGACGTGCCGCGGTAGTGCGCGTGCGCGGTGCGCCAGGTCGGGCTGCGGAAGAAGGTCGAGACGGTGGCGGCGAGGAAGGGGCGGGGTTTCGGGACGCGCGCTGGGAGGGGGAGGGGTTGAGGGCGAGAGCGCGAAGTGGGCGCGAGGGAGGGGATCGAGAGGTGCGGGAGCGGGATCGAGGGGCCGGCGGGAGAGGGGGAGGCGAGGGCTGTTGTGGCGGTGGAGGCTGAGGGAGCGGGAGCGCGGTCGTCGGCGGCGGGAGGGACGGCTTCTGGCGCAGCCGTGTCGACGGCGGTTGTCGGTGTGGGCATGTCGGCGCGCTCCAGGGGCTCGTCGAGCGCGTCGCCGGGCGGGTCGCGGTCCTCGGCCTCGCCTTCTCCTCCTGCCGCCTCCTCCTCGACCGCCTCCTGCACCTTCTCCGCCGGCCGGACCTCGTCCCGGTCCGGCTGGACGACGCGGCCCTCGGCACCGTCCTCGTCGACACGCTCCTTGCCCTTGTCGGCGCGGAGCTTGGCCTGGCGCAGCTCTTCAGCGAGCTCCGAGCGGCTCTGCGGCACGTCGTGGGGCGCACGGTAGCCCGTACCGAGGTCGAAGAGCGAACGGGGCAGACGGTCGGTGCCGTTGATGGCGGCGTCGAGGGCGTCGCGCGGTGCAGGAACAGGAAAGGCCGCGTCGAGGTCGACAGGTGGGGGCGGGAGGGTGCGGGCGGTGAGGAGGAGCGTGTCGACGTGCTCGCTGATGCCGGCCTCGAAGCTTTCGCGGTAGGCCTCGGGGACACCTGTCGCGGGCACCGCAGTTGGTCAGGGTGGGCTGGAAGCTCGGAAGAGGGAGGCGGAGAGGACGAGGACGCACCGGCGGCCTTGGAGCGAGCCGTGTCGAGGGGCCCGACAAGCTGGACCGTGAGGGGGTCGCCGCCGCGCACCGTCTTGAACGTGTGCTTGGCGAGGCGCTCGACGAGCTCGTACGCGGCGGGCGTGCTGCTGTCGTCTCGCGCGTCCAGCTCGAGGCCAAACAGCCACACGGCGAGCCCGCTCGCGTGCTCGGCCGGCGCGACCGACGCGAACCAGTGCTCGAGGCGTGTGGACGCCATGCTGGCGGATCTGCAGCTGCAGGGAGCGCCGAGAGGTCGTGTGAAGAGGGCAAGAGGGGCCCGGACGCGATGAGGTCGGTCTCCCTTGCTCGCTCTCCCACAGCTCTGCTTGGCACATCCTGCGCTGCTCATGGCTCGCGGAAAGTGCTCTGCTTGCTTCGCACGCGCGACCCTGGCCAGTCTGCGCGCTTTCGAGCCGTGACCGCGCCTTCCCCTCCCCGCCGCTCTCCTCCGCTCGCGGGCGCGGCCACGCTCGGCCGCCGGCTGTGCGGCCACCCAGCGCTGCGCAGAGTGTACCTTGCCCTCCCTGCGACGCGCGCTAGTTACAGTAGAGCAGCCGAGCTCGCGCCCCCTGCGCTGCTCGCCGCTGCCCGCCGCGGAGAGTCCGGTCCGTCGTCCGTCGCTGGCCCTGCTCAAATCGCTGCAGCTCTAGAGCTCTCCTTCGACGCCGCCAGACCCTCGCTGCTGCACTGGCACGAGTCGCCAACGACGACGCCGCACTCGCCGTCTCTCGCCCGCTCGCGCCCCCGCGACGCAACCTCGCCTCTCGACCCGCCCGCCGCGCCAGACCATGCGATGAAGGCCGACGTCCTCTTCGCAGAGCTGTGCCCGGGCATGACGGTGGCCGAGTACTGCCTAGCGCCGCCAGCCGATGGCGTGTGCTGCGGGTTCGTCCTGTTCCTCTTCCTCCCTCTCGCCCGGCCGTCGAGCTGACCTCCCCTTCGCAACGCCCTGCAGGATCTGCCCGAATGCCGGGATCAGCGGCCTAGGCGGGCACATCTCGCTCGCCTTCTCGTCCTTGTCATCGAGTGCGTCCCTCGCCCCCTTTCCCTCGAGCCTGCACTGACCCTCGCCGTCCTCGCACAGTCGCCGCCATCGCCATCGCGCCCGCATCTGCGCCTTCTTCGCTCCTTTCGAACCTGATCCAGGCCAATGCCTACGCCGTGTCGCTGCTGGGCTACCTCCTCTCGGACTCGAGCGGTCTCGGCGCGTCTCTGCCTCCCCCTCTCCCTTCCTTGAGCGAGCGCACGCTCTGACAGCTTGACGGTCCGCAGACTTTTTTCACGCGGCGTATGCGCTCTTGCTCGCCTTCTCGAGCCTCATTCCCCTAGCGGCAGTGAGTCCTTACTCTCCCTCTCGCGCTCGAGCCGCTCGAGTCGAGCTCACCTCGCTCCCTCGCGGCAGATAGGTCCGTCGCGCTCTATTGGTTCGTCGGCGTGCGGCGCAAATCAGCCCTACTGACGTCGCATCGCAGCCGTCAGCCCTCCCTGGGCCGTCACGGGCCAAAAGTCGCCGCAAGAGCGCAAGGACGAGGCGCAGCAACTCGTCCTTGACGTCCTCGGCGAGATGGAGCGCGGTCACGGCTCGTCGAGCGACGACAAGCGCTCGCTGCGGCACCGCGGGCGCGGCCGCCTGAGCCGCAGGCGGCTCGCGCGCGTCATCGACGACAACCCGTCGCTCGTGCTCGACCTCGGCGGGTCGCGCCCGCCGTGCTGCGGCATCCTGGGCAGTCACTGGACCCTGTACGTCGGATTCGGAGCGAGCGTCTTGATCTGGGGCGCGGCGCTGTTCTTGGGCGTGCTGGGAGGCGCGACGGGCGGGACGAGGGTCACGCTCGCCCAGCCCAACTGTACCGAGGGCCTCGGTACGTCCTCCTTGTCCTCCTCGTGCGCCTCTAGCGACGTTCGGAGACTGAGTCGGCACTCGCACGCAGGCTCGGCCGCAGCGCTCATTCTTTACGCCGCACGTCCCCGTTTTCTTCGCCCTCGTCCTCTGCCGCCCGTCCTGACCCACTCGCATCGCGCAGGACATCGGCTTCATGATGCTCGGCGTCGCCATCTTCATCGCGACCGTCATCAACCACCTCGTGAGCCCGCTCGTTCCCCTCTTTCCACGGGCGCGACGACCCGCATCTTCTGACGGCCCGTGCCCGACCTTCCTCCTCCCTCTCGCCCTCGTCCCGCGTCGCCTCCTCCACGCCACACAGATGCGCGACGTCGCCGACGCCTTGCATCGAGATGTCATCACGACTTACAGCGGCTCGCCTCGACTCGTGTTCGGCGTCTCGTTCCTCATCTGGGCGCGTCCCTCTCGCCCATTTGACCCACCGAGACGGACCTGACCGTCTCTCCCGAGCAGCTCGTGTGGATGGTCGTGTCGTTCTCGGTCTACTTCCTCGCCGCCAACCAGAACGTCCTCGCGGCCGGCGAGTTCAGCTGGTCGTTCGGCCAGACTTTTTCCGCGCTCAGTGGGTCCCTCCTCGCTGCCTCCTCCAGCCGAACTCAAGCTCACCCTTCTCTGGTGTCGCAGTGATCACTCTGCCCGTCTACTCTATCGTCAAAGCGGCGTGGTCGCAGCGGCGGTGAGGGAGGAGGCGCAGAGGTAGCATTGCGAGCTCGTGTTGTACTGCAGGCTCGGTGCCCTCATCATGTTCGACGAGCGCAGCCTTACGGCGGCGCAGAGAGACTCGAGAGCGCGCTGTCGAGCGGAGCCAGCCGTCGACGTCGTTTGCGTTTGCGAAGGTCGTCGCGAGGTCCGACTGCGAGCGGCTCAAGCGCGAGCAGTACCGACCGGACGGCCCTCGCAAGTGATTACGCCCTCTCTGTGGGCTGCACCAGCGCCTACAGCTTGACCGGGCAAGCCAGAGGTCTCGGAAAATCAAGTCGGCTGCGTCCTCGGAGCTGCTCTCGCCGCCAAGCTTCTCTCGCCCGCCCTCTCACCTCGCCACAAGCTGGCCATGGCGCCGTACACGAGCCTCGCCTCGAGCTCTCACGACGTCGAGCTCGGCCACCCCGAGGCCAAGGCGCGCGGCGACCTGCGCATCTCGCCGCCGCAAGGCCTCCGGCGAGCGTCGTCCCTCAAGCGGCGCCAGCAGGAGCGCACGAGGCGGTTCGCGGTCGGCGGCGGCGTTGCGGCAGCGCTCGTGCTGCTGCTGTGGACGTTCACCGGTGGGCGGCGCGAGGAGAGGCGCGAGGTGTTTGGCCCGCCGCCCAGCTTGGTGCGGGTGGGGGCGAGGGCAGGGACGGCGCCGAACGCGACGACGGTGCGTCGAGCTGTCTCTCTCTCTCCCTCGTGTGCGGGGCAGACGACCCTGCGCGAGCAAGGTCGGCTCTGCTCGTGTGGCTAGAGACCGCGCTCACCTCCACCTCCTCGTCCTACAGCTTCTCACGTCGGCGGCACCAGCACGGTCATACCACGATGCGCTCCGACCCGATCTGCGATACCTTACGTGAGCACGCGCCGAGTACCCTGAACGATCTCGGCCCGAGGAGCTGACCCTCGCCTCCCTCACAGCCTCGACACCTGGAGCGGCTGGTCCGGCCAGTTCCTCACCGTCCTGAGCCAGCTCTACCTCGCCCACCTCACTCAACGTGTCGCCATCATGTGCGTCCCTCGCTCGCGATTCTGGATCGAGTCGAACTCTGGAGGCCGGGACCCTGACCCTCTCTCGCCGCCCTCCTCTCCCTCCTTCTCTCACCACCCCGTCTCGCCGTCCCCGCGATTCTCCCGCCTCGTCCACTCGACCCCGAAACGTCCCCGCGACAGCCCGAGCTTCCGCGACGCCGACCACTATGGCGACGCGATGATCACGGCCGACCTGCTCATGGACTTTGGCAAGTACCGGCGCGAGCACGGCGCGCTCTTTGTCTTCTGGGACGAGGTCAAGCCGCTCGACCGGGCCCACGCGACGACCGAGCGCGACGCGATCGGGTGCTACATGGGCGTCAACTCGTTCGAGGGCGGGCGGTCGTTCGACGAGCACAACCTCGACCAGACGATCTGGCGCGTGCCTCGGCCCGGCGGGCACCTGCAGAACTCGGTCGAGGCCCTGACGCTGTTCGACTATGACGACGAGGACCGCCTCAAGCGGCTGCGCAAGTTTGCCGACAAGGAGGGGCGCGAGATCCCGCCCAACATGCTCGACTCGCAGCTGTTGTGCTACAGCAGCCTGTGGGACCTCGCGCACGCCGGCGCCCTCACGACGGGCTGGGCGTGGTACGAGGGCTTTCGCGGGCAGCAGCGCGAGGCCGGCGAGCTCAAGGACATGCTCGCCCTCTCGGCGAGGGGCACGCACCCCGAGTGGTGGGCCGTCGGGCAGTACGTCGACTTTGCGCCGGGCATCTGGGACATTGCGCTCAACGCGACGCACCACACGCTCGGGCTCGACTATGTCCCCAAGAACCTCATCACGATCCATCTCCGCCGAGGCGACTTCAAGGCGAGCTCCCCTTTCCTTCCCTTTGTTCCCCTCTCACACGCCGTGCGAGACGAGCAGCACTGACTTTTGTTTCCTCCCCTCTCCCCTCCGTACGCGCACAGTCATGGTGCTCGGCCGGCGAGAACTGCACGCCGACGGTCGACCGCTACATCGAGAAGCTCGAGCCGCTCCTCGACCTCTCTCCTCCTGGTACCAAGAGTGCGTCCTCTCTCCCTCTTTCTCTCCCGCACACCGCCTTCTAGCGCTCGCTCTGACACTGCCTCCCCTCCCCTCGGCGCCCTCTCGCAGTCCTCGTCACGACCGACGAGCAGGACGACGGCGACTTTCTCGGCGCCATCGACGCCCTCGGGTGGTACCGGGTCGACCACCGTGCGCTCGGGACCAAGGCGATCCTCGACGCGCGGTACGGCGAGGCGGCGCCCTGGGCCGACGCCGTCGTCGACCAGGCCATCCTGTCGCTCGGCGCCCACTTTGTCGGCACGAGCGGCAGCCAGGTGTCGCTCCTCACCGAGCTCAGGGTCGCGGCGTGGAACGGCGGCGAGACGAGGCTTGTCGAGCGGCCGTCGTAGCTTTCTTTAGACCGAGAGGTTACTGTACTCGAACGCGCTTTCTAGACTCTCTCTCTGACGGGCAGCTCTCGAGGCTTTGGAATCTGGACATGGTCATCTTTACAACATCTGCGAGAGCGGGAGAGGTACGGCCGTGAGCTGCGCGTTGCGAGAGAGGAGGAGGAGGAAGAGCGAGCGCACAGAGAGAGGAAGCACCTGCACGGAGAACCCACGCCCCGGCTCAAGCCCGTACGCCCTGCCGCAGCGCGTCCTGCTCCTTGAGCCTGAGCTCGCGCTCGAGCTCGTCCCACCCGTCCTGGTCGGCCTGGCTCGTGGCGGTGGCCGGCGCCTTGAGGGCGGCGAGGGTCGCGCGTTGGTCAAGCTTCCAGCGGACGAGGTCGGCGAGGCGCTCGCCGTCGGGACGGTGGAGGCGACGCTCGTAGAGCCAGTAGCCCCAGATGCCGGTGGTTGCGCCGAGCAGCACGTCGCCCCACCTGCGGCGAGGAGAGAGGAAGGCGAGGACGCCGGGTGAGCTCTGGTCCGAGAGGCCGCAGGGCGAGGGTGGTTGGACGCACTTGGAGATGAGGTACAGGCGCGGCATGCAGAGCAAGAGAGAGCTGGAGACGAGGTAACTAGAGAGTTGCTCGGTCGTCGTCGCTCGTCCTCATCTGCTCCTTCGTCTTGTGCGTCCCAGCATGGCTCCCCGACCACGCCTGCCAGCTCTAATCCCGCCAGCGAGGCACCTGCACTCGTCTGCCTGCGCTCGACACCCGCCACCGCCGCTCCCGACCACCGTCGCCGCCTCGCTCGCGGCCGCCTCGTCCAGCACCGGTCCGGCACCCGACACGCTCAGCGGCTGGATCCGCTCGGTCCGCAGGCAGAAGAACGTCTCGTTCGCCGTCTTGAGCGACGGCAGCCAGGTCGGCGGCGTCCAGGTCGTCCTCCCTAAAGGCCTCGACGACGGGTGCGCTCCTCCTCCTCCTTCTCTCCTCTCGTCCGCCGTGGACTAACCCTCTCTGTGTCTCGCAGCTTCACCGTCGGGTGCTCGGCAAGCTTGCGCGGCGCGTGGGTCGACAGTCGAGGGCAGGGCCAGGCCAAGGAGTTCAAGGTCGACGAAGTCACGTTCGTCGGAGAGAGCGACGCCGAGGTGCGCCTCGTTCCTCTGGACTGGCTCTCGCCTTTTCGACGTCTGCCTGACACAATCGCATTGTCGCAGACGTACCCGATGCCCAACACGAAGCAGGGCATCCCTCTGCCCGTCCTGCGCCGCAACGCGCACCTGCGCCCGAGGAAGGACGGGCCGGCGGCCATGCTCCGGGTCCGCAGCGAGATGAACTGGGCCCTCTCTGATCACTTCCGGGTGTGCTCGCGATTTCCACTCTCTCTGCCCCTCTCTCGGCGACGGCGCACTAACTCTCGCAAGAACCGCCCGCAGCGAGAAGGTTTCGTCCGCGTCGAATTGCCCATCATCACGTCGTCCGACTGCGAGGGCGCAGGCGAGGTGTTCCGCGTCGTCGAGGGCGCACCTGAATCACCCGCACCCGCCAGCACCGCACCTCCCGCACCTCCAGCCTCGACCGCCGACTCGCCCAAACCCGCACCGCCACCCGCACCCTCTCGCTACCTCACCGTGTCGACCCAGCTCCACCTCGAGGCCGTCACGTCGTCGCTCCAACGCGCGTACACGTTCGCGCCCTGTTTCCGCGCCGAGAAGAGCGACACGTCGCGGCACCTGCAAGAGTTCTGGATGCTCGAAGCCGAGGCCGCCTTCCTCGACGCCGACGTCCCGACCGCGCTCGACCAGGTCATGCACATCGCCGAGTCGACCGTGCGCGCGATCGCGACCCACGTCCGCGCCCAACCCGACGTCGAAGCGCACTTTGCGGCCCAGGCGCCCGCGCTCGAGGCCCAGTACGCCGCGCTCCTCGCCCCGGCGCCGTACCCTCGCCTGTCGTACACGCGCGCGGTCGAGCTCCTCGCGACGCACGCGGCGGCGCACCCGGGCGCGTTCGCGTTTGCGCCCGTGTGGGGCGCGGGCCTGCAGACCGAGCACGAGCGGTGGCTCGCCGAGGACCACGTCCGAGGACCGCTCTTCGTCACCGACTACCCGTCGGCGCTCAAGCCGTTCTACATGCTCGCCAACGAGGCGGCGTCGGGTGCGAGCTCGGTCGGCGAGGCGGCGGGCGCACGAGCCGGGCGCCAGACGACGGCGTGCTTCGACCTGCTCGTGCCCGGCGTGGGCGAGCTCGCCGGCGGGTCCCTGCGCGAGCACCGCCGCGAGCAACTCGTTGCGGCCATGGACGCACACGGCCTCGACCACGAGGGCGCGTACCGGTGGTACGTCGACCTGAGGCGGTACGGCACGACGCGCCACGGCGGGTTCGGCCTCGGGTGGGAGCGCCTCGTCGGGCTCTTGACGGGCGAGACCAACGTGCGCGAGTGTACGGCGTTCCCGAGGGCCGCAGAGGGCAGCAGGTTCTGAGCGCGGTCGAGGGGGGTCCGGGCGTAGCTGCGGCGAGTCGGTCGAGGTCGGAGTGGGTCGACGAGGTGGAACGGGACGCGGTCGCATCTCGGTCTGCGTTGCATCGTACGACCATGGCCCGCATTCCAACTCGTGCGCGCGCGAGAGAGAGAGAGGAGTCTCGCAGTTTGCGACGCGTCGAAAGCGGGCTCGCCGCCGCGGTCGAACGAGGGCAACAGCTTGCTCGCGCCTCCTCTCGTCTTTCTTCACCCCGTCCGGCTCCGTGCTTTGCCTCTCTCGCAGTCCAGCTTCAGTGCCTTTTCTCTACCAGCAACCGCGCATCCCCCCCAGCTCCCTCGCACCCCTCGCCGTCGTCGCCTCGCCCTTGCCCACCCACCTCGCCCGCCCTTTCTACCTCAGCATGTCGTCGCGCTTCCAGCCCTTTGCGCCCAACCCGGCCACCCGCCCTCAGAACGTCGGCATCCGTACGTCCCCTCTCTCTCTGCCCCCCTCCTCCCCGCCTCGACTCGAGCTGACCTCCACCGCCTCCCCCAACCCGCAGACGCGATCGACCTGTACTTCCCTCTGCGCTGCATTGACGAGGCCGACCTCGAGCGCTTCGATGGCGTCGCCGCTGGCAAGTACACCATTGGCCTCGGCCAGGAGAAGATGGCGTTCTGCGACGACCGAGAGGACATTAACTCGTTCCTCCTCTCGGGTGCGTCCCACTTTCCCTCTCTCGCGGTCGTGTCGCCGTGAAGCCGCACGGCACGACCTAGACAGGGCGGAGCGAGGGCGTTCGAGCGAACGAGGCGCACTCGGGCGACCCGACCCTGTGCCGAGCGAGCGAGGACTCGGCACCCGTCGACGACCCGACACTGACCCTCGTCTCGTCCTGCGCGCAGTGACCAAGTCGCTCCTCGAGAAGTACGACATCCCGCCGTCGTCGATCGGCCGCATCGACGTCGGCACCGAGACGCTCATCGACAAGAGCAAGTCGGTCAAGACCATCCTCATGGACCTGTTCCCGGGCAACTCGGACATCGAGGGCATCGACTCGAAGAACGCGTGCTACGGCGGCACGGCCGCCCTCTTCAACGCGTGCAACTGGGTCGAGTCGAGCAGCTGGGACGGCCGCTACGCGCTCGTCGTCGCGGGCGACATTGCCATCTACGCCGAGGGCGGTGCGCGCCCGGTCGGCGGTGCCGGCGCGTGCGCCATGCTCATCGGCCCTGACGCTCCCCTCGTCCTCGAGCGTGCGTCCCTCGCCTTCCTGTCGCCCTTTTTCCCCGCCCCGACCACCACCTGACCCTGCCCCCGCCCCCTCTCTTCCCGGTCCTGCAGCGGTCCATGGCACCCACATGGCCAACGTGTACGACTTCTACAAGCCGCACCTGTCGTCCGAGTACCCCGAGGTCGACGGACCCCTGACGCAGACGTGCTACCCGACCGCGCTCGAGACGTCGTACGACCACTTCCGCCTCAAGGAGTCGCGCCGCCTCGGCAACGCCAAGGGCGACAAGAAGGACGTGTCGCTCGACGACTTTGACTACGCGTGCTTCCACTCGCCGTACGGCAAGCTTGTCCAGAAGGGTTACGCCCGCCTCGTGCGTCCAGCCTCCCTCTCCCCTCGAGCTGTGTGGCCCGCCGACTGACACGCACGCGCACACAGCTGTACAACGACTACCTGTCGAACCCGACGGCCGACAAGTTTGCAACGGTCCCGGCGCACCTCGGCGAGCTCGACCGCGCGACGACGGTCCTCAACAAGGAGGTCGAGAAGACGTTCACGGCGCTGTCGTCGGCCGAGTTCAAGGCCAAGGTCGGGCCCGCGACGCTCACGAGCAAGAAGCTCGGCAACATGTACACCGGGTCGCTGTACGGCGCGCTCGCGTCGCTCCTCGACGGCGTCGACTCGGCGACGCTCCAGGGCAAGCGCGTCGCCATGTACTCGTACGGGTCGGGCCTCGCCGCGAGCTTCTTTTCGCTGCGCGTCAAGGGCGACACGAGCGAGATGCAGAGCAAGCTCGACCTCAAGCAGCGCCTCGAGAACAACCAGGTCCGCCCGTGCGAGGAGTTTGTCCAGGCGCTCCAGGTGCGCCCAGCCTCTCCCTCCTCTCCTTTCTCGTCGCCTTTGTCGAGTCGACTGACACGAGCTCTCTCCCCTCGCCCTCCCCCTCTTTCCCTCGACCTCCTCGACCACCCTTCCCTCCCGCTCGCACCCCCCTCTCTCTCTCTGAGCAGCTCCGGGAAGACAAGCACAACATCTCGGACTACACGCCGGCCGGCCGCATCGAGGACATCCCCGTCGGCGCCTACTACCTCGCGCACTGCGACGGCAAGCACCGCCGCGTGTACAAGGTGCGCGGCCAGGAGGGCAAGGCCGACGTCGTCGAGAACGGCAACAACGCGCCCGACGCGCAGCAGATCGCCTAGAGCGTGGAGCGCCCGCTCGACGATCGACGGTAGAGGAGTAGGAGGAGGAGGATAGAGAACGGACGGACTAGAAGGAGGAGGAGGAAGAGGACGAAGACGAGGGGCGTGGTCGCTGGACGACGGAGGAGGGAGCTTTCCTCGGGGGACGAGTCTCGCGGTCTTATACTCTCGCAGTCGCAATGTTCCTTATGCAGCTTTCGCATTCTCTGTTGCGTGGGCGAGAGAGGCAGCTCGAGTTCATCACCTTTGGCGCGAGCCAGAGGTCGCGGGGAGGAGAGCAACGTCCTCGCCTCTTGCACTCCACACTGCCGCCCACGCTGGCTCTGCTGCCCCTGCCTGCAGCCATGCAGTCGACCTCCACGGCGTCCCAGGCCGACCGGCTCCTGCAGCGCAAGCCCCAGCCCTCGTCGTCGCTGTCGTCGCGCGACACCTCGCCCGGCCCGCCGCAGCTCGACCCGCGCCTCGACAAGCGCACCGACGACTGGCCTGTCCAAGCTGGTACGACTGGCTCGGCTGGCAAGCCCGCCGCGCCGGGTTACCTCCTCGACAAGGTGCGTCCCCACCCATCTCGCTTCCCCTCGGACCCGCCGCCACGACACCGCCTCGGGCGACGTCGAAACCGCGTCGAGCGGCCTGCACGCCGCACAGGGACCTCGAAACTGACCTTGCAGGAGCTCCCCCGACGTGCACGCAGGGCTCAGTCGAGGAGCCGCCGTCATCGAACCGGGTCGACTATGCCGTCCTCGCGCTCGTCTTCGTCCTCGCGGCCATTGTGCGCTTCTGGCACATCGACTTTCCCGCCCAGGTCGTGTGCGTCCTCTCTCTCTCTCTCTGTGCGTCCTGGGCAGACGAGGTCGAGCAGGAGCGCTGACACGCCGCCTCGCAGGTTCGACGAGGTGCACTTTGGCAAGTTCGCGAGCTACTACCTGCGGCGAGAGTACTTCTTCGACGTCCACCCTCCACTGTGAGTTTCCTGTTCCCTCGTGCGTGTCAGAGAGGCGCAAGCAGGGGGAACGACGAGCTGACCCACCTCGTCCCGCCTCTGCGCCCGCAGCGCCAAGCTCCTCCTCGCGTTCCAGGGCTGGCTCATCGGGTACGACGGCCACTACGAGTTTGACAACATTGGCGAGTCGTACATCTCGAACAAGGTGCCGTACGTCGGCATGCGCACCCTCCCGGCCCTCCTCGGCAGCGCCATCCCGACCGTCATCTATGCCATCATGCGCGAGAGCGGGTACCCGAGGCTCGTCGGCCTCTTCAGCGCCTTCCTCGTCCTCTTTGGTGCGTCCACGTGCCTCTCCTTCGACGCCGGCGGGAGGTTCGTGCACTGATTCGGTCACGCCGTCGCAGACAACGCCCACATCACCCAGACCCGGCTCATCCTCCTTGACGCGCCCCTGATCCTGTTCATGTGCCTTGCCTTCTACTCGTACATCCGGTTCCACAAGCTGCGCTACTCGTGCGTGTCCTCTCTCTTCCTCTCCCTCTTGCCGACAGGGCTGACCAGCTCGTCCCCGCCCGCAGCGAGTTTACGCGTCCCTGGTGGACCTGGCTCGTCCTGACGGGCGTCTTCCTGTCGCTCACCATCTCGTGCAAGATGGTCGGCCTGTTTGCGTTTCTCGCCGTCGGGACCGCCGTCATTGTCGACCTGTGGAACATCCTCGACGTCCGCCGCGGCCACTCGATGGTCCGTCCCTGCCTTTCTCTCGATCTCTCCCTCCTGTCGTCCGAGCGTGCAGCTGACTCAGCGCGTTCGACCCTCTGCAGGACTACGTCACTCGGCACTTCTTCGCTCGCGTCGTCGGCCTCATCCTCGTGCCGGCCTGCGTCTACCTCTTCTGGTTCTGGGTCCACTTTGCCGTCCTCACTCGGTCGGGCTCGGGCGACGACTTTATGAGCCCGGCGTTCCAGCAGACGCTGCTCGACAGCCCGTTGACGGCGCTCGCCGAGGGTGCGTGCGCAGCTCTCCCGAAATCGAGTCGGGAACCTTGTCGAACCAGGGACTGACTCTCGGTCTTCCCCTTGACTCGCGCACGCAGAGATCCGGTACTACGACACTCTCACGATCCAGCACCGCGGCACCAAGGCGTTCCTGCACTCGCACCCGGACCGGTACCCGCTCAAGTACGACGACGGCCGCATTTCGTCGCAAGGGCAGCAGGTGACGGGCTACCCGTTCAACGACACGAACAACCAGTGGATCGTCGAGCCGACGCGCGAGTTGCCCGACACGGGCCGCGGCCGCATCGTGCGCCACAACGATGTCGTCACGCTGCGCCACGTCATCACCAACACGACGCTCCTCACGCACGACGTCGCCTGTCCGACGCTCGCGACCAACACCGAGTTCACGACGTGGGGACGGCCAGTGCGCGACCGACGACGAGTGCGCGACCAAGCGCGCCGACACACACTTCCGCATCAACGTCGACGGCGCGCACGAGGGCCAGCAGTGGATGACCAAGTCGGGCCACTTCCAGCTCGTGCACGTCCCGACGCGCGTCGCCATGTGGACCCACACGGACCCGGTCCTGCCCGACTGGGCGTACAAGCAGCAGGAGGTCAACGGCAACAAGAACCTGCGCGACAAGTCGACGTACTGGGTCGTCGACGAAATCGTCCACGACGAGGGTGCGTCGGCTCTTTCCCCCCTCCTCTCTCTCTCCCCTCGACGAGGACCGGACCGTCCTGACGCCGTCCCCCTTCACCTCGCAGCCAAGCCCGACCTGATGCGGCCCAAGAAGGAGGCGCGCAAGCCGGCCAAGATGAGCTTCCTGCGCAAGTTCTTCGAGTTGCAGATCCTCATGCTGCAGCACAACGCGGGCCTCACCGACTCGCACCCGTACGCGTCGGGCCCGGTCAACTGGCCGTTCCTCCTGAGCGGTATCAGCTTCTGGACGGGTGACGCCGAGGCGAGGACCCAGGTGTACCTCATCGGCAACGTCGTCGGGTGGTGGACGTGCATCATGGCCCTGAGCGTCTTTGTCGGCGTCCTCGCGGCCGACCAGCTCGCCCACCGGCGAGGCTTGACGCCCATCCCGACTCGTGCGTCCCCTTCTCTCCCTCTCGCCCTCTCGTCGCTCGGACCCCCAACCTGACACGCCGACCTCGTCCGCAGCGATCCGCAACCGGCTGTACAACAGCGGCGGCTTCTTCCTCGTCGCGTGGCTGTTCCACTACGCGCCCTTCTTCACCATGTCGCGCCAGCTGTTCCTGCACCACTACCTCCCCGCGCACGTCACGTCGGCCCTCGTCGCCGGCGTCGTGTTCCACTTCCTGTTCTGCGGCGACTCGGTCAACTACCCGGTGTCGGTCGCCGGGCGCTCGACGCGCCGGCGCCCTCGGCAGCGCGCCGTCGTCGGCAAGCCCATGAAGGTCGCCTTTGTCGCGTTTGCGACGCTCCTCGTCGCCAACTACTGGTTCCTGCGCCCGCTCACGTACGGCACGCCCGGATTGACGCCCGACCAGGTCGACCGCCGCAAGATGCTGTCGTCGTGGAGCCTGCACTACGCGGGCAAGCCCGGCGGCGGCGGCGGCGGCGGCGGCGACAAGGACCAGTGAGGCGTCGAGCGATAGACGACTGGGCTGCAATTCGGTCGTTCTTTGTCGAGTCGGTGCGCTTGCGGCAGTGGGAGAGAGAGAGATGCGCATGCGGCACTGTCCTCGACCGAGAGCGCGAGTGCGAGGCTGGCGCTCGACGCTGCGGCTGCTTGTCGAGTTGCCGAGCGCGCTCGTAAAGGCGAATCTCGCCGAGCGCGAAAGCTGTCGTTGTTGCCGTGCCGCTCTCGCCAGGTCTGGCGAAGCGGGCGCAAGTGCTCGCTCCCCTTCTCGACCGCCTCTCGACCCTCTCGAGATCCTTGCAGTACCCGTGCACCCGCTGCATCACTCGCTGAACGACTCGCACGCCCGCACGGCCCCGACTCAGCGCCCTCGCCGCCTCCACGCGACTCGCTCAACACCGCCTCGCCACCTTTCAGCACCGACCACCCTCGCTGCAGCGCTACTGCCACGGTCGACTGCGCCAGCGCTTCGCCTCGAACCCTGTGCAAGGTGCGTCCTCTTTCTCCTTCTCGCCGTGGGACGGGGCGAGCGGGGCGTGGGGAGCAGCTTGGAGCAGAGGGGACGCTGGGCTGCGGGCCGGATCGGTGCGGTGTGGGCGCAGCACAGGGGCATGTAAAGCCCCTCCAGAGGCTCGCGAGTGGCCTACTCGGCCCAGCACAGGCGTTGGCCGCGAGCTGCCTCATCGCCTCCTCGTCGTCCAACCAGGGCTCGAAGCGGCGGCGCAGAGCGAGTGCGCTAACACTACAGCCTCGCACGCAGATGTCCGGCCTTCGACTACCCTCAACACCCCGAGCCTCGCTCTCGGCGAGCGGCGGCTCCGCCCTCCCGACCCCTTCCTCGCGCCGCAAGTCTGGCGTCCCTCGTCCCCCGTCGTCCCTCGCCCACAACGGCGAGCTGTCGGCCCTGCGCCAGGCCATCTCGGCGCACGACCCGGCGAGCTACGCTGCCTCGCCCGGCGCGTTTGACGACCCGGACAGCCCGTTCGCGGTCGGCATCGCCCTCGGCGGCCACCCGGCGCACGAGGGCTCGTCCGGCTCCGAGCGCGCCACGCGACAGCCCGTCCTTCCCGGCGTGCGCACCGGTCCTGTCCAGCCGAGGGCCGCCGTCCCGAGTCGCCCGACGACCCCGTCGACGCCGTCGTACGCGCGCGCGCGCACCCCGACCGGGTTCGGCTCGTCGACGTCGCGCTTTACTCGGCCCACGTCGCGGCAGAGCGGTGGCGGTGGCGACGAGCTCACGGTCGGCCGCGAGGTCGCGTTCGAGATCGCGGGCGACAAGATGGAGGGCACGCTGCGGTTCGTCGGCGAGGTCGAGGGTAAGAGCGGGCAGTGGGGCGGCGTCGAGCTCGATGCGGCGTTCGCGGGCCGAGGCAAGAACGATGGGAGCGTCGCAGGGTGCGTCCAATATCTCTCTTAGGCGGTCTGATTGGCGCGCGGGCCGCGGTCACGAACCCTTCCTCCATCCACAGCGTGCAGTACTTCGCGTGCCCGCCGCAATGCGGCCTCTTCCTCCCGCTCGCCAAGGTGACGGCCAAGCCGAGACCGAGCATGCCGCCGCCCCTGACGGCCGGCTCGCGCGCGAGCAGGATGGCGGGCATGAGCGCCAAGGACCTCGCCTCGCGTCGATCCAGCCTCGCGCCCTCCTCGACCACCACTACGAGCGCTACGCCCGCCACCCGCACGCGCTCTCCGACCAAGCCGAGGACCTCGCTGTCGCCGACCAAGCCGAGGACCTCGATGTCGCCGACCAAGCGCCTCTCGGCGTCGACCTCGGCTGCCCCGTCCACCCTCACGACGCCCAAGCCGACCCGCCTCAGCCGCCCGTCCATCGGCGGCGCCGTCGGCTCGACCCCGACCACGATGCGCAAGTCGCTCGGGGCGACGCCTCGCGCGTCCCTCGGCGGCTCGATCAAGCGCCCGCCGTCGTCGCTGCGCACCCACTCGGCCGCGCCCGACGTGCCGCCCATCCCGTCCGCGTACGGCCTCGCGCGCTCGGTCACGCCGTCGTCGCAGTCGGGCCGCGTGACGCCCTCGACGCCGGGCGCCATGATGCGCCGGCGCACGTCGCTCGCGCAGAGCGACCTCGGCTCGTCGATCCGGCCCTCGACGCCCTCGCTCCGCAGCTCGTCGCGCCAGTCGTTCGCGTCGTCCGTCTCGCGCCAGTCGCACCGCTCGACGACGTCGACGACGGCCGACCCGGACGAGCTCGACGACCTGCGCCGCGAGCTCGCCGAGGCGCAGCAACGCGAGGGCGAGATCCGCCAGCTCCTCGAGGGCAGCGAGCGGCTCGGGCGCGAGGTCGAGGACCGCCTCGGCGAGAAGAACCGGCGCATCGCCGACCTCGAGGAGCGGCTCGCCGTGCTTGAAAAGGAGCGAGAGCGGGCGCGCGAGGACGAGGACGCCCGGCTCGCCGCGGCGGCGGCGCAGGGCGGCGAGGAGGGCGACCGCGCCGCGCGCGTACGCGAGCTCGAGAAGCGCGTCGAGGAGCAGCAAGCGGCGATCGAGGCGCACAAGGCGGCGCACGACAAGCTCAAGCGCGAGGACAAGCACCGCACGGCGGCCAAGGAGGCCGAGGTCGAGTCGCTGCGCGAGCGCCTCGAGCGCTCGGCCAAGGACCACGACGAGGAGCGCGCCGACCTGAGCAACCAGGTCGACAAGCTGCGTTCGGCCGGCCAGGCGCTGTGCGAGACGTACGAGGAGAAGATTGCCGAGATCGAGCTCGCCCGGCTCGAGGCGGTCGAGCTCGCCGAGACGCTCCAGGCGCAGCTCGAAGGCGCAGGGGACGGTGCCCGGGCGGCGTCGTCGTCGCGCGAGGACTCGCCCTCGGCGTCGCGCCACCACCTGTCGGCGTCCGTCTCGGCGGCGCAGGCCATCGACGCCGAGAACACGCGCGCCGAGCTCGACCACCTGCGCGACAAGGTCGCGACGCTCGAGGAGCAGCTCGAAGACGCGCGCATGCAGCTCGAGCAGGAGTTTGCCGACGCCAAGTCGAGGCGGACCAAGGTCGGCGAGGCCGAGCAGCGGCTCAAGGGCGAGATCGCGTCGCTCAAGGAGGCTGTCGGTGCGTCCCTTCTCTCTCTGACTCTCTCTCGGCCCCTCGCCCTGTCGCCGCGACTGACTTGCCGTGCCTTTCCTGCAGATCGCTCCGCCAAAGCCGAGTCACGCCTCGCCGCTCGAATCGACGAGCTGCAGGCGGCTCTGCACGAGTCGCAGGCGACGCTCGAGGCCGAGCGCTCCGAGCTCGAGGGTCTGCGCCACGACGCCTCGGGCGACGCGACCGCCTCGATCGCCGACGACCTCAAGCGCGTCCACAACGAGCTCTCGGCGACCAAGGCCGACCTCGAGCGCACGCAGCGCGACGCCGCACAACACACGGGCCTCGTCGGCGAGCTGCGCACCGACCTGCGCAACGCCGAGAAGGAGATCGAGCGCCTGCAGAAGCTCGCGCCGCCGTCGCCGTCGAGCAACGTCGGCGCGAGGAGCAGCAGCAGCTCGTCGAGCTCGCCCGAGGACCCGTCGGCAACGCGCGAGCAGATCGTCGGGCTCAAGAGCATCATCGAGACGCTCACCGAGGAGAACAAGCAGCTCGTCGACCGCAACAAGGCGATCGAGGGCGAGACTGCGGGCCTCAAGTGCGTCCTCCTCCCCCTCTCTTCTGCCGTTCTTGCGTCGTCCGTACGGCCACCCCGTCCTGACGCACTCATCATCCCAGGGACTCGCAACGTGCGCTCGAGATGACTGTCGAGAAGTGCGTCCCCTAATCTCGCGAGTCGACCCTCGCGTTCGTCGCTCACCTTGCTCTCCCACCGCGCAGCCTCATGGCCCAGCTCGACAGCGGATCCGCAACTGCGACTGCTGCGCCCGGCTCGCCCTCTTCCAGCCTCGCCGCCGACTCGTCGCTCCGACGAGAGCTTGAAGAACTGCGCGGTCAGCTCAAGGAGGTGCAGCGCAAGAGCGACCTCGAGATCAAGGCACTCACGCAGGAGGTGCGTCCCCTTCCTCGACCTCTCTCGCTTTCGCCCTGGAGCAGGACTGACGACGCGCTTTCCCGCAGGTCACCGAGCTCGAGTCGCTGGTCGAGTCCAAGATCTACCACGAGGACGAGCTCGAGTCGGAGCTCGAGAAGTACAAGGCGCTCGCCGATGCCGTCAAGGCGGGCCCGGCGTCGTCGAACGGCCACGCCAAGCAGCCGTCGGTCGTCCTCGATGCTGGAGAGGTAGGCGAGTGCGAGATGTGCGGCGAGAAGGGCCATGACCTCGACTCGTGCCCCGACTGTGCGTCACGCGCTCCCTTTTCTGTCCCTTTGCGCCGTCCTGACTCGAGCCTCTCTACCTCGTCCTGCAGTCGCCGCGTCGTCCCCAACTCGCACCTCGTTCTCGTCAAACTCGCTCGCCGACCTGGGCGCCGAGACCAAGCCTGCGAGCAAGCCCTCGGCCTCGTCCACCAACGCCGCCGACTACTGCGACGACTGCGAGGGTGCGTCGGCCTCTCTCTTACCTCTCTCTCTCTCTCTCATCGACAGTCACTTATCCAGCCCGTCATGCGCGCAGAGTACGGCCACGCCCTCGAGGACTGCCCGCTCGCGAGCGAAATCTTCTAGTCGCACCTCGTCCCCTCTCCTCGTCTTTGCCCCACGCACATTCGCTCTTCTCCCTCCTCTTCCTCCACTCGTTCTTTCCCATCCCTGCGCGTCGCGCGCCTAATCGTCCTCGAGTGTAGAAGCAGCCCCGTCCTGTCGTATCATGGCCTCAGCCTCTCTCTCTCTGGCTCTCGAGTCGTCGTCGCGGAAGGAACGATGAGAGGAAAAGCCGAATGACAACACGCTACAGAGAGGCAAACACCGAGACTCGCTCGAGGCTTCGCCCGCCTCAGCGCTTCTTCCTCGCCGCCGCCGGCCCTTTGCCCCTGCGCTTGCCCTTGGCCTTGCCCTGCTTCCTCGCGGGGCCCGTCGCGCCCTTCTCCTCGGCGAGACGCTCCTGCTCGTCGTCCGTGTTTTCGGCGTTCTCCATGGCCCAAGAAAACGCGGCCTCCTGCTCGAGAGGGAAGACCGACCCAGAGTCAGTGTGCTGCCCGCCTTCTAGAGCGGCGCGAAAAAGAAAAGGAGACAGAGAGGTTGGACGCACGAGGTCTTCGAGCATCTCGGGGTACGACTTGGTGCGCGTGCCCGTCGCACGGCGTGCGCGGCGGTTCGAGACGAGGGCGGCGCGCGAGAGGAAGAGCTGGTCGGCCTCGGCCGACTCGCCGAGCTCGCGCAGGTTGGAGCGCGCGATCCAGCCACTGCGGAACGAGCACGCTGTCAGTCGTTGGGACGAGGAGAGAGAGGGGGGGAGAGAAAAGAGAGGAGGAGAAGCGACGCACCCGGAGCGAGGCGGGTCGTCGAAAAAGAGGACCGGGACTTTGTCGGCCCCGGGCGGGCGGTTCTCGCGGATGAACGACGGCGTGTCCTCGGCGTCCGGGTCGACGACCTCGGCAGGGAAGAACGGGAACGGCGGTTGGCGAGCCCAGACCAGGTAGCCTGTGGGCGACGAGAGGTCAGTCATCGCGTTCGAGAGGGGTCCGTGCGAGAGAGAGAGAAAGAGGGACGCACCCTCGGTCAGGTCCGTCTTGGCCGTGATCTCGATCTGCGACTGGAGCTCGAGCATGCGCTTGTCGAACTGGCGCGCCGACTCGGCGTCGGCCTTGCCGATGTGGACGGCCGACATGCCCGGCTGCGGCGTCTGCGACGGTGTCGGGCCCGGTGTGGCGCCCTTGCCCTGCTTCCTGGGCGTCTCGGCCGGCGCGGTCGAGCGCGCCTTCTTGTCCTGACGCGCCCGCTTGGCCGGCGACGGTTTGACGTCCTCGACCTCGCCGCTCTCGACCGGGATCGGGGCCTCCTCCTCCTCCTCGACGACAGGCTCGACGGCCCGGCCCTTGCCCTTCCTCGTCGCGGCGGCGCCCGCAGGTGCTGGAGGTGGAGCGAGCGCGGCGGCGTCGACGGTGGACGGGGTCGGCGGGAGGACGAGGGCGCCCGTGCGAGGGGTGCCGGACGTCGACATGGACGCCGAGGCGGACGAACGGCGACGAGAGCCCTCGGGCAGGACCCACCTGTGAGCGTGCAACGACAAAGAGAGGGTCAGTCACGGCGCCGAGAACGGAGAGAAGAGGGCGAGCGCGAGGACGCACCCAGTCTCGAAGTGCTTGAACGACGCCTTTGGGTCGACGTCCTCGAGCAGCGCCGCCTCCTTGCGCGCCGCGGCCGACATCGCCGGAGCTCGCTCGACGACCTCGACGCCGGCGTAGCCCTTGGGCAGCGGCTTGACCGCCCTGCCCTTGCCCTTGCCCTTGCCCTTGCCCTTGTCCCCCTTGTCGCCCGCAGCCGGCGCCGGCGGCTGCATGACGACGTCCTCGCCCTCGCCCTCGTCCTTGTCATCGGCGGGCTCGTCCTGCGTCGCTGCACGAGCGCGCGACGGGCGCGGCCGCTTGGCCGGCGCCGGCGTAGGCGCCGGCGTCGCGGCCGAGGTGCTGGCGCGGGTCGTGCGAGGCGTCCTCGCGCTCGGGACGGGCGAGTCGAGCCCGGCGAGAGCGGCGGTGCGCTTGCGGCCCTTAGTCGCGGTGGTGGGCGCGGGCGCGGTCGAGGTCGACGGCTCGTCCTGCTCGGGCTCGACCTCGGCGTCGTCCTCGAGAGGCGGCTCGACGTCGATGGCGTGCGCCTTGCCCTTGCCCTTGACCTTGCCCTTGACGGCGGCCCTGCCCCTCGCCTTGGGCTTGACCTCGACGTCGCCCGTCCCGTCCTCACCCTCGCCATCGCCATCGCCCTCACCTGCCACCGCCGACTCGGCCGCCCTCGTCTCGTCCTCCTGCGCCCTTGCCCGCTCCTCCTCCTCACCCCTGACCCTCTCCTCCTCGTCCTCCCTCGCCCTGCGCTCCCTCTCGTCCCTCCTCGCCCTCTTGCGCCCCTCCGGGTCCGCCGTGTCGTACCCAAACTCGAACAGCTGCTCGCGCGCCTCGGCGTCGAGGAGCTTGACGAGCGCCGCGCGCGGGAGCGACGACGGGTCGGCCGCAGCGGCGTCGCGGTCGTCGGCGTCGGCGTCGGCGTCGTCGGCTTCGTCGAGGGCGGCGAGACGGGGCTCGATGGCCGACAGGACGCGGACTGCCGCCTTGTGCACGGGCGCCGACGACGTGTTGTACCGGCGCGCGTTGTTGATGACGAGGCGGATGTCGCCCTGCGAGCCCGGGAGCGAGAGAGAGAGAGTCAGTGCGGGAAGAGAGAGAGAACAGGCGGGCGCGGGAGGACAAGGGCGGGAAGAGAGAGAGGGAGGGGGGGGGGGGGGGGGGACGCACGACGAATCGGCGCCCGACAGGTACTCGTGCCGCGCGAGCTTGGTGCCCATCGTCTCCCAGTCCATCGGGTAGTGGATGAGGTCGTAGTAGTCGGGCACGAGGTCGCGGTCGACGGGCTGCGCAAAGTAGCGCTGCTTGTCGAGCCTGTGGGACCCGGTCCGAGCGAGGAGAGTGCGAGTCAGGGCTCGTGGCTTCCGAGAGAGACGGCCTCCTCGAGAGAGAAGAGAGAGGGAAAGAGAGAGGGCAGGGACGCACGCCTTGACCTCGTCGAGCACCTTGCGCATCTCCTCCTCCCTCGGGAACACCCACCCGTCGACCGTCGTGCGGATCCACGTCGCGCGCTCGAGCTTCTTGCGCTCGCGCTTGCGCACGAGCTCGGTCAACATGCGCACTTTTTCGAGGTCGTTGCGCACGAGGCGCAGGAGCTCGAGCTTGTGCGCCTTGTCGGCCTCGGACTGCTGCCGTGCCGTCGCCGAGGCCGTCCAGGGCTGCGTCGAGTGGCCGGTGCAGGAGTAGGTCAGTGAGTGTGCCTCTGGAGGACGGCGAGCGAGAGAGAGAGAGAGAGAGAAGGAGAGGAGAGAGGCAGGGGACGCACCTCGAGGTGAATCCGCTTGAGCAACGGCGCGCCCCTCCTCGCCTCGCGCTTGAGGCTCCAGTACCGACACACGACGTTGACGACCTCCTTCTTGTTGGCGAGCTTGATCCCGCCGCCGCCACCGGGTGCGCGCGCCGAGGACGAGGCTGAGGGCGCCGACAGGTACGCGACGATGCGCTCGGCGAGCTTGTGCGGCACGACGGGCGGCGCGCGAGAAAAGGTCGGCTGGTACGCGCGGGCCGACTTGGTGCCGCCGCCGCCGCCTCCTCCTTGTCCTGGTGCTGGTGCGGCGGCGGCGGCGGCGGGAGGAGCAGCCGCCGAGCCCGAGCCCGATGCGGCAGCGGCGGCGTCAACGGGGAGCTTGAACGTGAGCTTGAGGAGCGACGGCGCGGCCGGCGCGGCAGCGGCGGCGGCGGCGGCGGGCGCAGGAGCGGGCGCAGTCGAGGTCGAGGCCTCGGCCGACGAGGACGACGCGAGGACGAGCTGGTTCTGGTTGTGCGAGGTCGCCGATGCGGGTGCGACGAGGCTTGAGAACGCCGCCGCGGACGACGACGACGAGGGGACGGCCTTGAGGGGCGTCGCCGTACGGGGCTGGGTCGTCTGCGCGCAAGCGCACCTCGACGAATCAGCTCTTGCGCTTCCGCAAGCGCGAGAGGCGAAAGAGAGGGCGGGGCGCACCTCGCCATGCTTGTCGCAAAACGCCCTCAGCTCGCCCGTCGCGGCCGAGCCCTGGCGCATCTTGAGCGACAGGCCGTGCTCCCTCGCGCACGTGACGTGGAACGCCGTGTAGCACGAGCGGTTGGCGCACCTGTCGCGCGGGGGGTGTGGCGTGCGGGTCAGGGTGGGTCGAGGGGGGAGCCCGAGCGGGAGAGAGAGGGGGAGAGAGGTAGAGGGGGGGAGGGACGCACTGGATGCAGGCGCCGACGCGCTTCTTGCAGAGGTAGCAGACCTGCGCGCGAGTACGAGGGCATCGTCAATCGTCGGTCGAGGCGGTCGAGGCGAGAGAGAGGAGCGCGAGCGCGACTCACGAGCTTCCACCTGCTCTTGGGAATGTGCTCGATGCCATCGACGGGCTCCATGTAGACCGTGTTGCTGACGCTCGTGTCGGGAATCCAGATGGCGCACAAGAGGTGGGCCCACTGGCCCGTCGTCGTCTGCTTGAAGGCGCCGTACGTGCCCGGGCACAGGACGCACCACACGGGCTTGTGCGGCGACACGGTGCACTTGCGGCACAGCCACTGGCCCTCGGGGATGTAGGGCACGCCGTAGCAGTCTGGTGGGCGAGCGTGAGGGAGTCAGTGAGTGCGCGAAGGAGAGAGAGAGGGAGAGGGAAGGGGAGGGACGGACCCTGGTGGACGGCGAGGTTGCAGCCGTCGCAGAAGACGATGGCGTTGGCGTTCTCGCACTCGCCGTCGTCGCAGATGGCGCACTTGCTGTCCTCGCTCGGGAGCGCGTTGGTGCGCTTGGGGATGTTGCGCGTCTGCGGGCGGGCGCGTCGAGGTTCAGTCGCTGGCGGGATCGAATGAGACCGAGAGAGGGAGGGCGAGGCTTACGAGGTCGAACCACTCCTTCTCGATCTTGTCCATGATGACCTCGAAGACCTCGTACGAGATGTGGGCGAGGCCGTCGCGCTTGCGGTCGCGGTTGAGGGCGTCGAGCCAGAGCTGGTCTGCGGGGCGGGGTTTGCGGGTTAGAGGGTCGGTCGCCGTGGCGCCGTCGTGAGTGGGGCAGGCGGTGTGCTTACCCTGGTCGTCCATGTCGTACTCGACCTGGCGAGCGAGGTCCGACTCGAGGGGCTGGAGCCAGCGGAGGTAAAGGCCACCCGGGTCTGCGCCCGAGTGGGCGGCGTGGGTGTGCGACTCGAGTCGGGCATGGTGGTACCAGTCGATTCCCGTGTTGTAGCCGTACGGGCCGTGCTGTTGCGGGTTGTTGACGCGGGGCGACGCGAGCGGGGCGTCGAGGACTTTGGTGAACTCGACCGAGGGGAGCTTGGCGGGGGCCAGGGCGGGCATGGTGTTGGAGCCCGCTGCAGCGGTGCGAGCGACAGCGTTGACCCGCGAGCTGATGAGAGGAGCGAGGTGGGCGAGGGCGAGGCAACGACGACGACGACGCCCGCTCTCTCTCTTCCTCGTACCGCTGCTTGCCACCCTGTTGCGCTCGAGATGGCCGCCGTATCCTTCTCCCAGCCTGGCCTCCTCGACCCTTACAACACCGTCCTCTCTGGCGGTCAGTCCTCCTCCTCCCCCACCTCGTCACTCCTCCCCCCGTCACCTCACCTCCTCGCTCACCTCGGCCCCCGGTGCACCCACACAGGCAACAGCGACTGGGCCCTCTACACCCTCGTCGGCTCGGGCTTCACCAGCGAGCTCAAGTTCACCGCTCAAGGTACCCTCCCCTCCCCTCCCACCTCGGCCTCGTCCCGCACCACCTGACAGCTGAACCCACCTCCCATACAGGCTCGGGCGGCCTCGACGAGCTCGAGGACGAGTTCAACGATGGCAAGGCCATGTTTGCCTTTTGCCGCCTCAAGGACCCAAACTCGGGCCTCCCCAAATTCGTCCTGGTTTGCTGGGTCAGCTCTCCCCCTTCTCTCTTTCCAGGCCTCGAGACACCCCGACTGACCCTCGACGCACGCACGCAGCTCGGCGAGGGCGTCCCCGACCAGCGCAAGGGCCTCTTCCCGACCCACACGGCCGCCGTCTCGGCCCAGCTCCGCGGCGCGCACGTCACGATCCAAGCCCGCTCCGACGCCGACGTGTCGCCGTCGCACATCCTCAAGCGCGTCAGCGACTCGTCCGGCGCGCGCTACGGCGTCCACAACGAGCCCGCCCAGCCGTACCGCGCCCCGGCCCCGGTCGGATCGAGCTACGTCCCCGTCGGCCGACCGGCGTACACGCCCAGCAGGCCCGTCGCGCCCCCGACGCCCGTCGGCACGGCTCACACGCCGCGCTCGAACGAGCTCGCCGAGTTGCGCGCCGCGGGAGCGGCAAAGGCGGCTGCTCCGCCGCCGGCTGCGCCGCGCGCCCTGCCCGGCTTGACCGCGGGCTCGGCGGGCCTGCGCGTCGCAGAGCCGGCGACCAAGCCGGCTCCCGCTGCCGACGACGACGACGACTTTGCGCCCCAGGTCAAGAAGCCGTCCTCGTTCGCCGCTCCTCCCCCTTCCGCCGCCCCTTCCGCGCCCGCTCCCTCCTCGACCTCGAACCAGGCGTCGGCGGCGTCGTCGTCGTCGTCCGAGCGCCCCACCGCAGTCGGCACGTCGTACACGCCCGTGTCGCTCCCCAAGCCGGGCAAGCTCGGCAACCGCTGGCAGGCGGCCGTCGCGTCGGGCGCCCAGGCCAACGCCGACGAGACGCCCGCCAACGCCACCTCCGGCGCCGGCGCTGCCGCCGGCGCCAAGAAGCCGCTCACGTGGAGCGAGCGGCAGGAGCAAGCGCGCCTCGAGCGCGAGCGCGACGACGCCGCGAGCGCCTCGGCCTTGTCGCTCTCGCCCTCGCCCGCGGTCAAGGCGGCGGGCGCCGCCATTGGCGGCACGGCGGCTGTCGGGCTCGCGGCGGGTGCGGCGCTCGGCGTCGGCGCTGGGCTCGCGGGCGCGGCGGCGGTCGGCGTCGGGGCGGCCGCGGTCAAGAGCGCGGTCGACAGCCGCGAGGAGGACGAGGAGGAGGGTGGGGAGCGCGACGAGGATGGGTTCGGGGCACCGCCGCCGCCGCCTGCGCCGCCGGCGAGGAGCGACCCTGAGCCCGAACCCGAGCGCGAGATCGAGGTGCGCCTCCTCTTTCCTCCTCCCCTATCTCTCTTTCTCCTCTCCTCCTCCCGCCTCCCTGACGCCTCCCCTTTCCCACACAGGGCCCCACCGCCACCCTCGCCTCGCTCTCGCTCTCGACCGGCGACGCGACCGGGTCGCTCCCGCCGCGCACGCCCTCGTCGGGCCAGCGCGCGCGCGCCCTGTTCGACTACGACGCCGACGAGGACAACGAGCTGAGCCTCGTCGAGGGCGAGGTGCTCGAGCGCCTCGAGCAGGTCGACCCGGGGTGGTGGGAGGCCGAGAATGCGCAGGGCAAGAGGGGCATGTTCCCTTGTGCGTCGCGACGCTCTCCCTCCCTGTCTCTCTCTCGCGCACGCGAGGGACACTCACTGATACAGCTCGATGATCACGACGCAGCCAACTACGTCGAGCTCATCGACGAGCCGCAGGACGAGCCCGATGCGCCGGCCGACAAGGACGACGAGCCCGAGCCTGCTGCGGCGGCCGCTCCCCCTCCTCCCCCTCTATAAGCAGACAGAGTATTAAGTTATGATGTCGTACCTTTTGCATAATGGGTCAGCAACTTAATAATGCAGGCAAGATTAAAAGTCCAAGCGAAAGCGACTATCGAGCCGAGCGCATCGATGGGTTAAGTCTGTATTATTAGACCCGAAACGACGTGATCTAGCCATGGGCAGGAATATAGGTCCGAACAGATGTACGTTGCATAGTGCTCTGATGACCTGTGGCTAGGAGTGAAATGCTAATCTAACGTCGTGATAGCTGGTTCTCTGC